ACAAACCATTTTATAGATCTAATAAGTGACGAGAATCCCGGTGATAAAAAGGGAATTTCGATTTTATTGGCTATCGCGAGGCTTCAATCAAATGATACCTTGAAGTACAGTGACCAATTCAAAATGGTCATTTCTTTATATATAAATACACGCTGGTATCATCATACCGATCATCGTGTGTATGTGTAAAGCCAGTTGTTCAGCAAGCGAAGGTCTTAAGTTCGACGCCATTCACGGATACAGTAATTACATCTACATACATTCATTCATATTTCATCTGAGAAATGAGGCCAAGCTCCTTCATGAATTAACAAGAGAAAAAATAATTAGCGCCCATCCTGCGATTCTCGTGGTAAATAATCAACCCCTTTAGCGTTGGAGATGTACCTTCATTTAATTCTTTGCATCGGAATAAATGTATTACAAAACAAAACTGCATGAAATCGTCAATTCGGTGCAAAAAAACCTTTGTGGCCAAGGGTTATAATTTCCGATTTCCGCGGTAGACCTCTCCAATCGGGAGGCGCGAATCATGCGTGGATGAGTTTCTCATGTAAAAATATTCCCGACAGTGACATGATTGACTTTCGTATATGTTCTATTCTTCAGTTCTATACCCCAAGGAGTACTCCCATCTGAACTTTAGAACAACGCTCTTGGGAATAATTAGCAGTTTTTCTATTCTAGACTTGCTAATTTCTTCGGTGTCATCTATGAAATAACAATTACTACATTTGGAACAAACATCACAAACACCTAAATGAATCACGGCAACTTGGTTCTCAGACGCTGGTCGTACCTGATAAAATCTTGCCTATCAAGAGTTGGTGCCAATTTCTAGCTACTCCTTGGCCACACGCGAGAGTTTACGGAATTCTAATCTACATTTGCCTATAGAATCATCTTGACTTTACAAGATTTCAGTTATTCCATCCTTGGAATGTTGGAAATTTATAGAAACTAAATGTTACGCCTTCTGGTGGTAAACCCACTCGACAGGAAGGCTGTCAATACAGAAATAGGGCAGCTGTCTAAATTTCTAGTTCAATTAATTAGCCTTGTTTTTAGCCTTGTCCATTGATATAATTATGATGATACCCCTAGTCACCAGGTTAAGTCAATGGAACCAAACAAAAAAATGTGAAATTTGAAAGTTTGACGTACTTTCAACAGTCAAAGGTTAAGGTCATCAGCATTCATTACCATATACATGGTAAAGTAATTATGATATAATGAAAATGAACTCAAGTGATGCAAACAGGACACACAAATTCAACACAAGTCAGAACAAGTCTTAGCTTTGAGAAAATTAATTTCGTAAAGGTTATATTTGGTATATCCACTAGCATCAAGGGTCTTATGGAGCTAACATTGGTTCCAGGAATGCAGAACATAATACAGAATTAATGGATACACCCCTCCATAGTTTGACAACCGGAAGTTTCCACTGGATTGTATGACAAAATCTGCCCATCTTAATTTTGTTCATTAACTACAACTTCGAATTTTTCTGACAAATGCGATGATTCTTTAAATCTTTGATGGATGATCCAGAGAATTTCCAGTTGCCAAACTTTTGGAGGAGAGTGTGCCATTAGGTAATATTAAACATTGCATGTCACAATTTACAATGCCAGAATCTTATTTCCCTGACTCAATCAATGTAATCTTGTGCAATTTCTGACTAAGTTGATAGTTTATCAATGGAACTTCAAAATTACGTAAGATTGATCGACTGATCAGTGGAGTTCCTGTGGCAGCAAAAAATACTTCAGCGTAAAAATAGATATGTGAAAAATCATGATGGAGGTTACTGAAGATTTAATTAAGATGAAGACATGTTTCAATTCATTACAATTGAAAATGAATAGTGTAAATTCAAAATCAAAGGTTGACACAAAAAGAATTCGTTGCCGTTGACTTTGAAATAGATACACGTATGCGATACAGAATAGTGTGTTAAAAATTGTGACAAGTTTTAGAAAACTACCTTCAACCGTCTCTAGTCTTTCTTGCACGTCATCGCCAATCTTAAGCCTAGTATACACCAATGGGGCAAGTTAGGACCTCCATAGACTTTATATATTGCGTGGGACCTCGTGTCCGTGGGACTCCATGGGACTGCGTCGGATTTTACCCCATCTTGCCCCATCGATTCCCATGAGGTCCCACGTGGGACTCGGTGGGATTCGATGAGGCAAGTTGGGACAAGATGGGGCAAAATCCCACGGAGTCCCATCTTGCCCCATTCATTCTTTCCATAATGGAGCATCGTGGGATTTTCGATCACTATGACGTGTTGTGTGTCCGTGTGACTCCATGGAACTCCGTCGGATTTTGCCCCATTGAGTCCCATGAGGTCCGTGGGACTCGGTGAGATTCGATGTGGCAAGTTTGGGCAAAATCCCACAGAGTCCCATCTTGCCCCATCGAGAATGAACATGTTCATTCTTTCCATGGGGCATTGTGGGATTTTTGATCATCATGACGTGTTGTGTGAAGACCAACATACACCAATGGGACACGGTAGGATTTGATGGGACTCCATGGGGCTCGATTGGACTCCATGGGGCACGATGGGACAAAGTCATCAAGGTCCCATGGGACTTCGTGCGATTCGATTGGGCAAGTTGGGATTCGATGGGGCAAGATGGGACTCGATGGGGCAAGTGGGATTTTGCCCCATTGGTGTATAACGGGCGTTAGCTCAGTCATGGGCTTTCAAGAAAAGCTTTTGATTCCAAAATGAACTCCTGCATCTAGCAGGAGTATCTACATAGTGCAATTAATTGGCTTATAACTCAGATATCATGTAAGTTGGAGAATTGACAACTTGCCTTTCATCTATAATTGATGACATTGACTCATGAAATCCTCTCAAAACAGATTTTATATCGCGACTCACTACTCGTTACATGCAATTGCGCCAAATAGAAACGAGCATGGGCAGTCAAATGGCTTTAATAGGGTAACAAGGAAGTGTCGTTAAACCTACACAACCCGTATATATCATGACATTTAATGACCACCTATGTTAAATTGGTGATGTATCATAACGGAAATGCCTCTGGTTAATTGCGTTGGTTTGGTTTATTTATAAAAGAGAAGCAGGTCATACGCAATATACATGCAGAGGTGGACTATTCTCCATGGAAACTTCATTGGAACCTCTTTTGATTTGAACACCACTAAATACACATTTTTTCGGATCGAAAATATCGAAATGTGAACACCTGCCAGTCTGAACACTTTTGGCCGGCCTCAGTGGTGTTCGGATTTATACTGTATACATTGTATACAATATATGGTGTTCGGATTAGACAGCGTATTACTGTATACATAATTCATTGTATTTATACTGTACACAATACATATGAGTACATGTACACTGTGTTTGTTTAGTATATTGGTATATTTCTTTTATTAGTTTATTGACAATAAAAGTATAGCATTGTTTGCAGTTGATAATTATCAGGACAGTTCGAATCATTTTCTGGTTTTTCCCCTGACAAACTATCTGGAGAATGAAAATATTACATCTTCTCCGCTATGCATGTAAATGTGCCCATCATTAACGAGGTCAGTTTGTTTTAGATTTGCTAGTCTAAAACGATGTAACTTGTCAGTGTACCAATCTCATTAAGATTCTGAACACTTCGTACATTTTTGAAAATCCCATTCCGCACTTTTGCGGCCCTTTGTAGGATATGGACCCAATTTTTGAAAATCAAGACCTATTTTGAAAATGAAGGCCAAAGATGCCCATTTAGAGAAGGTAGTATTGCTTAAGACGTTCTTAATTTAAATAATCAGCCGCAGACGCGTTACTCTTGTCTATAAACATAAGAGGCGAGTGCTAAGTATGATCTTATTCACAAGCAGAAATGTCAACAAGGTAGATCAGAAAACTACCATTTTAATGGCATTTCATGATATGAGATGAAAGGTATTATTATGGATCATCATGATGTCCAACAAATATTCCAGGTCAAGTTGACATTTGTCATGCAAATGCAGTGGAAGGTCATTATCTGTCCATCATCTAGTCTACAATTATCAGAATCTAAATCAGAAACTATTAGGTTTGGGGATTATGTATACCATTTTAAAATAATCTCGTTACATCTGTCAAACCAGTTCCCTAAAAGCTATTTCGTGTCCCAATGAATCAAAGGTCCTTCCTTCAATAGAGTCAAACATCGTTTTCATAGACGTTCATTGTAAATTATTATTGATCTCATCTCATTCAGTTAGTGTAGGATTGACAAATCCAATGGCGTTATATCGTGCATTATGACATGTTGAAAGGTGACATTGATAGTTGATACCCTGCTATACTTTCAGTTCATGATTGCCATGGATATCATGACTTCATCAAGGGACTTCCTAGAAAGTTGTGATTTTATATATTCTGTCTAGGGCATGTCGTCTAGCAGCAATTATACAAAGAGCATAATTGTCATCCTTAGTTGATGCAATTTGATGTTTGCTAATAACACCCCGACAATGTTACTTAAGATTAACTTTTGCCTTAAAGACTATACAAAGGTGTTTCTTATTTAAGCTATTTTAATACTAATAGCTATCAGGCATATTTGCAACCAGGATATATCACATGATTTAATACAAATAAGGTGTGATTTACGGAACACAGGCATTGCAGAGGTGTGTCATGATTGAGAAGTTTCACAGTAGTATGAAAATGAGTAGGCAGTTAATAAGGTTAGAATGTTCACACTAAATACACTCACAGAGCTACATCAGGGGTTATGTTCTAAAAAGATGATGGTGTCGTCAACACAGAAGGCTACTAACGCAAAAAGACCCTAGTTCCCTATATACAGATATAGGTGATACTTGTTTTGCACAAAACTTCTTGGTAATCTACATTGCCATTTCATTTTTTGATAATGGGTGAGGATGTTTTACTTCAAAGGTGAAATGATAATCAACGTGGACTGAAAAAATGACAGTGAAGTCCATGTTATTTTTTCTAATTAGTCTATTATGTGAAACTGGTGGTACATATGGGATGAATTACAATATGAGTCTATTGTAAAGTAATTACAATTCATTCGTACTATTTCATTGTTGAACTTAGTGTACTGACTTTCTCGAAAACACCTGCTTTTTCAATAACAAATTATGATATTTCTTAATCCAGGGCTCATAAATGATCATATTTCATTTAAACGTATTGTTTATTTCCACTGAGACAAATACCAGCTGGGGTTATTAGCACATCAACAGGGTGTCCAAGTTCTTTTCATATACCAGAAAAACAGTTTTTTTCAGTTCTATCTTGTTCTACCAGAGCAGTCTAAACTATGTTATTCCTTTGTATTTCAAGAGAATCTACAGTTCATTTCTTAACAATAGTTTAATAATTTATTCATTTTTATAATTCATAATTTTTAAAGTTCTACAATTTGTATGATATTTTAATGATACTTTGAGAACTCCTTGATACTTCTCAATGTAGCATGTGAAAAAAACTTTGGCAATGACATCTTTCTTAATCCGTTCAATTAACTGTAACTTTTTGCATAATTCACTGAGTTAGAACGGCTCCACTTAAATACATTGCTAGAAATTTCTGAAAAATTGCTGAATCATAATCCAAATATTTAGTTCTCCTGGTCATCATTTGGGTGAATGGTAATTGCCTATCATAAAGCTCATTGTCCCTGTCGATCCATACAACATTCTTTATGCCATCTGGATTAGATGTGTCGAGAGTATTCAGTTGAAATGTCACAAAGTTGAATTTAGCGCCATCTGTGTAAACACACTGGTTTGTGATTGGTTCAGGTAGTTGGCGGATGTTCATCTGAAAGCAAAATGTATCTCTATTTACCACGTATGAAATGGGGCTGGCAATACAGAGAATTTTACACATCTGTTAAAATGCATATTATTGTACAAACTATGTGTATAATAATTAATAATATAATATTGTATAACAAGTGACATTTAACGTTCACACAATGGATTTTGCATTGGTAGAAGGCTTATTCCAATCCCTTTCATCTTCATGTACAACATCATATTCTATGTTCTGATTTAATGCAAACACAAGACGAATAAAGTCTTTTAGTTTTTGCATATTCACAATTATTTAATTAAGGTACAACAGAATACCATAGTGTCAGATATCACTCCCCCCAGTTTTCTGCAAGTTAAAATGCTCAATTCTGCAAGTGAAATTAGTGAATTCTGCAAGAAGAAAGGGCTAATTCTGCAGAAATTCCGCGGATATTCGCGGCATTTTTTTGCGGTTATTATAAAAAAAATCAAGATTGGTTTAACAAGAACAGTATCATATATTCTAAAAACATGATTTGATAATCATATTCCTACATGTTAAACCCTGCCACAAACAAATTTGACCACTGAAAGTTCCATTTCCATGAAAATGCTGTAATCAATGCCATAATCTACGAGTATGTCTTTATTTATTCAGATTTTATTTCAAATTTCAAATTTTTCGAAACTTCAAACACGGAGGATCGGGCGCATAATGGGAATCACGATATATGTAAATCAGGTTTTAAGTGTAATATCTCATTGGAGTTCGAAGTTTTCGATCAATAACTTAATAATATAAATAACTGTTATTAATTTATGTCTTTGTTTAACTTTCTGACGAGAACCGAAAGAAAAACTAATGGTTTTCGAACCAGTAAACGGGAAAATATCGTGATAGTCAGGTAGTCAGTCACTACATACATGCTGCCATCTAATGGCAGAAATCAAACGATGGCGTTTAGAATTTTCACTTCGCATAATTTGGGTTATTTCTGCAAGGGATTTGACTGAAAACGTGTCAAATTGTTACAGGTAAGACTGACTTTTTAAACTTTTGGAAAATATATGGATTCTGCGGAAAATTCCGCGGAAATTGACCAAAATAGTTGATTCTGCAATTCCGCGGGCAGAGGCAAATTCCGTCCGCGCTCTGCAAACACGGAATCCTGGGGGCAGTGAGATATACAAGATATGACAGATTTTAAAGGTTAGGATAATTGTGTCACATTTGTTTTCTGTTACTGATTTGGTAACAGGTTACTAAGCATCAGGTGGTGGCATCAGATGTTTTTTTATTTTTAATCAACTTACTGGAGTTGCCACTTTATGCATTTTGTAACCATTTCTCCTTAAATGGATTGGGGACGTTTCCATAGTGAGATTCGAGACAAAACATGTGAAATATGAATCTATGCTTTTGCTGGGTCCATGAAACTTGTGAATTTTCACCTCTAGTCAAATCAAAAGCGTCAGATCAAAGTGATGTTAACATAATTTTAAGTCTCACCATATATTTTATGTTTACAGAAAATATTTAAAAGAATGAAGAATCAATTCAAGACAATTTGAAAATTAAAATATTTCCAGTATGCCTCTAACTGTTTTTAGAAAAGGGGATATCAAATCACAGTGCGTCAGACTGGTTTAACTTGACATATGAATTATTCACTTTTCATAGTTTTACATTCAGTTTTATTGATCAGTGTGTTTCAAGTTTTCCAATCAATTAAATTTAATATCATAAACAATTAAATTTAATGTCATAACAATCAGTATGGAAATATTCAGCAAAAATCAATAAATATCAAACTTCAATGTTGAATGACAATTAAACGGTGAACTTGAGTATAGAACAAAATTGTCTACAAACCCCATATTTCTCTTTAGAATGGGCCACAGCTTGGGCAAACAGGAACATCAGGGCTCTTGCATCTTTGTGTTCAGGTTTGGCCCACTTGTTGTCAGTGATGTACATTGTATGGGGAAACCTGCTATCTGCCTTTGGGTTGCTCCAACCTACAATACACATCAGATTCTGAATATGTAAGCACATTTAACAATTTAACCCGCTGGATCTAACACACATAAAACACGGGACGTACAAACTTATTCAAGACAGTCTTAGGACTATGAGATGACATGGCTGCCAAAATTGAAAAATTCTGTAAAATACTGTATAAGTGGTATTTAATCCGAGTGGTTAATTTTCCGAATGGTCAAATTTCATCATTTTCTTTATTTTAATTTTCCTAATGACAAGAAACCTCCCATTGGATAACATTAGAAAGACAATATTTCCAACATTTAATTTTCCAAACCTGGCAAAAATTAGGAAATAGGCAAATTAAATGATTAGGCAAAGGTATACCACTTATACAGTACCTCATCATATCTAGCTATATCTACTACTACTACCATTACAATGTATGGTAAAACCTGTGTTAGTGAACACCTCTCTCTCGTAGTGAACACCTGACTTTTGTATATAAATTACCCTCTCTGTAATGAACAGATACCTACAATGAACACATTTTTGTGCCTCCATATGTGTTCATTGTATCCAGGTTTTTACTGCATATGCATTCATTTTAAGTGATATAGATTTTTTTAGGTTTTGGCAACTATTTAGCCTCCTTATAGCCCAAATAACAAAGCAAGAAATTTGCTTGTGCACAGACATACACCAATCTTATAACTGAATGACAATCAATGCACATTTTCAGCAACATTTTCAATACATGTCAATACGTATCACGTAATTCATATTTCATGTTATTTTGTAATTACATTGATTAATTAAAGGTGGGTGGAGAGGGATGCAATGTAATGTAATTGTTTTTCTACAGCATGCAAAAAATCCAATATTCTAGTAACGGGTTAGATTCATATTAAAAATGAGTTTACCGAAGAGTCAGCTCTGCTTGCCTATTCACCAAACCATGTCAAATTTAAATTCTCGCAAACTCAATACTTTTTTCATGATAAAGCCTGGATTTCCGTCCCTTCCCTCTGATGCATTACACGGTTTGCAAAATATGACGCAATTTGATAATTTATGCCACCCTTAATTATACACAATCTCATCCACCCACCTTACTGATACCTACGAACAATTACAAAGCCCCATGACTGAGGCCTACACAAGTTATATATTTGGCAGGATGTTAATTAGCAGCCATGATGGCACCACTCATCAACACAGATAGATTAAAAAATCTCTTCAATGACATAGTACCAGGATACCAAGATATGATAAATAAGCCAAGCAAACAGCTCTTCAGTCTCAAAGAAGTGATTGAAGAGACATTGAATTAAATTCTTAAGAATTCAGCAAATGGAACCAATAGTACATTATCTCAGATGATCATGATCGAGTGAAAAATGTCAGAAATTGTCATGACATAATACGACAACAAGATCAGATCTCCATCAACGGCAACATCAGTCACTCTAATTCTTCAATGCCTCTACTTAATAGCTAATTTGATTGATTTTTCCATATGCAAATATTACTCAACTATTAAACGTTTGAAGAATTTAGCAATTTAGAAGATGACACATTCTAGCGATATCTGATCAAGGAAATTATATCTCATTTAGCCAGTTGAAAAATAATGTCATATAAATTGCAGGAAATTTAAATATGTGATCATAAATATGATTAGCAAATATTTTTAGAAGATTTCAACCAAGGGCTAAATAATTGATGATTCGTAAATTAGATTAATTTGGCCCTATTCAGTAAATTGAGGTTTTCACTATTTTCTGGATGTTAAGAAGATTTGTGTGAAAATCCATAAGAATATCATAGGATAACATTGTGCAGATTGCTTACTGATGGATATTTAAATTAGACTGGGACTTTGGGTATTGTAAGATTTGCTTTTCGATGTTACTTTTCTACGAATTTTTAGCACTTTTTACAGTTCATTCCGTTCATCTTTTATTGCTATTTCACCACAGTCACAATTTACACCTAACCATTGTACTATTTCCTCAACCTAATCTTGTTCTTAATATTTATAATATTAAATTATGTTTTAACATGTATGGGCATACATAAACACCAGAAATGGTGTCACCTGTTATTTTTTTACTATAATGTTCATTGTATAAGTAAACACTAATCAAGGAATAAATATACTATGATTGAAAATTTTCCTTTACATCATGTGTAATTATTGTGTATAGAGTAACTGAATCCCCAAAGGAAAAAAGTGCAAAATGAACCAAAAGTACTTCAAATTAAACATCAGCCTAAAAGGCCATCGGTCAGACTGGAACTATTTACAAAGTAGAGGCATACAATTTACCCAGTTGACCTCAAGACGGGTAAACAGCTCTAATACTTCCCATGTATTCCTATAGCTTACCTGTGTGCGTTTTGTTTTCATATAAATGTACAAGAGGCAGATCTATGAATGGAGAAACAGGGAAGATGTCAGGCAGTTGGTGTGTGACTGTTGAGTCGACATCCTCAGTGTTCATGGCTTGGGGCAGGGGCCTTGGTGCCCAAACCTGAGCCTCACTGGCATTTGATATGTTGATCTGTCTGTCTACAATGACAAAGAAGATGTATCTACATGTACAGTTAAACCTGTATATCCAAACACCTCTATAATCAGAACACCTTTCAATGTGAACACTTTTTCTCCATACAAAGTTTTCATTATTTCGTTTTGACTGAACAATGAGAGTAGTATTTAAACAAGAAAAACATGGTAAACATCTGCTTAATTGAACACTTTTGGCTGGTTCCAGTGGTGTTCAAATTAGACAGGTTTTACTGTATGTTAGAGTGCACTGGATCCCTGGACCTACATGCCCTCACTCTCTTACAATGAATACTCTATATTCTAAAATTACGCATACCCAATTTCTTAGAATGTAATGTGTTCCTCTTCTTTTGATCATTCATGTCCAACTTTTTTGTATTTATTTTAGTATTCATAAGTAAAAAACACCTCCTTATCCTTTAGGATCTTACTTCAATGCTTACTCTTAATATTCATGAATTCTTTTAAGTATTATCCCGTAACTTTGACTGATAAATAAACTCACTTTCAAACGTATGTATGCAACCAGTCAATTGGTTCTTAGTTAGTCTCCTCAATGTTAGGTCACTGTACTTCCCACCTAGCACCCCACATATTCTCAGTAGGTCCCATACTAACATGGAACTGAAAGCAAAATAACAAGGCATATATATAACAACAACCATTATGGGGTTGTTTATTTTTGTTAAATTCTGAATGGAGAGATATTTTCTAAAATAATGATTTATTTAGTCTGGTTTTGTTGTGACAATAAGGGGGGACTTCGATATCATCACTACCCATGGGCAAAATAAAAGTAGGGAAAATGACTGCTACAATCTGTAATAATACCAAGTTTCCCAAGTGTGACTCGTAATTGCAGCATAATTACTGTATAGAGAACAGAGGGATTAAGTTTTGCTTTCTTACTCACACCAGGTATATGGTGTGACCCAGTATGAGATAGCATGAGTAATGGTTCTTTTAACATTTCATGACCAAAAGGGACCCCAGGTTGTCACAGTGTAACTTGGCAGGAAAATTGTGTTACTACAAACTGACACCAAGTCACACCAGATTTGTCCACTTCACAATACGTATTTATCAGCATTTGAAACTCACAGCTGCCTTACTTGCCAATTCCACACACTTTTCACTCTTGGCAATGGATTTAGAAAAACTAGTTGCATATTGGGCAATGGACTGAATGCCAATATGTTCAATTGGGCAATCATATTTTCAACCTAAGTTATGAACCCTTCATTTCTGTGTTTACATGGTACTCCATTTACAAGTTTACATAAAATACAGAAGGGCTTATCTGGTGAGACATTCTAAATATGAAAAGCAATCGAACAACAAGATAAAAAATCTAACAATATATTTTCTGGCCTATAATACAGATACATTTTTGTAGGTAGGTTAAATCAACCTACGACATCTGCTTTGCATTAAAGTACTATTCAGTATAACTCCAAAGACTGGAATTGCACACCAAGCATTGTCTGGTGCAGAGAATTATTCATAGAGCAATAAAGCCATTAATCAATACTCCTCTTTAGAAATACACATGCTTACTTTTTTAATCTGCAAAGTCTAGCATTAGAACAGATGAAATACATGAGATTGAACACAGGGGCCCTGATGCCAATGGTTGGCCTTGGGACTTACAAACTGCCATCAGGAGAGTTACTAAGACAGGCGTTGGAGTGTGGGTACAGACACATAGACACCTCACCTACTTACAACACAGAGGAGACCATCGGAGAAGTGATTACAAGCCATATCAATCAAGGTACTGTAGAAGAGGGGGGAATATCCCAGAATTCAAAGATGATTAAACCTATCTTCATGTAAAGATATACCTAGAAGTTAACCTTCATCTAAAATAAAGATAGAGTCATATTTGAATTCTGGGATTTTCCATCCTCTTGAACTGTAGTACACGTGTGGCTTTTCCACAGATCCATTTATTCAGTATTAATAAACCAAAAATTGTACAATCTAATAAATACAGTGAAGCTTTGTTTTTTGCTCCTAAAACATGTACATGAGCAATTTGACGTATTAAAAGGAAACAAAGGTTTCGGCATTAATGCTTTTTTGTTTTTACAACTAAATTATGTCTCAATGTTTTTGTAGGTTTGCTCCAAAGAAAGGATTTGTTCATAACAACTAAGATACCAAACAACAAAATGTCACCAGAAGATGTTCCCAAGAGTCTCGTGAGATCTCTGAGCAAACTCCAAACCGATTATGTAGACATGTTGTTGATACACATGCCGTTTGGTTTTAAGGGAACCAATGAGGATGATCTATGTCATTACAACATCCTAGAAACATGGAAAGCTATGGAGAAACTTCAAAAGAACCAACTGACAAAATCTATTGGGGTTTCAAACTTTACAATTTCTCAACTGCAAATGTTAATTGATAGGAGTGACACAACCCCAGCTAATGTACAGCTGGAATGCCATGTGTATTACCAGGTACCACATTTGCAAAAGTTTTGCTCAGAAAATGAAATTGTGATGTCAGCGTACAGTCCACTTGGTGCCATGAACCGCCCGAAAAGATATTTCAGCCAAGATGATCCCATTCTTCTGGAAGATGATGTCATAAAGAGAATAGCTAATGTGCATGATAAATCCCCAGCTCAAATCTTGCTGAGGTTTCTACACCAGCAAGGACTTATTGTCATACCTATGAGTGACAAAAATATACATTTGGAAGAAAATATTGCGATTTCAGAGTTTGAGCTCACTGACAAAGATATAGAAGATATCATAGCTTTAGACAGGAACTTCAAATACTTCACATTTGACTGGGCAACAAAACACCCAGAATACTTTCCAGGGGAACAATTCAACTGTCATTTGTCAGTATAATGTTGTTGACCGATATTGCAAGGCATTGAAATGAAAACATCAAAATGTTAATAAAAAGTAAAGCGATAATTAAAGTATTTTTCATAAGTATATATTAACAGATCTAGCAAGTGATAATGTATACTTGTTTATTCATTCCTACAGATTTGAACCAAAATTACTAAATGCACGCAATGCCCATAACCTAATCAGTTCTAGAGTTTTATACTTTAAGAATCATCTCAGAAATTTTCAAATCAATCCATTTAGTTGAAAGCATGTAAGCATATAGACCTTACAGACACTTTTACATGACGCAAAATCTAACAAAGCATTACATGACAAAATGTCACCAGCACCTAGAAAATTTAATCAATTTGAAGGAAGTTGAAAAATACCTTTTGACCTTTTTTAACTAAGACTTTTCTACCAGGTCAAATCTCAAATCTAAAGTCAGATATGAATTTCTGAGAACTTTTAGATGATTTTGAAAAAAATTAAGCCAATTTCAAGCAAGATGGAAAAATACCTTTTTGACCTTTTTTGACCTTGAGAAGGTTATTGAAGGTCAAATTTTAAATCTATAGTCAGGTTTGAACTTCTGAGAACTCGAAGATGATTTTGAAGAAAACATTTCATCAATTTAAAGCAAGTTGAAAAAATACCTCTTTAAATCTAAAGACCTTTTTGACCTTCTTTAACTTGAGAAGGTAAATGAAGGTCGAATCTCAAATCTAAAATCAGATTTGAATTTCTGAGAAGTTGTAGATGATTTAGAAAAAATGGTCAATTTGACCTTGAGAAGGTCATTGAAGGTCAAATCTCAAATCTATAGTCAGATTTGGACTCTTAGACGATTTAGAAATTGTTTTTAATCAAATTGAAGCAAGTTGAAATGAAGGACCCACGGTCCTTTGCTCACACAGTTTGGAACCTTCAGAGTAATTTATATCCTGATTTTCAAACAAAAATACTTAGTATTTTTTTGGATTTGTAGTCTCGAAGTTTGAGAAACTTAGATAGCACAGTTGTGTGACCTAGTTTGATGACCTTTGACCTTGAAAATTTTACTTATTCAGAGCTCAGTAAGGTCATTTGTGATTAAGCTGACCAAAATTTACATCAAAAAATCAATTTGAAAAATCAACTTTTTTAACCTTTCGAAGGTCACTGAAGGTCAAGTAAAGGTCAAATCCTAAAACTAATGTCAGATTTGAACTCCTGGCAACTTGTAGATGATTTTCAAAAAACAATTTGGTCAAACTGAAACAAGTTGAAAAATAACTTATTTTTACTGTTTTTTGATGTCAAATATCTCAAAAATGGTAAAAATTTGATGCTGACATATATTGAGAAATATGTAGGGAATGCTTACATCTATTAATGATGTAATTTATTGCAGGAAATGATCAAGTATAAGGCAAACTTTAAGAATCTTGTCAATCACAAAACCTGCCATTGACTTTATACATGAGAAAGTTTCCTGAAAATGACTAAGTCCCACTTTTTTTCAAATTTTATAGAGTAAACACCAAAAACCGTAATTCCAAGAGCTTTGAAATCTTCAGAGGACATAAGTTGCATATACACCAACTACTAAAAGTTATTTGAAAGTTCTACTTCAACAAAGTGTCTAGTATTTACAGAAAATTTGACTTTTTGACGTCAAAATCCGCAATTTCTCGGAAACCGGGCGAACTTGGGAAATAGCGATGATAGGTCAAATAGGCATTATGGATATGCATAAAATGAATGTGGATATGACTCAATCCGAATAGCAGTTTTAATTTGTGCGGCCAATGTTAACGGACGGACGGACCAACGGACAGACGGACGCCTGGTCAATCCCATAGGCTCACTGTGTGAGCCAAAAATACCTTTTTGACCTCTTTAAACCTTTTTGACCTTCTAAAGGTCATTGATGGTCGAATCTTTAATCAGCTTTGAACTTCTGAAAACTTATACATAATTTTGAAAAAAAATTGAAGTCAGTCTAAACAGTGTTTGTTAAGTTATTGGAAGTTGTAAGAACTTGTTACAGACGCCACCCGCCAATCATAAATTCCACCAAACAAAAGACAAAAACTGAGATTTCTTAGAAATTGAAAATGACAAGCATTTGTTTCTTAGAAATTGAGTAATAGGCATTAATGAAAGTAAAGAAATCAAATATTATCAATTAACAACTATAAATATTATGTTATTCTCATGCACAAACATCCCACGTATTACATTATTTTTACTAGTGTTTTTTGTTAGGTTCACACTTGGGGCATTGATCTAAGATTCAAGATGTACACATACATATTTGTTCATGTCTCATAATGTAAGAACACAGAAAACTAAAACCAGACAACCATTTTGATAGATTGAATATTATTTGTTTTTACCACAATGTACTTTAACACTCATATTCCTCTCCTTTTATTTGGAGATGTACCAAAGTTAATCATTTACATTAAATAAATTTCAATAACACCAATAAAAAACAAAGCATTAACATGCAAAATGTCACCACCATTTGTTACAGATGCCAATCGACAACCACAGATCGCTATCACATAAACAGAGACCATACAGCATGTCACCACTTTTTGGTGGTGACATAACAAAAGCAATTTCACTCTCCATCAGAGTAATTGACAGTGCTACTATAGATATAATGTACCTTCTGTTCTCCAGCTTGATGCCCCATTCTGCCTTAAACCTCCAGCCAGGTTTCTGTTTGTTGATACGTTTGGGCATCTTGTCCATGTCAGTGTGCCAAACATTGGCCTGCATGATAGCTCTTTGGACCAACTCATCCTATAGTGGAACACAATTATTCTATTATCCTTTGATGTTAATGATGCTACAGTATCAACTGGCATCAAAAGCTTTAGAATTTGAGAGGTCCACATATGGGAAATACGAGAGGTCCACATATGGGAAATACCAACCTACATTGACATAGGTTATATGCAAAAATCTCTAAGTACATGTACTGCCCAAACAGAAATACTTGTACTAGAAATATACAGGTTATATGCAAAATCTCTATGTACTGCCCAAAATCAGATTTTAGATCCCTCACCTGGTATGGGATAGATTCTTTGCCTATTAAGTCATGTACTGAATCAGGTAGTCCTTCTATGGGCATGGTCTTTGTTAGAATACAGGCTTGTTTTAATCCTAGAACAAAAAAACATACACGTTTATTCAACGTATACATGTAAAGTGAACATACAAGTAATTCTAAGAAAACATGTTGTATAACCTTTCATTTATTTGAACATAAAACACCTAATTTTAACTTACATGAATTTAATAATCTTTTTAATTCACACTTAGAGAAAATGGCATCTGAAAATAAGTTTGCCTATATTTTAGGGGATTTTAATGTTGACCTTCTGAAATCAAATGAACATGACCTTACAAATGACTTTTTGTGTAACTTGTATACTAATAATTTTATGCCTTTAATTTATAGACCTACAAGAATCACTAGTAAATGTGCTACATTAATTGATAACATTTTCACCAATGCAAATAATATCACCCAATCTGGTATAATTTTATATGACATATCAGATCATTTTCCAATATATGCTGTAAGTAATTATAATGAAACACCTAAAATTAAAAAGCAAAAGATTCAATATCGAATAATAAATGATGAAAATTGTTCCAAACTCCAAGATGAGGTCGCAAATATTAATTGGCAAGATATACTTGATCCTAATTGTGTGAATAATGCATATAACTCCTTAATTGTGATTTTTACTGATATTTATAAATCAATCATAATAGATGTCTACCAAACAGATCCAGAATAATTAAAACCTATAATGATCATAAAAAACCTTGGATTTCTCTCGGGATCATTATTTCAGCTAAATATAAAAACAAACTTTTCATAAAATATAAAAAGAATCCTACTTTAGAAAACAATGCAATATACACTCGATATAAAAATAAGCTTAACCATGTCATTAGAAATGCAGAAAAAGCATATTACAGAAATAAATTTGAGACAAATAAAGGCAATATAAAGAAATCTTGGAATGTAATTAACGCTATCTTAAACAGAAATCCAAATCAATCTAATATCAACGATACATTTGATCTTGAAAATACACAAATCTCAGATGGTCTCGACATAGCTAAGAATTTCAATAATTTTTTCAGTTCAATTGGTCATAAACTTGCAAAAAAGATAAACAATAATCTAGATCCAATGGTAAATTTAAAGAAAACTAATTCAAATAATAACTCAATATTTCTAACACCTATTACTGAAACTAATGTCATGGCCCAATTAAAATCTTTAAAAGACTCTGCTGCATCTATAGATGATATAGAACCCAGAGTAGTGAAAACACTGAACGAATCTTTGTCAACTCCTCTTACTCAGATATTCAATTTATCAATAACTACTGGTACATTTCCTGATGCATTAAAAATAGCTAGAGTAATAGAGTAATTCCAATTTATAAGAAAGGCCTTAAAGATAAATTCAACAACTATAGACCAATTTCAATTCTCAGTGTATTTTCTAAAGTGCTTGAAAAAATTGTTCATGTAAAAGTGACAACATTTTTAGAAAAATATGAAATTTTATATCTACAACAATATGGTTTCAGGAAGAAGCACTCAACTTATATGGCACTTCTAAATTTCATTGAAAATATTTGTAGGTCATTAGATATCGGGGAAACTAGCATTGGGATATACAGTGGATCACAAAATATTATTACAAAAACTTGAATTTTATGGTATTCGTGGAACAGCTCTTTCCTGGTTCAAAAGTTATCTCGAAAATCGAATTATGGTCACAGAAATTGTTAAGAAAGATGTCTTGATTGATCAATTTACAACTACAGATATTAGATATAGATCCGGTAAAAATAAAGTTGAATATGGTGTCCCTCAAGGTTCAGTCATAGGTCCCCTCTTGTTTATAATATTTATAAATGACATACATTTAATATCAAATAAACTTAACTTTGTCTTATATGCTGATGATACTAATATCCTACTTACCAATAAAAATTTTGAAACTCTAGTCTCAGATATGAATGCTGAATTAAAAAATGTTTCTAACTGGATGAAATCTAATAAATTAACTCTTAATGTTGAAAAAACAAAATATATGATATTTAATAAAAAAGAAAGATCCTAATAAAAACAATATTGTTCTCAAAATTATGAACAACCTATAGAAGAAGTTAAAGAAATCAATTTTCTAGGTGTCATTATTGACTCAAAGCTGAATTGGTCATCTCACATAAATGCTATCTGTACAAAAATTTCTAACTTGATAGGCCTTCTCTACAAGACTAGACATAGACTGACTTTAAATACAATGACCACTATCTATTATTCCATGATATATTCCTACTTAAGCTATTGTAACCTTTTATGGGGAAATGCCATAAAAACTCTTATTCAAAAATTGTATGTTCTGCAAAAGAAATTCTTGAGAGTTATCACCTATTCTGATCGTCTGGCTCCTTCAGGACCTCTCTTTTCAAAACTGAAAATATTGAATATATTTGACATCAATAAACTACAAACCGCTAGCTTTGTTCAGAAAACTGTTTCAGAATCACCAGAATTTCCTTTTCAAAAGTTCAAACATTTATTTGTTCCAGGAACAGCAATTCATAATCATGACACGAGAATTAATAAGAATTTAACTGTAAAAAAATTCAGAACAGAAATTGGAAGAAAATCAATTGAAATATGTTTACAATACTCTTTCACTTGATCTCAAAAAGTCTAAACATATCAAATCATTTGAACGAAAGTTAAAGTTTGATTTGCTAAGTCATTATTAGATCTTCTTTGAAAAATGCTTTCTTCTCATTACTTGTATTTTATTGTGATGCATTTTATGCTTTGTCATTTTTTTTGTTTCCATATAACCTGACGGTTAATTTAATAAATGCTATATTGTATGTTAAACATGGAACTTATACACCCCTCGGGGTGTCTTTTCATGTCAATGTAAAACACTGTATTTGAAACATTTGAAATAAAGTGAATTGAGTTGAAAAAAATTGAATTGAATGAGAAAGATCATATTAAATGGAATTTTAAAATTGGAATTATTTTGTAAAAAATGGAAGAATTTTTTTGTTCTTTGGGAGCACTATGTAGCTTCACTGCTTAACACACTCAATGCATCTATAAAGCTTTGTGAGTGCCTGGCTCTAAAACAGTTTTAAAACTCAAGTTTACATGTTCAGCTGACATCTATAGACTGGTTCCTTGATATCTGAAATAATTCATTTAAAATCAATATTTGCTGAAGGGGGACAGTCTCAATCTCCAAGATTCAATATTTCCATGTTGCAAAATGTGTTTTTAGTAGTTGAAAAGTTTTATGTGGGGAAAGACACCAGAGTTGCCATTTGAACATTACATATACAACACAATTTGTATGTTGATCCACACAACAAAAATAATGACACTAAATAAAATAACCCTATCTTAGTCCTAGATGTACATTTATAGCATTTACTAACATCACGCATAAAATGTTTGAACGTAAGGAAATGGACAATGTTTAGAACTCACCCTCCATCATTTTAGTGCTCTGATTAAAGGTCAACATTGGCTCCTCATTGTAATATTTTTGCTCCTTCAGTGTTTTACGAGGATTACTCAGTGGTGGAGGTATGTGTATCGGAACTCGCTTTGTTTTGGTTTTATTAGGAGTTGGATTTTCAAAATTAATTCCTACAAATAAAGAACATGGAAATGTTGTCTTATGTCAATGTACTTTCCATACAGTTATGGTTTACTCCAAAAGAAATTGAGGAAGGTTTTGCTATTTGAAGAGAGCTAAAGTGACTAAAACAAGCACAGAATGTGTTAAAACACATGGAGCGGGGGTAGACCTGTATTCATAAAGTGAACTGTATCTAGGATAAAGTACTTAAGTCTCAGTCTTAAACTAAGTTAATTTATTTATTATTGAAATTGTGTGCAATATGTACCTTTCTCGTAGACTGCCATTGGAATGACATTCTCAACCTTGTAGTTCTTCTTAACTTTCCATAGCTGCTTCTTCAACCACGTCATAGACGTCCTTTGTAGAGAGATTGTCAGCCTCATTGTGGCACATTAGATTGCTGTAAATAGTTATGGTAAAACCTGTCAGAAAACCGTCATATTTAAAGAATTAAACTGTCAAGACTAAATGTGAACACTTTTCAAAAATATCACTTAAACTGTAAACTATCTTTGTGATATCTAAACATTAGGAAAAAAATGAATGGTCTCATTATAATGTGTCTTTCTAACATGACCTATGAATTCATTTGAATGATTTTCAAATTATTGTAATGTCATAAAGCTATGTGGTCAATTAAACTTTTAGATATTTGTTGAAAATATGTTCACATTTCTTCAGTATCGAGAATCTTGTAAATACAATACTCAAAATGCAAACAACTCCTGGTTTTTAGAATATTACTTAAATTTATTGAACCCTGGCTAGAAAGTTTACAATAGGTGTTCAAGATGGAAGGCGACTATCCCTGTTTCTAGTCTACGGTCAAAACTCTCTAAAGGCAAAGATACAGAAGCAGGCAGACTCATTTAGCCTCGATCCTTGGACTCTGCAGTCTCATAGTCAAAAGTTACATACTGTACTCCGGGTAAATTTCGACGCTATAAAATTTCGCGATTTTTCAAAATTGCAATTTCACGGCTATTTAATTTCGCGGATTTGAGTTGATGATATTTCGCAGATTGCACAAGTTGAATTTTTTTCCGATTTCCGTGAATAAATGTGGGTTATTTTAGCCCGTTCAAAATCCGAATAATGTTTGTATTTCCCACGTTAAGGGCATTTATTTGAATATTCTTGAAAGGCTTTTTCAACTTCAATTTGTTGTCAACAGTTCTTGCCTTTGTTGGCCTAATAAGCCAATTCAAAATGTTTTTAGGCCTTCGCCCAACAACACTGGAAGAAACGTTTCACACTGAACGAAACATATCAAAAGGCCCGGGTCAAATCCCCGGGGATTTAAGACAAATTTCGCAACGATAAATGTTCGCGATTCTACTACATTCGCGAACAAAGCGAAATTAAATCGCACGCGAACATTACCTGGAGTACAGTTTGATTATTGGTGTTAGTACCGATACAAATCATCAAATGTAGCCCCCCCCCCTCCCGCTAAGACCAGAGTGACAGGCCCTCCAACTGCCCCGCAATTTGCATAATTGTCATGTGTTTGCTAGAAAAGTTGAAGTCACGCCAGTTTTTTTTGCGTGACAGAATATGTCATACGAGCATTTGACAGCAAATAAAGGACCCACGGTCCTGTGCTCACACAGTTTGGAATCTTCAGAGGAATGTATATCCTGACTTTCAAACAAAAATATTGATTTGGATTTGTAGTCTCGAACTTTGAGAAACTTAGATAGCACAGTTGTGTGACCTAGTTTGATGACCTTTGACCTTGAAAATTTTACTTATTCAGAGCTCAGTAAGGTCTTTTGTGATTAAGCTGACCAAAATTTACATCCAAAAATCAATTTGAAAAATCAACTTTTTTGACCTTTCGAAGGTCAATGAAGGTCAAGTAAAAGTCAAATCCTAAAAGTAATGTCAGATTTGAACTCCTTGCAACTTGTAGATGATTTTCAAAAAAAATTTGGTCAAATTGAAGCAAGTTAAAAAATAACTTATTTTTACTGTTTTTTTGACGTCAAATATCTCAAAAATGGTAAAAATTTGATGCTGACATATATTGAGCAATATGTAGGCACGGGCGTAGCGCTGTTTTTCTAAGAAGTACCACGGGAACAAGAGTTGAGTGAATCAAAAATTGAGCATTCAGGGGGGTCTGGGGGTTCTCCCATTTGACTTTTTGACGTCAAAATCAGTAATTTCTCGGAAACCAGGCGAACTTGGGAAATGGCGATGATAGGTCAAATAGGCATTATGGATATGCATAAAATAAATGTGGATATGACTCAATCCAAATAGCAGTTTTAATTTGCGCGGCCAATGTTGACGGACGGACGGACGCCTGATCGATCCCATAGGGTCACTGTGTGAGCCAAAAAGCAAACGCCAGAAAAAAACCAACGCATTTCGTTCGGATTTTTCACACATCACCGATTTCCTCGAAATATTGTGGGTCAAGGTGTCCACAATTTGAGGAAATGTGTTCTGGTTAGCCTAGGTGTTACTTACTTAGTTTGCACAAAGCTATCTCCTGAGAGATACAAAGATGGCTATGTGCAAATATTTAGTACTACTACTTTTTTCAAGGCCTGACTGCGTCACTAACATGCTAAATATAAGAGTTAGCTGACGTTTGGGAGTCTGACTTACCTTCTAAAGGTTAGAACCCGAATCTTAATGAAACCATATCACCTTTGTTCCGTCAACCATGGAGCATTTGCCACAACATCCAAGAGGTAAATCATGGATCGAGAAAATGAATGATTTCCTTGTGAGTTCCGGAAGTTTCAATACGAAAAATTACCGAACATATGTAAAAACCGAATATTTGTTCGTTGTTTTCACGATTTACAGGTTCGTTTGTTCTTCAATGTTTTGGTCTAAATTATAAAGCATCACCAACAGGTCTTACTCTATTAATCGACTAATACAGCAGACGGCTCATATTTCTACGTAGCATTTCATTCAGACCAATAGTGGGAGTGTAGATCACGCAGTTTCGTTCGTTGCGTACTTCACTTGAAATTGGTAATTTTAAATATTGACTACTTCACTTAGCTTGGCGGATGTAGAACATTGCTTAATATTCTTTTAATTTTCACAACAGACATGCTTGGTTGACACGTCAACAAAGTAAAGTTCAAGGGTCAATGCGTTATTTCGTGATAACTACAACGCCTTCCCGGAAGTCAACATTGATGAAAAATGAAAAAGTCGGAAAAGCATTTACGCTAATTTCTATCAAATGCTATGTTTATGCATCATCATCGACGCAACAAAGGTGATATGGTTTTATTAAGATTCGGGTTCTAACCTTTAGAAGGTAAGTCAGACTCCCAAACGTCAGCTAACTCTTATATTTAGCATGTTAGCGACGCAGTCAGGCCTTGAAAAAAGTAGTAAGGTGTTCCCAAGTTGACAGGCCTGGATTGAGTCTGCAAAAACTGCCGAATTGCGAGTTCAGCTATAGATCTAAAGACTGTAGAATATATGTAAGTCTTAGGTAATTAAACTACTGATACTAAAAGAACTACTGGTGAATATATGTAGCGATATATAATGGAGAGAACTGTTGTTCAAGTGATAAAATTTTTTTACCTTTTTTCACATGTAAACTAGGTGTCTCACACTACTTGAATACTAAGTAAAATTCCACCGTACCATTCTAACGACAGTAACGGTTACTTAACCAACTCTATTTTGTCTCATATTTGTATTAAAAAGTGAATCGATTGCAATTCTACTGCCGAATTGTAAAGTGCTGAAGACTTGAAATAATATAAATTGAAAAATGGAAAAAATTAAACCACAGTATTATATCTTGCAACACCAATAAATGATTCTTGAAATTATTTTTATGAAATCAATGATCTAGGTATATGAGCGTATATAAGATTCAACAAGTTTTGTCGATAGTGATGTGTCGATTATGTGCTTAATTTTGCATAATGTTTGGCTAGAGATTACATTCATTAAATGTGAGAAAACGGCCTAAAACCTTTTATTTACCCTATTATCGCCCACAAGAAATTAAAAATGAAATAATTATTATGCCCACATGTTTCCCAAATTGATTAAAAAGATACAGACACAGAAACAGTTTTTTGGGAGTACAATTTATAAAATTTAAAAAATGGCAGGTGAGACTGTCCAAAGCTTGCTAAAAATGGACTTTCACTGCGCTGTCAACCCTCATGCATTAGGCGTGATTGTCACGCATTTGCTGGAAAAATAGAAATCACGCATCAACTTAGCGCGTATGATCAAATATCACGCAAAGCACGCATTTTGTTGATATTTTTAAAAATCGTCTTTTGTGAAATGCAGATATGGTAAAATTCTCTGACGTCTGTCAGTCCTGTATGTTGTGATTACAAAATTAGACGGCTGCAATTTTTTCACTTCAAAATTTCTATCGTGAGTAAGGTATTATTACCCAATAAATATTTCAAAAGCACCAAGAAATGATCAAAACATGATTTAAATCTTGGATTGCTTTTATGAATTTAAAGCGAGTTACAGTGTACTGTTACAATTTTTAGGATTATTCAACTGTTTCTCTTTTCATTGCAGGAGTGTCAAAACATAAATGCTGCTTCCGAATAAGTCATCATGTTGAAGGTTATAAGAAAAGCATCTTGTAGAGCTATTGTCAACAGATTACATGCATCTAGGGAAGGAGTGAATACAGCAGGTGGCTGTGCTCTTTCTCATGCAAATATATGTTGCGGGAGTGTCACACAATTTAATAAATATCAGTCTCCAATAAGGCATTTCGTAGTTTCACCGCAAGGACACATAACTCTACATGAACATGTATATTCCAAGCATACATCGTTCAGATTAGTTAGCGAAATTAGAGGAAATGGTAATAAAACGAAAGGATGTGAACAAACAAAAGGTGGCGATAAATTTATCGATTTGGAACTATTAGCCAAGGATATAATAAAACATGCAGAGTCAAACTATACTTATCCTCTACATGTTAGTGCCTCAGATATTGCAGTAAAAATTGAATCATTATTGAACCTGCAGTGTGATTTATCTGACATCAAAACCTTACTTACGATAAATCAAACAGTACTCACAGCAACAAATAATGCTTTTACTAAAGCTTTAGTATTTTTGGACAAACATGGGTTCAGGCAGCAAAACATTGTTTCAATGTTGCATCACTGTGATGAACTTTTAGCTGGACAAACCAAACTAATAATCCAGTGCCTGGACTCTCTAAGACAAATAACCCTGAAAGAAAAAGAAGCTATCCAACTCATTGCATCTGACCCTAATGTACGTCATATCACACACAAAGACATGACAAGCAGAGTAGCTCAACTGAAAGGCTTATTTAAAACAAGTCATGTATTGAGGCTAATCCTAAAGTCGCCAAAATTACTATATGATGATTTTAGTGAAGTAGCCTATAAGTTCCAGTATGTGATATTTAAGCTGGGGGTTGACCAGAAGCCAATTATGTCAACTAAACTGTTTGATCATAGTGTGATGCACATCAAAACGAGGCACGAATTTCTTGAACGAGCAGGTATTTATTACATCATCAGCGCTATCACTGCATTGAAATATTTGTAACACAGAACCTCTTATTGATCCTCAATAACCAGCTTTTGTTAAATGCCCCTCCAACAATACATGTGAATGATAGAAGTAATGTTTGCAACTCATGAAAGCAAAAAGTTTTCAACTTCAAGGTGAGTTCCAGTCTCAGCCAAGCAGTTTTCCATTTGTAAAAAGACTGTATGTGAAACATTAACATGATCTGAAAGAATTTTTGTTAAACTAACTCATTGTTTTTGTTTTCAAGGATTGTACCAGCTGCCTAACAAAAAGGGAGAAACAACAATAGAGAACCCATCACTTTATCAAATATTTGATACATCTGACTCCGTTTTTGCGCAAAAGGTTAGGCTATTTCAAAGACTAGTCTACTGTCTGACTGTGGTCCATCTTTTATACCAATGCCTGTTCTGTAGCCTATGAGATAAAAGTATATGTATTAGAGATCATAATTTTAAGTGAGGTCACTGAATCATTCACTGAGCCCAAATTATAAAAGATACCAAAATCATTTAACATTTGTTCTCTGGCTCATACAGATAAGTGATTGGATTATATAATCACACGATACACGTAACCCCTTCAATGATTCAAGATGTCCACAAAACATGAAAATTATGTCATAAATTATTAAGATCTTAGAATAGATTTTACGCAAAAATTACCTGGTATGATACTTTGGTTTACATGTATTCTTGCAATGTTTTTGAAAGAAGCGAGTCTTAATTATGTTTATTCTATCTACCGGAATTGGTGTTTACATGTAGTACAGTACATATAATGTTGCATAGAGTGATTAAATTACTAGCATTTGATACATACAATAAGAAAACAGAAAAAATGTTTATGTATCAGTGTGATTGTTTTTAGATTTTATTCATGTATTAATTGCCATTAATGATTCTAATTGATATGTATTTCTAGGTTGCAAAAATGCCTACTGCTGACTATATGACTTTTAAGAAACTTTATGAACTTGAGGAAGAAATGAGAGAAGAACAAAGTGACAGTGATCAAAGTGAAAGTGATGATGAATAATATGAAATACATCACATCATTGATGCCTCTTGAGGATAAGCCAAAACTTCATATCACTATTATATAAGATGTGTGCAATCAATGTAGCTTGCAGTTCATTAACATGCATTGTAGAATGTATCATCTTAAAATAAATGTTGTCGAATATCATCTTGGAAAAACTTATTAACCATGAGAGACTGAGAGTACATGATGTGATATTAAAGATTTATTAATGAACAAGACATTTTTGTTGCAATTTAGTCAAAGTAAATGAAGAAATTACATTTTGATTAAAATAGAAGTAAAATAAAAAGAATTATGAAACTGAGATGTTTTTTTTAAATCCAAGTTGATTCTGTTGCTCCACGAAATATTACAAAATCATCATGTTAGTTTACAAAGCAGCCCACTGAAATATTTATTGCAGACTCTGATTTTCTAGAAATGATTGTGCATTGATGTCTCCCTCTCACTTGGAGTCACTAGGCTCATCCTATGCAGATGGACGGTGCTTGTAGAAAATGCTCAGTGCGGAGATCATGCATGCATGGTGCGGACCCAACCATAATTTTTTATTACTTTGAATTTGTGATATTTTATAACTCAACCATGTTGGGTATTAAATTAATTCATATATGTGTAGATGATACATATGTACCTAATAAAAAGGAAATTGTAATTCTAAATTTGCAATACAGTAAGTTAATTTAACCCCTCTCCAATGCAAAGATTTTGAAACTGCCGCTATTCACTTATACAACTTTTACAGACTTCATTCAATATCCATGGCAACACACTGTTCATGGAATTATTTTTGCATCTGAATGAATGTGACATATCTATATGTTTCATAAAAAATGGGAATGAATTATCGGATATGTGCCCTATACACTCTGTGCAAATGAGCTTATCACTAAACCAGGAATTTGATAATTTCATATAATGATATTTTGTATCATGAATGGACAGCAAAGGGTTTCATCCCATAAATCTTTGCACTACTAATTGTTATTTGGGCCAAAAGTGAAAATGAAGGTTTAATGCCTATTGCATCGCTACATAATGAAGTACATGTACACAACTATTTGCACACTTTCCTTTTCATTAAGTTCATCTGCACCTATATGAATACACAATGCATTATTTTATATGGCTTATATCATCACAAATTCAAATCGAATAACGCTCTAAGCGTTGTAAACTCCATCTGCATAGGGTAATGGGGCATTTTGTACAAAAATACTCAAGACCAAAGTCGATGTCAACAAAACAATTCTTTAAGACAGTTTTGTCCCAGGGGATTGGAATTTGACAAAATACTTTGTCCCTGGAGTAGAGATTGAAATTCTAGTTATTAGAAATTTGACCATCAATATTATGAAAGTGTAAGAAAATTGACCAGAAAATTTGTGAGCCCAATTTTTATTATGTGAAAATCCCCGACCCTTCCGCCATGAAGGGGCAGATACAGATCTTTGAATTGTGGATTCAAATACAGTTTTGCAATTTTTGTTGATCTTATTTATTTTGTGAGATCATTATGTTTGTATAATAACGAGGTGCCAACTACGACTGTTCATTTGAATTTTAGACCTACCAGGTGTTTGAAAATCAAGGATTGTGAGAAGCGATTCTCTCACCTGGGGACCCAAACACCCAAAAATGAGGGACTGTATAACAGTACAATGTATCAACGAAAGGCATTTTTGTTTTGCTTTTAATGGAACTTTAAAGAAAAACGTTGCAGTATGAGACTCACAATCCTTGATTGGCACCGAGTGTTAACAGAATAAAATGCATGGAATAAGTAACATTAAAATGATTTTATTTTTATATTACATCAATAATTTATATAACAATATTTAACTTTTAATTTCGTCAAAATATAATTAAAAAATCTCTAGGTCACCTCTGGAGAGGTCAATAATTGTACATTATTGACTATAAGATAACCAATCAAAATTGTTATTTTAAAGCTAGGCCAGTTAAACTCTCAATTCTCAAGTAGTTTTCCTTAAATCTGTACATAGGAAATACAACTGACGTACACAGAAAGATAATAACATATTACTAAGAACAATATCCAATACTACAGTAAAAACTGTTGGATGGAACACCTCTCTTTAATAAGAAAAACCTCTCTAGAAGAATCACCTTTCTGTATTTCTGTATATAAAACATCTCTCAATATAGAACAGATCCAAGAAGAACAAAGTCCCATTGACTTACATATTAATGAGCCCTCTCCGTAAGATATATCTTTCAAAATGAAAAGCTTTTAACCAGTACAGAGGTTGTCCCATATACACAGTTTTACTGTATTTTAAAAAACAATGTAAATCACTAGCATACATCATATACAAATTGTACATGCATACAATGTAATGTAACAGTTTTGGCACTAACATTAAACACAATGTAATACCTAATGGCTTTACAAAGATGGTGAACAGCAGACAGATATTACACATACACACAAGTTAATGTTTGTAATGACATATTTTAATTAAATTCATTTTATGGCATGAAGTCCTATTCAAGGAATAAAACATTAGAACTGCCCTAATGTAACATTTCCATGTTGAAACAACAGTCAGTCTAGTGCTAAACATAAACATATTTAACATTCATTTGTCACATCATGTTTCAGTTGGTTTCATATGTACTCATGTATTTCATGTATTTGGTGTTTCTAATACTAGACAATGCTTTTGAGTATCCACTTTCCAACTCCAAACTCAAATAATACACAGCTAGCTGTGGCTGTTGACAAAAATCTGGAGAGAACTATATATACAGTACATAGTATCCTAGTGATCTATGAAGTACATGTTATCATTGTAGTCTAATATACAGTGCATAGTCTCCAGTATTAACATATACTACATGCATAGAGCATAGTTCTATTTGCAGAGATATAATTTCTACTTGTATGGATCTGAATGCAGTCAGCTAACAGGTGGTCACAGTGTTATTCAGACCATGTACTAATTCAAGTGCTAAATTCTTCAAGTTGAATTTTTCGCACAGCAGCACAAAGATTTGGCCTGAATATTGATTTCAATAACACCATCAGATCCTCCATGTAGATGGTTCAGTTATCAAATTATCTGCACTCTTCGAGCCGATGGGTCCTTGAGATCATTAGTAGGAAATAACAGCAGATTTGCAGATACCAGTCAAAGCTGAATGTTCAATTATTGAACACAGTCCCTTCAACTCCTCAGTTAACTCGGTATTTCAACTATTTTTTTCTCTGTGATTTTTGTCACTAATTCAGATACTTGTTTCATTAGGGAATCACATTTGTCAAGAGATTTCTGAAATTAAAATTAATAAAAATATATGCAATGGTTTCTCTGCTCTGGAAAATGCACATTGCACATGTATCATATTCACATTTTCATTTATAAGCTTGAACAATCAAAAGCTCCCTTTGGAATGCCTTAAGACAAATAAGGCCATAAGAAGGAGATTCTCTGTTTTGCATCCCCTTGCTTGCACGATGTGGAGTAAATCAGAAAAAACAAACACATCCAAATAGCAATCACAAGGGTCTGAAAGTACCATCGCATCTTGCTCAATCAGAATCAGACGAAATAGCGGATAATTTGGTGTGCGTTAAAATTGACAGCGTTATTGATTACTTTGGCATACATTGTGTATTTTCTCTTTTTTTACCCTTGAATTATATTGGAATAGTATTTTTCATTGGTCTAAACCATAATAAATCACATCCTACCTGTATCTTTAAGACTAGGACCTTTTTGTTATATCTGACTTGGCTGTTTGTTTCACCAACGATGATAGCATCTAAATTCTCTAATAACTTTACGAATCTCTCAGTGGATTTAGCCAACTGCTTGGAAAGTTTCTCTAAAGCAAATGCTGTCACAGCTTTGTCTGTATAACCCTACAAATAATAGTTTTAAGTTTAATATACAGGTACATGTAGTAACTGGCAATACACCGTGTAACTGATAAGAGCAGCAAGTTACTGAAGAATCGAAGTGAGTTTGATCTGATGGGGAATTCAGTTTTCAGCTGATTCTGATATGCTTGCAACTTTTCATTTCCTAATATGACAATTTTCATACCTTGAACAGTCATAAGATTCAACCCTTCTTTTGTGCCTCAGAACAATCGTGTAACTTGCACAGTCAACACTACATGCACTAAGCATAACACAATAAGTAAACAATAATTTAATGTGTACTTTACCTTCTCCACCCCATCCAAATCTCTAATGATATCATTGATCTGTTTCTCCTCCTTTTCAATGTCTAGTTCTATAGCACCCAGAGTCCTCAGTGAAATGTTCTCATCTAGATCCTCCTGTGTGCAAATATCAAATATGCATTGTTAATGTTACACATGGAGAAGTCAAAGCAAAATGCATGCATGTATATTGTGGATCAATATTACAGTATACAAGACTTAAATGAGTAGAATAAGACTACATTTGTCTTCAAACTTTTACATATCAAAGATGTATTCATGTCTAACACATAGCATGTGTAACAATACATCAATCTTGAATTTTGAATGAATGCAGTGTGGAGGCTGGAGCACATCTTTTAAAAATTGTTTTTGGAAGATTTTTGGTCATGTATAGGCCTACTGTATGTTCAAATCCAAAGAATAATATTAATCAAACCATACAAATTGTCTTACCCTTTTCCCAATTAGCATTACTTTAGAATTTGGTTTTAGGCCTACATCACAGAGTTTTGCATGAACATCTGTGAGAGATTTTCCTGAAGCATTTAAAGCATATATGTTAATGTACAGCATAAACAATTTTAACATGATAAAATATGGTAAAATAAACCTCCAGTATTGCTATCAAATCATATTGTATCACTTTTCACAAAAATTCTCTTGAGTCTTCATTTTATATTTGCATTGACCATTTCCTTTATAAATGGAAAAATAGATGGCACTGTAGAGCTAGAATATATGGAGAAATGTATTGCAAGAGTCACTTAATTTCTTGATCGAAGAAGTAATTCTATTTGAATCAACTTAAAACATGATTTGAATGTAATTATATGAAGCTACGGTATATATAAAAAGGATCATTCACAAAAACACTTTGATTTACATCATATACTGTTGTACATACACTGTAGTTCTATCTATCATTGTCTATTGTACCTTTGAAAATCAATTTCTGGTTTGCCATTGGAACTTGTGTGGTCCTTTCTACCTCCCTTGAGAGCTGTTCCACTGTGAGGTCTCCCTCTGCTTCTCCCTCGGGAAGTGAAACTGTTACCTCATGCTTTTTCTGTCCTACAAAGGAATTATATATGTAAATATGTATACTACAGTGTGTCTCAAAAAAAATGTTACACTTACAAAAAGTTCAATATCTTTCATGATTTGACTTTTCCCCTAAAATATACTTAGATACCATAAGACCAGTCTTTCTCGAATAAATTCACACCATCAGATTCAAAATCCGTCCAAGATTGGCTGCACAGGACAGATTTTATAGAGGCATGTGAAATCTGATTTTCGGCAACTTCTCAGTGGCTGGACATGTGGTGATTAATTCTTTTTTGGTGTGAATGCTGTGGACAGTGATATCTTGATATGATCAATGATCCAGTTGTTTCTTTCCTGGATAGAAATACAAGATTTCATTGTCAGACTGTTCAATTTTGTTATGATGGCAACAGGATGGTGCAAAGGCCTGTGGCAGATCGTTTGGTAGAACTCTTTGGAAATTAGAAGATAGCATTGAATTACCCAATGGATTGGCCCCCAGGGTCATTCCACTTTACACCCTTGAGTTTTTAAGGGCCTCTGAAAGCGTTTACAGCATTACAAACTGACCTAAATGAACTTCTGCAAAATTAATTGATAGAATCAGAGTGATATTACAATTCATGCGCGCATGGGCAAGGGTACCTCAAGTTTAATTTGGAGAACATGTTGAGGGGACCACATGTTTATGTCTTATACCCAATGATCATATGTAAGACAAATAGGAAAATTACATAATGACTCAGTTTAAGGTCAAGCTTCTACTCAGAAGAAAGTTAAATATTAAAGAAACTATTCCTCTTTTGTCATTTGGTCAATCCAATCACTTAGAAGTTGGCGCAAGTCAGATTTTACCATCGGACACTAAAAGCTGTCATGTGGAGCCAATCGATGACAGATTTTGAATTTGATGGTGTCAATTTATTTTAGGGAAAAGTCAAAATTATGAAAGATATTGAACTTTTTGTGAGTGTAACATTTTTTTTGAGACACTCTGTAGTACAGTAAAACCTGTTTAATCAGAACATCACTAGTTTAAGTGTTTGGATTGTCAGGTGTCTATGGCATATAAAATGGGGCTGAAAGAAATGCATTAAAACTGAGAGGTGTTCAGATTAGAGAGGTGTTTGGACTTTAAGTGAAGAGTGGGCTGGTCCAATATTCAAGCAGGGTTTTATACCCATGGGCTATCAGAGCACAAGTAGCCTCTACAGTTAAGAAACGTTTAGAGATTAGCAGGATTGCCGTAACTGCTAGTCGCTGTCAAACAGTTTGATCAAACCAGGTTCATCATATGAAGGGCATGTCGGCTTAAAATTTGAACCAAATGTGACAGTACAAGACAGATGGATAAGCAATGGAGAGCTATTGAACTAAATAGAGGCTTTTCCATATTGCTTTGAAATCTCGTTAGAGTCTCATTTTTAAAATTCTAGTGATTTTCAAAATGGTCGGGCTAAATCCCCATTGACACAATGTTGAAAAACCTTTAAAAGTTTGTTTTCTCTTATACGGACTGAGTTGACATTTTTTGGTTTTGAAAATTCAAAATTGAATGACTTTTAGATCTATTGCAACTGAAAACACAGATTACGATTACTTCGTATGTGAGATCTACAATCTGGTGTAATATAACTCATGTTAGATGTATCAAACTAGAACAGAAAACGTAAAATTACCATGAATTAGCAACAACTCGATTTTCTGCTTCTTTCCCTCGTCTGCCATTGTACCGTAAATAATTACGACAACTTGTCAAGTCTCTCTGCAAAACTCAGAAATTATATGATGTTTTATTGTTTCTTGAGATTCAATCTAAATTGCAAAACTAAAATAATCATTACTTATCTCTAAATTGGCCATATTCTTTGCAAATTAGAATCTGGGTCATTCGTCGTTAAAAGTTTGTCGAGAATCAGTCTTTTGAAAAATAAAAAAATGAGCGCGGATATTTCGAATTCATTTCATAATCTGCGCCAGAATGCTCGATCTAGTCATTACTCAGCCGCCAACTTCCAGCCACTTATAACTACTGTGAGTATCCAACTAAATTAATTGATTTTTGATAATATAACTAGATCTATTGAACGGAATTTCGACAATATTTTTTCAGTTTCAAAATTAGACTATCTCCCAGAAAATTTTGTGGCGAACACCACCCTCAGATTTTTTCATCCATAGACTACCCCGGGCCTGTCAACGTAGGAACAAATAAAATGTTGAACACCTTCCTTCAAATCTGAACAACTTGGTTAAAATCTGAACACCTTGGTCCAAATTTTGAACACCTTGGTTCACAGCGTGTTCACAGTCAGTATGCAAGCACAAATCATCGGTCTACTTGATTAATACTGATGAGAAATAAACATTTCTGCTGTTGTCTTTTAGGTGATTTCCATTCATCGTTACATTCCTGACCCTACTGTCTTCAAAGATCTGTACAAAGATAGCTCCGATGTGTATGACATTGTTATCAGTGAAGATGGATATAAAATGAAATGTGTCCTCGGGGCCGGCCTTCATGAGTTGGTGCAGAAAAATAAGGTACTGTAATAAGTTTGCAAGGATTGTTACATGTATTTTATAACACTTTTAATGGCCAACAGAAACATAATTATGTACATTTCAAATGCTTCATCAAACAAGTCTGCTATTGTTTCATTTTTCCTTTTATGCTTTTCATTTCTTGCATCTTAAATATTGTATTTCAGTTGAGATGTGGGGTTATGGTTGAGCTGACAGATTGTGTGCTACACTTTGATGAGGCTGACCTTGCTGGCGGAGGTTATGTCATTATCAACCAACTCACTATCAAGCCTACCTCTTCAACAATAGGTACAACTCACTTTCTGTCATTATCAACCAACTCACTATCAAGCATACCTCTTCAACAATAGATACAACTCACTTTATGTCATTATCAACCAACTCACTATCAAGCCTACCTCTTCAACAATAGGTACAACTCACTTTATGTCATTATCAACCAACTCACTATCAAGCCTACCTCTTCAACAATAGGTACAACTCATATAGCTTATGCAAAAGCCTAATAACAAATATTATTTACAGCAAACATATATGTACAATTGCTATCATTCCTTCCATAAGCAAAATGTAAATGACTTGTGTGACAATATATGTCATCTCGACTATTTGAACTCTAGAATTGTAGATTTAGATCACACTTATAACAATGTTCTTTTCCTAAGCCTTATAAACATTTTTGCTCCAAGTATGATGAGTATAAAAACTTCCAAGACTCAAATACCAGTGCTCCTCTGCACTTAAATGAAAATGTAATGATTTAAAAATTTCCAGACTTGGACTACAGTGCTATCCAGTGGTTAGATGTATGTTCTGATAGAGAGAAGGAAGACCTGCCTCTGACTGGTAGACGTGGCTACTATCTGCCTCTCTGGAACTCTGAAGACTGCCAGGGAGAAATATGGCAGCAAACAGGTGCAGTGAAACTGTTTAAAAAAAAAAACATCTCTAAAAGTGTAGCACATCCATATAAGTAGAACACTTGAAAGTCACCCATTTTCCTTATAGAATTACTGTACAGGATAAAAATCTGTCAGTGTAATACCTCTCAAATGGAACACTTTTTGAGGTACTAAATGTGTTCCACTTACTAAATAACAGGTTTAACTGTTTAAAGTCTTTTTGTTTGTCTTCAGGCTTCCATAGCAGCAAGCAACTTGTTTACATTATGGGTGTTACATGATATAAGTGTATGAGTTAACGATACTTAAACAATCTTCATATAATATAGTATATGTAATTCATTTAACTGTTTTATGTTTTTAAGTTGAACCAAAGTACCATCAAAATGGGATAAATACAAAAGATGTTATATCTTTGAGAGATCTTAGTGACACATGGAAGAAACGCAAAAGACCCTATCCTCCACTTTTAGTGAGAGTTATGCACAAATCTAGGCCTCTACACTATGGGAAAAAAGACAGGGGTGATAAGTGGCCATATCAGGTATAAAATACTAAAAAAAAGCTTTCTTGTCTCTCATTAAAAAATCTAAATTACTTTCTCCATTTGTTATTACCGATTTGTGATATGCACAATATTACATGAATTTTTATTAAAGATAAGAAAAGGTAATTAAATATAGCATTTTTGTGGAATTACCTGTACGTATGTACGCATGCCCTGTTGATACTGAAAAAATCACTTCACTACTCTCCAGTTTTTATAAAACCAAACATTTATTAGACTGTTGGATCCAGGTGTATCTTCTTGTTAAGGTTTATCTAATGTATATTTGACTATTCTATTCCTGCAGGTTTATATTGAAGTAGGGGACAGATCTGGTACATGTACAGCAGTGTTATGGAACTCTCTCTGCCCAGAACTTTACTACAGGTGAGAAAAGTACAAGATGCCTTGTCTGATATAATTTTTTGTCTACATCAATCCAATCCTACATGTTGCCATTTTCATTTGATGATTTTTGTATTTGTATGGCTTAATGCTGTTTTGTTATAAATATATCACTTTGTCAATATTATTTTTTTAGCTTAATTTCTTCCAACTTTTTCATTTCAAAAGGAGGTAGGTGGAAGCATGTTGCATCCACAAAGTTAAAACCTTATTCCATAAGGACATATTTTGTGTTTTGAGAAATTGAATTCTACATGAACTTCTTGTGAATAACATGTCCATTTAATTTTCTGTAGCTTAGAAGATGGAAGTGTGCTACGATTGCACAATTATACAGTGAGAGAGCAGTTCCAAGTGCGAAGTAAACCCACCCTAAGGAACACTACCATGGAGAGGTTTAACATTGAAATTGGACTGAATAAACACCATCCCCAGGCAGATGTAACATTCGTTCACCATAGGAATCTCAAAACAAAGTGGAATCTACCTCCACTAAAATATAATTTCATATCCAGAAAAAATATCAGGTCAGTAACTCAAGAATTGAATGGTAGTATTTATTTTGTATTTTTAAGAAGTGTTTTACATGTGGTCGCACTTGCAATATCTGTTTTGTATGTAACACAATTCTAAGACTGGGAAAATCATTTTTGTATTGTGGTCATTCACTCATGTTGTTTATGTAATACATGTCCAATATAGGATCAGTTTTATCGATTGATGTATTGCAAATACTTGATTTTTCAGTGGTCTACCTCAGGACTTTAATTGTGATGTCATAGGACTTGTCACTCATGTTGGCCAATTCGAAAGAGAGCGGAAAAAAGGTGGGAAGTTTTCATATCTCCAATGAAAGTATATTTTAGAAAATCATTAGATATTATGACTGACATACATGTACATGTACATATTCATAAGTTTGGACCTTCTTTTTAATGACTGTGTTTGTTATTTTCAGCTAAAGATGGCACCAGTTGTGGCCATCAATTCTGGTTGAAAAGATGGATTCAGATAAAAGATGGCAGTAGTGATAAGCCACTATTTATTGAGCTTTATTCTACATCACAGGTACAGTGTACATGTACAATAATTTTCCATATGAAAATAATTCAGCGAAAAATACAAAAAGAAGATAATACAAATCTGTTCGTGAAATGATATTTAAGATATGGACCTTATAAGATTTTATCAAAACTCACTACAGTACACACTCCTGTTTCATTTTTAACCTTCTGTTGATGTTCAAATTGTATTGACAGAATTTTTTTTAATCTAAAATATACAAGGTTTTCATGTGTTTCAGTGTGAGGTCCACAATGAGCTTTGGAGAGGGAACATTGTGGTTCTTACTCAGATGAGAGTCATGCACTCTACAGAATCAATGAAGAACTCAAGGACTCACAGAAACATTTATCTGACTACTACCAATGAGTCAAAGGTAGGAATGCTGTTTAATGTCCCCTCAGTTTTATGTGACTCTACGCTTGTAGTAGATTTCTAAAAAATCCTAATAAACTACCTAATATGCAATATTCACCCTGTCTCTCATGATTATAACACAAGCCCATAAAAAATTACATAAAAGGCAAAATTTTTCACTAATAACGCAGATGCGATTAGGTAGTTACCAGATTCACCACCAAGTTGCTCATTCGGGTCAGATAGCATGGCGGGTATAGTAGAAAGTTCCCTTTAACTTATATTACATCTATTTCCATGGTTCAATTTTCATATAACCCTTATGTATCTAATAGTTATGCAAATTAAAATATGTCCAGTAAAAGAAAATGTTATCCGTCCAATACAAGAAAAGACAATTCACTTTTTGTGATTTTGTAGCATGGGGTCTATGGGTAATCAAAGAAGTCACATTTTCAAAAAAATTAAATTTCCCAAGTTGATAGACAATTTTCGAAATCATATTTCTAGATGTACTTTTACATGCAGATTTCAAATATGACTTATAATATGAATTTTTAATATTTAATGACATAAAACAAGATTATTTCTACTCGCATCTAATCTATTGTAATTCTTTGTTCTCTGCCATCCATTTGTATTTTGTACATGATCATGGTCAATTTGATGATGCAAAATGTTTCTCCAAGTGCATGCAATTTTAGAACTAGTTTTAAAGCACTGTGTATTTGCTTTCTATTCAGGTTTATTCTGCAACTGCTGACAATGAATATAAACCATATGATTCATATGAGAAGACCCCTGAGTACAAAAACTTGCTTTCTTGGATTTCGAGCAACAGGGATTTCCTGAAAAATAGCATAACGCTAGGAGGAACAAGTGTCTATCCTACTCTACCAACAACTTTGGGGGATTATAAAGCACTTTATACAGATGAGGACACAATAAAGGTATCTTATCATTTTTTCTTCATCCTGACAACTCTTATGTTGTACATCTAAAGTTGTACCATCATGACCTAGATTTGTATGGGCGTAGATGACTTGCTTTGAGGCAGGCAAATCATGGAGTCTTTCACTTAGATCTTTAAAGCCCATTTATGCCCTTGATGTTCATAAAAATCATCTTTCATGCCAATTATTCAATATGTTTCATTAGTCATTTTTTCAATTTCAAGTTCCTGATTATGTCTTATACATATGCATGTCATGCTCTGGTATGTAGAGAGTTAATTGTATACTTCTAGGTGACTCCACTGAATGAACTTGAAGCAGTGATAAAAGACCTGAAGTACCTAGAGCACAAGAGAGTGCACATACAAGGTCATATTGTCCACATTGAATTTCTACCAGCTAGTGCTTCTCAACCCGACCAACTACCAGACTTAGTTTCTCCTATTGCTGGAAGAGTCAGGTAAACTGTGACGAATTTAAGTGTCTCCTATCTCAACGCAAAACACGAAACCAAGTTTGTCTAAAATTCCATTTATTTGTAAAAATTCAAAGTTCCAAAAATATGCTTCTTACAGTTTTTGTCTGACTCAGCTCCAGTCCATGCAACGAGGTTCCAAAGATTTAATGTAAAATTGCCTCTTTTATTCCCAAATTTTGAGGTAGGCAGAGCCAAAATAAGAGGTCTTGTCCAATCAAATCTCAAAAATAACCATTTATAAAAATTGGCCGAAAATATGTGTGAAATAATTCTCTAGATATAAATATAAATATTACAGATTTCTGCCTACATTGTTTAGAAAAAGGTCGAAGGTTTCCCATAAATCCTACTATTGTTGATAATTCGTGATTGCAAGAATTTAGTGTTTACATGGACCAGAGTCTGTATGACGTCATGAAAGTGAACTATTCACCGCTCTCATTTAACCTATTAAGTAATTAAGTCCATAAAATACACTTTTTATAATCATTCAAATGCTAAAAATTACAGAATAGTTTTCACACATAGAAAGGTTATATATGTATAATGATATCGAATATATGTCCTCTAAATATTGATATTTGGGTAATTAGCACTGAAACACACCATCAATAATTCATATTTCTTTGTTGATTTTGTTCTGTCAAAATGTAATGTTGCATCCGGGAAGCATGAAAACATATCACCACCTCATTAATCCAAGATTACAATTCTTCACATTTAGGTCATAATTTATCCCATGTCAAAAGTCGCTAGGCCCAACTCCCGAAGCTTTTCTCATTACTATTGGTTACATTAAAGAAGTATCCAGAAGCACCATCAGCTCTTGTATTCAGTTTTTATGCCATGTTAATTTTAGAAATGTTTTAATGTTAACAAATCACTATATTAATTGCAAAGATGTGGATTGAAACAACTGATATCATAACAAACCAAATGGTGTCAGAATCAACAACAATAAATCAATACAATTGTTCCAAAGTTAATGTAACCTTACTTCTTCCAAGCTGAACACAAATATATTAGATCATAGTTAATTATTAAATAAGGCCAATTGCAACTTTGTCACAAAACTACCTTAGTGAACTAAAGAGATATATTTAAGATGTATTCAATAATTTGGACATTTATTGTGTAATTGTAAAATAGTTAATGGTTACTTACGAATTAAAAAGCACAAAATGAAGATATGAAACTTTTCAAAATTACAATTACTTGTAATATATGACTTTATCTTATCTGAATAGGCCTAGTGAATTATTAATCTTTATTTAGATCAAAGCGTAAAGGACAACCAATTACAGCCAAAGAAACTCAAAGTTCAGCAAAGAAATCCACACCTGAGGGTAGTGAACAATGCAATAAGGTATATTAATAATGAATAGACAATGGGGCAAGGGGCCCAATGCCCAATCCATTCATAATGGAGCCTGTAAAAAAATTCAAATGAAAAAGAAAATAAAGATATTTTATTATGTCACCACCACAAGTGGTGATGTTTAAGTCTCCAGTTTTTGTGGATGTGGTTGGTGTTTGGCGGTCGGTGTCTTACAAATGGAAGGTGGTGACATTTTGCATGTCATTGCCTTGGTTTCACTTTAATGCGATGTAAATGCTAATGTATGCTTGGACAATGGACCTTCTTATCCTGTAAATACAATACTAATAACGTTGTATTTTTTCTAGGAGAATATTGTCATGGTGGATCCAATCTGGAAGAATCTTGAATCATCTTCTATAGGAACACTAGGATCAAAGCCTGGTCCATATGTGTACACATACCAGTATACTCAAGCTCACAGGCTTCTGTTGAACGAACACTTCCAGCTTCAACTCTCATCTGGTGTGCCCAACAATGTGGAGGGGTCTTTGCATGGTGAGTTTAACCATAAGCAGTTTTGTAAATAGATATCACATGTGTAGACGAAACAGTAACTCTAAGGTGTTGCTGTTTTAAGTAGTGAGTAAATAACTACAATAAAAACCAAAGTGGTATAACTTTTCCTAATGGCCTTTAACAAAAATCCAATTGAAAAAGAAATATGAATAACATTGTAATCAAAGAAAAATTCCGAAAGGCCTGATCATTGTACAATATGAACAAATATTGTTTTACAGATTTGCAGCCCTATGACACAATAGGATGTCTTTGTTTTACAATACTTGGACTTAATGGAGAGGCGGTGGTTAAAGCCAGTCTCCCCCTCAGCTCAAAGGTCCCAAGTACCACCACTCTAAAAGATGTATTGACTGGGAATACCCTTACAGATGCTTCTCACACATCCACTCTCAGTGTGAAGGACGTACAACATTTATTGAAGTCAGGAAAAGTATTTAAAAATATTCGAACATTGTTTATCCTTGAGCTACACTGTCAATCTGGTGGGGATGTAGATGTTGTGCTTAATAGAGCTTACACCTTGTGATATTACTATTTTATTATATTGGTGGATACATCATCCAGCAATAACAATATTTTAAGAAAATGCATGAGAATGCACGGGGGGTTGGAATGGCAATGAGAAATATTAGTTTTACCCTTTCATTGTAAAGATACAATGTGATTTTATTAAATTATACTCCTGAAGTGCCAAATAACATATTGAGTTCTGTTTTTCATTTAGGTAGCATTCGCGCGAATTCAGCTGACGACTGACGGATTAACTTACTTTTTTAAGGGCAAACTCATCTGAATATGAATGGAATAGTGGCAGATAGGTTAATCCGTCAGCCGTCAGTTGAATTCGCTTATGATACCTTAATTGCATGCATTTATAATTAATTATTTATTATGTCACCATCTTTACTATGATGACATTTGTGAACGGCATTCGGGTTCGTTTTCAAATAATCCTAACCCTTTCTAGGAGGTTCCATTTAAAATATTTTAAAGACCTTTTCTAAAGTTTTAATCAATATGGTCAAGTTTAAACGTTAGTTTGCAATAATTATCAACCAGTAAGTAAAATGTTGTCATTTCATTGCCTTATACTTCATAAACATGATTCAAGCAATTGCAAATAGGTGTGTTTCAAATTATTCATTCATAAGTGGGTCGAGTTTAAATAAAATTTACTCTTGAATAAAGATTTAAAGGTAAGTCCAAGGTTGTTATTTTAAATCCAGCAGGTGCACTGAAGATGTCTTCCTCCATTTTTGCTCTAGCCTTTCTTTTAACGGTGAGTACATTAGTACTGCTTTTAGTCTTGTAGACAGTAAATTAGAAAAATACAATAACTTACAGTTTATAGTTCATAATGATCTGCTGGTTATATTGATACCAGGTGAAAAGATATACCGAGGTTATTTACCGTTTGAGACTGAATAAAAGTACATGTCAATACTAAGGTATTCCTTGCTCTTATATATACATGCTTCATTCGATATGCAATATGATCTCTCACAATTGAAATTGATTTCTGTACAAAATACTTGGTATCATATTTATCTCTTGTTTATTTCCAGGCTGGTACCGTTAACTGCTCAGTCGATGTCTCGGCAAGCGATTGTAAGTTTTAAAATGCCACAGTACATGTGCACCCCCTCCAATTTCAGGAATGATTTTCGGACCATGTGTTCTTGCCTGCATGTGTTTATGTTTGGCGATAATAGGGAGGTTAATATTTTGAAGAACGTGTACGTGAAACGTGCAAATTCATTGTCCACTATGGATTATTTTCACCTCACTGGCCTTTATGTGTCTGATTGAGTATGAAGGTGTGAGGAAAAAAGTCATAATTAGGTCCTCGTTTTTACTCGTTGACGTTCAAGTTCTGCCAAATGCGTGCAACTTAAACTCTCGGTTCTAAACTTGTGGAGGGGTGTTACTACTAGTAAATACTTAAGGCTTATAGTCACGAAAGAATTTATTTGATTCAGTCGAGACACTGTACGAAAAAGCTCACTGTATATCAGATAGTGATTTTAAAGGGTCATATTTTGGTAAAACTAAGAGAAACGACAAAATTAGATAACTGCTGATATCAAGTCATGGTGTTCGATGGTTAGTGTTTTGGGGTCGGTGTCTGTAACAAATGGCAGGTGGTGACATATTGCATGTTAATACCTTGTTGTTTCTTTAGTCAGAGTAGCATGTGGCAATGAAGATGGCACGACGGGAAACTTTGGCCCAATTGAGATAAACATTTACCCAGAACAAGGTTGGCAGCCAAAGAACTACACTGTTTACACGTTTAACGATGGCGACTGCTTGTTCGAGGCACTATACGGCTTTACGTACCCGGTGTTCAATAACGACGCTGGTGCGTCACGTTACAGTAAAGTTATTCCAGCTCAAGCGTACGTGAACGTAGACGATGCATCTGAACAGTGTGGGGCTATACGCAAGGTTCACGTTATTTCTTTTCCCAAGACAGAGAGTGTCTACAGATATGACAGATATGAGTCATATCGACTCAAAAGTATCAAAACGTTAATGGGATAAACTTCAATGTACAGACAGGACAGAAATGTAAAATTTTGCAAGGCCTGGTATTTTAGTTATAAAGTGCCGATAGAAGTACTTTTTAGAATGAACAAAAATCAAGAAAACGTCGTATAAAATATATGTTTCATTTATTGTGTTGTTTTATTTTCTACATGCACTGGGTACTGATAATCAAAACAATCGTGATTTGTAGACTATGGCTGATATTGAGGTGGCAGTTGTTGTAATGGAAGGTACGATCCTGAAAGCCAGTGACAAGGTCTTCAATGTGCGGTGTTCGTACGGAGGGGAAGATTCGGCAACTGGGAGTGTTGCAGCGAGTGGCAAATAAATCCGGCCGGCAAGACTATTTACAAATAAACACTATTTTTGTAATAATAACGTTACTAAAGTGACTTTAAGAACAATGTAGAACTGTTTCTCTGTTCGGTCTCTAACGTGCAAACTACAGCTGGAAAATATGTCGTCTTAAGATAATTTTGAGATAAACAATTTGTTTGATTTGTTTTAAATAGCTTCATGTCATCTCATTTTGGTTGATTGGATGGGATGATCGAGGCCATGTGAAATCATGACACAGTTAAGCAGTCACATCAATTATTTCAATTGTCTCCCGAAGGAGAAACTCCTTAACTCCTTAAGCTCGATGCCAACCCTTGACATTCACTCTGTCTCCTTTATCTCTTAAGTACATTCTTTGTTTTTGAATTTCATGATAATCATAAAAGGCTGTTTTTCTTTTAATTTTGGAGTGTAACAACCAACGACACTCTTGTTTCACATCCATATCCTACTTTTATCCATGTACATCATTTTATGCAAAAATACACTGAGGATATCAGGCAAATATACTTGGCCTCCTTTCACTGTTGTCTGAGTCAGTATAGCCCGTATTATCCATTCCGTTTGCTGTTGTTGTATCTGCCATAGTAAACCATACATTTTCCTCCATATTTCCTCCGACTTCTCGCTTTTGTCCGACATCTTTTCCTCGATCGATCGGACAAAAGTCGGGGACGTAAATTCGCTTGAATGTTCCGGGTCCGAGAATAAGGCACGTTATACCGATACAAAGCAAGAGAGTTGACCAGAAAAGTACATTTACAAAGAACGCAGCATCCGTGATTTCTAAAACTGTCTCAGTCCTGTTAACTGCTGGATTATAATAGCAAGTCAATTCTTTGTCTTTCATTCCATTTATGTTTTGATATTCCCGGACAGTATCGTTGTTGGCCGAGTCCGAGGCCGAACATAGCTTAGGGGTATTGGAGCAATGCTTCAGAAAGCCATCAGCTTCGCCAAAAGATTCTGACCGTCTTCGTTTCTGAAATAAAACATTTGTTATGTCATGATTGTTAATTAACGGTGAAATAATCGATAGGCAGTGAATAAGTACGGATTTGATGATTGTGAAGTGCTCAAGAGATTACGAGAATATGAAATATATAGAACTTTTGCTCCGAACGTAATATGTCCGTCCGTCTTTTCCGTCCATTCCACAATGTGGACTCTACAGTATTAAATATCTTTTGACCTGTTTAGTATATTCGTTGATTACTAAAACCATATGTTTGATATGGATGATTTATATTAACTCACCACCAAGTCATAACTGAAATAATCCTTGAACATCGAAGCATTCTGTACTAGTCTATTTTGCCTGTCCTCGTACTGCACCACTACCACAAGACAGGGGAAGAATCTCTCGCAGTGTTTTGGACACTTGCACAACAGTGGGCAGCTCGAGTAAAAACTTTTCTGTACGGTACAGGTGGTACGGATAAACTGTCCGAGGGCCTGGTAAGGATCAGTGTAAAAAAGGAGAAATATCACGATAAGTGGCACTGAAAATGATACTGACAGAATCCCTAGAGCGCGGATGAGGTATCTTGTCTTTTTCGTCAGCTTGTGCATTGTGTGACTGAAAAGTGTTTTTATCTACCAGATTGGGATTCACTTATAGCATAGCGGATCCCTGTAGTGCCTACGACGATCTTGCTTTGATCACTGCAACGGACCCTCCTTGGGAGTCATTGTCTCCTGTGTCTGTATGGAAAACAAGATGACACGCGTGACTCGACTTGAACCAATTATCTCTATCACGATCGTGATCTTGGCTTAGAATCCGAGATGTCTGTTATGAATCATTAGCTTATCCTGTACGTATTTTTGAGTTTGAATAACCTGTTGACCATATTCATTGTCCACATCAGTTTTATATTCTACTCCTGTTATCGTATGCTATTTGAATGATCACATATCAAGAATTTGAATAACTGATGTAAAACGCAATTCTTCAATTCAGTGAATCCCAGGTACGACATTTCGATGATTAAATAGACGTACACGCAACATTAAGATTTGTTTCCAATATCTTCTTCCGGTTTAGTTCAACAGTTTCAATATGCGTAAAAATATAATTGCGTCGATAAACAATAAACTCGACCTCGTTTCACCATTGCATTTACAATATTAGATTCATTTGCAAATGTTGTTCTAAATTTAATATTGTGCGGATTACTGATCGATGAAATCAGGTGAAGTTATTTAAATAACCAATACTCATCATGCTAATGTTTTAATACGGTAAGATTCTACGCAGAGCAGTTTAGCCAGATTTGTATGTGGTATAGAAGAATTTTGTAGTTATAACTTTAGACCTCGTTTTAGACCGACCTACATGTGTACTTGTTCGATTTTACCGAAAGTAGGTTTCTTTCAAGGAAAACAAACATTTTCGGTTATTCAGTTATTTCAAGTTTATAATAAATGTTTTTGTCATAGAATAGTCTTGATCTAGAAAGTTGATAATACATTTATCTGTTAATTTTTTAATTTTGGGACTGTTCATATATTTGAACTTGGAATCTTACATATTTATAAGATATCGTGGATCGTATTTTGATAAAACATATTTGAGAAGGTAAAGAATACATCGTCGTGGGGTTTTTGTACGTTGCATGCAGTACTGTCACCTCCTACATGTCCTATATCTCATTCTGCAATTAAGACTCCCGGGTTCAGACTTCACTAACCAGACTCATTGGCAGCGATGCCGTTGAGACACGAACAGGGAAACCACTTGTTGCTGGATGGTACAGAGAGATCAATATTCTCCTCGCCTGTTAGTCAACGTCATTGATGAATGTTTAATCAGGTGTTTCAACTGCTGCCATTAAGGAGGTAAAGCTACACGTTTTTGAGATAACTTGCCCGTGAATGGGTAATAAAGTAAACTTTACATTAATTCATGTTCAGTCAGATACATATAAGTATAACGAAAGGGAGAACTAATCCTTGGAAGACCCTATAATTCTACATACTATAAGGTATCTTGAGAAACGTGTAGCTTAACCTCTCTATCATTTTTTCATGCAAAAGAATCCAAGTTCACGCTCGATCCGCCATCTAAATGTGGCTTGAGAAAAATGTAGGGCCTCACTTAGTGGGGATTTTTGGGCATGACTTGGGCTCTTTGGCCAAATTATCGAAAAATGGGCCTTAATTTTCAAAATTTGGGCCCAATTTGGGGGATTTAGGGACCCCAAATTTTTTTTCGCATCTGACTTGAAATGTGGGCCACCCCCTTGTTCAGTGTTACATCTGGATCCGCCAGTGAACAGTATCATAATATCATTGTAATGTATGTATATGGCATTAATGTCCTCTAGAACTCCGGCCCATGGCTACATTTGGTCACTTGCATGATAGAATTACCAAACTAATTATCCATTAGACACGGAGTTATCTGGTAAACAAACACAAACGACAATTAACCAGTCTAATTGGTATATTTTTTCTCATGTATCTTATTTTACATGTTTGGTAGATTTCCAAAATAGCAAATATGTATTTAGAAATGAGAATACTGTTCCAGAATTTGCAACATTATCAGAGCCAAGTCAATATTTATTATTTATCAGATTTCTGTAATAGTTTTGGCAAAGCAAGGTTTGTAAAGTCCTTGAGTTTTATCAATTTAGAGAATGGTCCAGTGGTAAGATTGGGTTTGAAGTATGCCTGTTCTGCAGGCGTAGCCACGACACTTTTGAGCCCAACGCTCTTTAAAACACAGCAAAAATTGTGGTAACCCATTTTGTTTTCATCACTGCTGAACAGTTCCACGTGGATGGCGTTCTGTGGAACATACTGCGTCTTATCTCTGTAAACATAGGGAATCAGTACATCCCTTACCAAAGTCACACCTCCGTAGACGGTATTGATAAATTTATCGATGTTGGTAATGTTTTTACAGAAGTCGCGCAAGGACACGAGGAGGCCTAGGTGCTCATCCTTAACGGTATCATCAAGGAGCGTCTGGAAAAGACGTCTCTCGTTCCGGTGCGGACGATGTGTATGAGTGTATCTCTTTAGAGCCGCTGACAAACGTTCATCATCACACTTATTGAACAACTTCTTCAAACATTTTGACAGAGTAAAGGGTTTTCCGTCCCTCTCAACTGTAGGGATATTTGAATGCTTGCTTGTCAATTTTGTTCTGACCGTTGCAAGTCTTGCTTTAAGTAAAAATGTGTGTATATCTTTAGAATAATCCTCCGAAGATATTGTTCGTTCTTTGTCAGTGTCTTTGTCCTTTACAAGGTAGAGTTTCATATTATATTGGATAGGTTGGCTGCATGGTTTTTGGTGTTCGGACGATGACGTGCCACCATCACGTGATGAAGATGGCGTTCGATTGTCGCAGCTAGAAGACGGTTGACGTGGTGAAGATGTCGTTGTTGTGATCTGATCGTCTTGTTCTGAATCACACTGGGAATCTTTCTCTGGAAAAATGAAATTTACTATTACCGAATTATTTGTTTTGTCCAAGGCTATGAGCATTAATATAACATTTTGATAATGTATATATTGAAATGAGATATTAAGATCCAAATGTCAGATGATGGAACATACTCAAAATCACACTATCTGACAAATGCACGACCAAAATCTGAATTTTAACTCAAAATGACCTATTTTATTTTTAGCACAACATGAATTGCATATTTTGTAAGTTAAAACAAGACAAGGAAAATAGTTTCTCGGTTGCTTAATTTTGCTCTCATAGCACTTACCAGCTGAATCTTTTTCCGGATCTTCTATGTCTGCAGTAATTGCTGCTTCCACACGATCTGCCGTTCGCAAGATATCGTCATCGTCTGCGTTGTTCTCTGCGTCCTCCTTATTATCATCGTATTCGAACTCTTGTGTGGTTGTTACTTTGTCATCTTTGTCCATTTCATCATCAGATAATTCTATCAGTTCTGGCGATTTTGATAGTGTTTCAATGAAAATTATGTCCTTTATGAACAAACAGTCGTCATCTTCTGTTGTATCCTCTGCGTTTTTTGAAGATTCCTTATGAGTATTCTCACGAGAAGATTCTTTATCGGGATTTTCAGTAGATTCTTGTACTCGGTTCTCGGGAGATTCTTTATCAATAGTCTCAGAGGATTCTTGAGCTGGGTCCTCAGTAATTTCTTCCTTGTGAATCTCAGCCGTTTCTTCGTCGGGAATAGCACCAGTTTCATCCGAGTTCATTCGAATAGCCATCATATCATTGTCAATTTTGCTATCATCCGATTGTTCCCCATCTTTATTTGAATCACACATTTTCATTACATATTGACGTGAGTCCTCCTCATTTATAGGTGATTCTTTGGAATCAATAGGTGATTCCTCGGCATCAATGGGTGATTCCTCCGCATCAATGGGTGATTCTTCGGCATCAGTAAGTGATTTCTCGGTATCCGAGTCGTCTGATACATAACCAATCAAATCATCCATAATTTCAGACATATTAATCTTGGGACCAGGGCCATTAGTTTCTGATTGGTTCACATCTAAAGCACCAGATTCCTTCGTTGCATTTCGTTGTAGATCGTCCTCACTGTCCAAGGAATCATCAAGACATCTTCGAGATATTGATTCTCTTATACTGTTGGAATCGTCTTCATTGTCAGAGACTTGTTCGTCCTCACCATATGCCAACGTTGGGCAGGGTGAAACAGGACATTGTTTTTCCAGAGAACAGAACGAATCTTTATCTTGCTCATCGGAACAGGGCGATGTCTGATCCACGGTCATATTGTTAGAAACATGTACATTATTTACATCAAATAAATTCGACCTCATTGGACATGGAGAATCCGCGTCTTTAGTGTCATCGATTTCTTGTTTCACCAGCTTTGTTTGCTGATCAAATAGCATAGTATCATTACTATTCCCTTCAATAGATGTACCATCTGTCATCAGTTCATCGGGCACATATTCCCGACTTGATCCAGTATTTCTAAATTGTGAACAGTCATGCTGAGTATTTTCATGTATAATATTATTGTCACAATTGTCCACATCAGCAGGTGTCGATAATGAGGCATCGAAATTGAGATCGTGATTTTGTGGTGTGTCAGCGAAGGGGATATCGAACTCAACGCTTACCATTCTCTCAGTTGAAGTAATTTTCGGATTAAAGAATTCAATTGTAGATTTCTTTGATGGACTTCCTTCTAAGATGTCTTCAATCCCCAAGCCATCATCAAGTCCTCTTTTACCTCCTGCAATATGTGTTGGTGATTGTGTAAACTCGCTTAAACTCACGAATGGGACAGGTGTCGATGATGACGACATGATTACATCGGTTGGTGAAACCATATGTGACGACGACGAGATAGTTTTACTAGCTGAAACTTCGAGTGGTGTCGGCGAGGTCGTATTGCTTTGTGGGAGGATGAGTGATGGCGATGAGATCGTGTTGACAGAGGGGACTATGAGCGACGACGACGTACTTATTTTACTTGATGGATGCATGACGGCTGCCGAGGTGATCGTGTTATTTGATGAATCCATGACAGATGGCAATGACGTGAACGTGTTGCTTGGTATATCCATGGTGGATGACGGCGATGTGAACGTGTTATTTGGTGGATCCACAACAGATGACGACGTGAACGTGTTACTTGGTTTGCTTGATGTAACTTTAAGTGATGACGACGAGGTCATGTTGCTTGATGGTATTATGAGAGATGGTGACGACATTGTGTTGATTGAAGGAACACTGGGAGATGACGACATGATTGTGCTTGTGTTTGTAGGTTGAACCACGGGTGATGACGTGTTGGTTTGTGGTATCGCCAGAGGAGGGGACGAGGTTCTGTTGCTTTGTTGAGTAACTGGTCTATGCCATGTATATCTAGAGTGAATATCTGTATGTTCACCACGCTGAAATAAAATTATATCAATATAATATATTGATAGTTAAGAAAATATATGAGCCAGGCCACAAGAAAAGGGGTCTTATCACAGATTTTTCAATATTTTGATTTTTTGTTTATCTTTAAAAGCACAAAAAGACCTTTCAAATGCGTCATACAAGTAGCGATACAATTCGAATAACTATTTTAATCAATAATTGCAACTTTAGCCCATGTCACATTTAAAATGATATCTTTAAAGACTTTACCTCTGGTGCTGGTTTGCTTAGAGCAGAGTATAAAATGGGAGATTTTGTTGAAGCTCGTTTTACGGAATTTCCAGGTTTTGCTGGAACTACATTGGGTTCACTGGATGTAGATGTTGCACTAGGGCTCAAGATGGAGTGATAAAGCGGTGGTGCGATGTGTGACTCGTTCACTCGCAGATTGTTACTCGAGATTCCTTGGTTAAAAGTATTGTCCGAAGTTCCTCGATTCTCCATATCATTTGGCTGTGGAGTTGGATCGTAACAACGTCCAACAATTTCATTCACGAGATTTGATAGTTGAACGCCATGGTGGTTCGATCGAGAAGCTGTATTATTCGTGTCTGGTGGTTGTGATGAAGGTTGCATAGTCTGCAAAGATTGCATACTCGAAGGCTGTTGATGTCCTTGAACTTGGCTGGAATTGTTATTCCCTAAATGCTGGTACATTCCATTTCTGTCAGGCACTGTTGGTACTTCTTGGCGGTACTTTCCAAATATTAAGTCTTTTAAAAGCTGCTCTCTTTCAGTAAATATTTCTTTGAGGAAAAGCCCCTTGGAGTTTTTATTAGTTACACAATCCGTCCACTTCTGTTTTTCAAATGTCGTAAAATACCGAGAGTTTCTCTCATAAAGCGAATCTAAGTGTTTAAATTTCTCAAAGTATTCTTTTCTTTTGTTATGAAGTTTAACTAAATCGTCCATGGTCAATTCGTCCTGTTCTAGTATAGTGCTCATTTGAGAATGTTGAGCAGTTGATTGCCCAACCACCTGGTTGTTATAACGAGGGCGTGGCGACTGCTGGGCGTAAGTGCCGCGCATATGCATTGTATTCACGTTTGCGTTCAATTGAGGTTGCGTATACCTTTGGTTTTGCGCTGCTGTTGGATTCACCTGTCGCTGCATGGACTGCTGCCAAACGCGGTGTTGGTAGTTATATCCATTATAGTTATTGTTATTATTTGTGTTGAGATTTTGTTGAGCATTGGTTTGAACTGTCGTACAGGTAGATTGTTGAGGCCAGGTTACTGAAGTGTTCCACGTATTTGAAAATGTGGTAGGGACCTGGTGGGAACCTGTATTTGTATATGTCACAGGGACCTGATTGGAGCCTGTATTTGTATATGTCACAGGGACCTGATTGGAGCCTGTATTTGTATATGTCGCAGGGACCTGATTGGAGCCTGTATTTGTATGCGTTGTAGGGACCTGGTGGTAACTGTTCATATTCATAGATCGAGTGCCGTACCCATTCGAAGCATGTCTGGGTTCCTGGGCTAGAGACCCTTGTTGTGCGCAGTGAAGAATGGACTGACTGGTGTATGGTCCGTTTAATTGCCCAGCGTTCATTTGTCCGGGACTCATTTGCCTGGTGTGTATTTGCCCTGGGCTCATTTGTCCTTCGTTCATTTGTCCGGCGTTCATCATAGGTTCGCCCACACCACGCTGCTGCTGCTGTATCCTATGTTGATCCATACTGTATGGACCCTGAAAGAACATTAAACGTTGTTGAATAGTATGATTCCGTACAAATTCACAACTCTCCATTCCGATTTATAAGAGTCCTCGATCTTTATCAAGAAACTACTCTGCTATGCTGCTGGTACCACAATAATGGCTCTGTTGGATTGATAGTACAATAGCCATAAACATTGATTATTATTATATTGTATTGCATTTGTTTATGTCCTGAGATAAGCTGTTGGCCAAACAAAGATTAGGACCGCTATAGTATCCACAGGTCCTACCCTTGCACTGAAAGAGAGGGTCTGATCGATCAATGGGTATTTATATTACAGTTTTGAATAGTTATGTGAATTCCAAAAATGTTTTTTATTATTTTGATCATGTCAACGCGCGGGGGGGGTACGTCCTGAACTGCAGATGTTTAAGGTCAACAGAATGACGTGAGAAATGAGAACCGTATATAAGGGGGCTATTTGCCAAGTGGCTTTTATGGTACTTCTTGACATCAAAGGGTTCCATGGCAAATTTGAACGCCGATTTGAGGTAATAAAAGTACAGGAAAACTGTCTTAACTCACAATAGTAGTATATAGCAAATAAAGCTGAATAAAGCTTACATACTACATGTCAGCCTTATTTGTCTTTGATTTGTTTGGGCCATGATTTATCAAAACGTGTTGGTCGAATCTGTTTGTCTTTTAAAGAAATTTAGCATTGCATCAACGGAGAAATGGCCTAAGTTATTTAAAATGTCACGGAAATGATTTAAATGACAAAACTGTATTAAAAAGAAAGGGAAGTAAGTCATTCGGGGTAAAAAGTACAAATCTCTTAAAATCTCGTGAAAAAACGAGACTTTGCGAGATTACAAAGCTATTTAGAGACTCCTCAAATGAAATTGAGCAAATATAAATAAGTTCAAACAATCTTGCGGTTCGTCAATGATGATTGTTCTCATTAAACGCGAGAGTCTTAATGTACACGTAGTTCAATGAGGGAGCTAAGGTTGCCAAACTTTTGAAGGGGAGTCTATCCTCGTACACCAAATTCCAGCAAATCAGAATGAAGTATATAATATACGTTCATAATGTTATGCATTCTATATTTTTTTCAAGGAAGGGAAGGATGGTGCTTAGTCAGGTAAAAATGTCAAATCTTGCAAAACCTTGTTTCATCAGCCAATCTGACTAGGGCGAACAGGTGTTAATGCTCAACACACCAGAGGTAACATTCATACATACATTCACACATACAATTAGCTGACTGCCTCGTTTATCTTTCCTGTGTTTCGGGAGCTTGTAATCAAGTGATCACTTTATCCTACATGAAGAAAGATCAAACGATTCCAAATGACTATTGACATGGAGATAAGATAAGGCTAATTATTGTTGATACACTTTTATGAGCTTCCATAATTATTCTGCAGTGTTAAGCCTATTGAATGCTAAACAATGCAAACATGTTGGTCGCTTGTTGAACAAACCATACAAATATGATGATCATTTGTTGATAGATGTAAACGATGCATCCAAGCTGATGTTCAAACGATAAGATTGTTTACATACTATGACACATGCAGTAATTGCGTGCCTAGCCTGTCTCATCCTTCTTCAAAGGACTTCATTTATGCTTAAAGAAGTGAAATACCCTTGGACCAAGGATGGCCTGGCTATCCATCATGAAAAATCGGTACACCTATACAAATGGAAGACTTCTGTTGGTGGAACACTTTTTCAGAGTCCCAAGATCAACTGACTTATTGTTAAATGAACCCCCGTAAGTGAAACACCTTCTAAGTGGAACACTTTTTAGAGGTACCAAAGGTTTCCACTTATACAGGTTTTACCGAAGCTCCTTTCTAAAAAACAGAAAGATGCAATGAGAATTAGAATACTGGTTAGCATACCTTCTTTTGTTTATATTCTTGTTCGAAGCATGAGATGAAGAATGAAAGAGGGGATAGAAACTCGTTAATACATAAATAGGCTACTGCATTAGTATATGGAGCCATATGGATTGTTACAGTCAGATAAAATTAAACACGATACTGTAAACAACGACAGGCTTGGAAATTCCAGTCATAAGCATCAATAAATTGGATGAAGTTTTAACATGTGTTACCGTTCAACAAGACACTCAATTCTCTGAGAACTATTTACAAACGGTTTGTATCGTTTTAACAAACGCCCATGCAGTGATATCTATACCGAGGCACTGCGTGGGAGTTCGTCGTTTTAAGTACCTTTGTACTCTAAAAAACACATTAAAAACTATACATAGCACATGTAGATAGTTCAATGATGTGCTCATGTTTCATCCAGACATAACACATTCGAAACTTGAACCTTCTCTGTTTCCGGCACCCGGCCGATTGAGAATTCTGTTCAAAGTGGAAGGTCAAATCTTAAATTTGAGGTCAGATGTGATCTGCAGAGAACTTGTGCGTACATGATTTTAAAAAGGTTTGGTCAATTTGAAGCAAGTTGAAATCACTTTTGAAAAAATACTGCAATCGGCCAGGCGCTGGCCGATGAATCGGAGCAACTATGACCTAGCATCACTTGGGTTACTAGCCTGGCGATGAAGTGCGATGGTGTATCATTCAATATCCCAGTAGATAACGTTTTCAAAGTATTTTTCAACATATACTAGTCGTAATGATGGAAGATAACGATTGATCTTCCTAGATTTGTGTAGACTTACCTGAATCTACCCTGCGTGCAGAGTCTAGTTAAACTACTGAAGACGAAGCTCTATTTTAAGAAGTGAAGTCAAACGAATGCAAAGGGTAACCTGAATCTGGAGTCGAACGTATACGTTTAACGTTTAATTCATGTTCTCTCTCTACATATCCTTTATCAGCTGAGAAATGAATAGAGAAAGAACACGTTATAACTATGTTATTTCTTTTGCTTAGCAAAACTGGGTGTTCCTACTACTGCATTGCCTTGAGAGTTTGGCTTAGTTACTAAGTTTTGGATCACGCTTTCCAAAGGAACCCCATTTGCTATATTTAGACAAGACTAGCTAGTAGCTACATACCTCGTTACTCTAACTCTCCAAGATAAGGTTTTACATACACTATACAGATATATGCAGTTAACCGCCATCCATCTTTAGTCCTTAAATGCTTCCCAGATGAAAGTCACTAACAGAATTAAATCATTCACAATAGTTATCTGTCACATTTAAACGTCTAACATTACTAGAACCCAGCATACTATACATGCCAACCAGAGGATTGTCTGTTGTAGGAAAGGAGATACGTCGAGTTTTATACGAGAATGTGTTGATCGTGACCTTAATTTTACAATAGTACGATATGTAATATTCAAGACACTGGTCCTCCTACATGTCCAAAGTGAGGAATGTGATTGGTCAATTGATGATAAATACATTCATGTTATCTTCTAGAATATGATATGATAAGTGTACTCTTGCATATATAACTTCTCCATAGTTTATGTATTCAGTAACTTGTTGGCTTGGTACCTGTCGAAACTTTGTGGTATGTCTAGTAAGAGAACTAGGCCCTCTCAAGATTACTATAAATCAAAGTGGGAACTTTATTGTTATCGCCGAATGCATAGCCGAAGACCGAGAATAGCTACCTAATTTCATCCTTGGTCCAAGGATACTTCACTTCTTTCTTTTTGAATTGAGTAATAAATGAAATTCTTTGTATAAAGGATGACCTAATTTATATGTGTAGACTTTACATGTGTTTCAATTTCGTAAAAGTGATTAAGTACTAACCCGGCATCCTTGCTGCAAGGGTATTTTACAACATTATTGAATATTGTAGTAATGCAAGTGAGGTACTGGTGGAATTTCATTGTAGTAATGCAACAATTGAGCTACCAGTGGACATTATTGTAGTAAAACCCGGCCAAATACTTAACTTTTAATGTCCTGTTTAAGAAACACTATTGATTTCAGCATCCTTCATTCAAAGGACTTCATTTATTACTCAATTCAGATCAATGATGGATTTTAGCACATGGATGTTAGACACCCTTTCTGAAATCATTTTCTCAGAACTCAAGACGATCGAGTCAAGCATGTTGGATAGTATTGCGAGAATTCATTTTCAATAGTGAGAATTATGGGTTCTAAACAGAACATTGGGCTTGCTTTTTAGAACTTTTTCTTCTGTATATACTGTAATATTACTACTACTGATGATCATCCTAGAATATTGCTAACTCGTGTTTGATTTAAAGATAAACCCTATTTTACGTTTAGATACATCCTTTATTTCTGTGATATTAATTTAAATAATGAGCTACTCAATCGATTGACATGGATTGTCCGGTCATTGATCGAATGAGCCGAATGCTAGCATACAATGTACAATCTGAATCGAACACTTACCTGCCTTCTTTCATATGGTAGATGGATGTCTAAATAAATGCCTGGCGTGCAAGTTGATCACAAAAACATGTATGAAAAATAAACTTGTAGTCAGATGGGCACGCTACTCCTGAACACAGAACTGGTATGTGCATCCCCCGTGGGTTTATCGTAAGCTAGTCCATTTTGTATTCCGGTCGACGGTACTCTGTATGTATAACTAATTCAATGAAACCGAGGCAATACCTTGACCTTAACAAACCTGGGAAACTTGTATTAATAGCACATGTTCCGGTTTCTTATTACCGAGTTCGCCGCAGAAACTATCTCGTACTCGTCATGGAAGTAGTGTACCAGGGAACTAGCTGCAGTTTGTATTTTGTTAACTTACTGTTATATAAATCTCGTAAGACTGTAAACATAAATCCAGTAAATGCTGTAAAGACCGTAAATGTGCGCTTTTTCTGAAATCGGTCATTTCTTAATGTTTTCGTCAAAATGTTGAAAACACATTGAAAATGCCTTTGTTTGACTTAAAGGAACACGAAAGAAAAGTCTTTACTGTTTGTTTCATTTCATCTAGTTACAAAACAACAATATTGTAGTATTGCATGGTCATGGTTATCAAATGGTACACCCCTATCATCTGATACAACCCACCCCCGGAACCCACCCAAGATGCTCTTAAGTCCCTATGTTTATGTATCTTTTATTCCACCAATGATGAGAACAATATTACATAAAGTTATAAAATAGATATTAAAAAATTAAGTACCACTATCTACAGCAAGCCACATCTTTTGTTATATAAGTTGTGTACTCTCTGGGCAGCATCAAGATAGCGTCCTTTTCACTCAAAGTAAAGTTATATGATTATTCTCCGCAAGTTTTTTACACTTTTGGAACAAACAAAGTGTAGGTAAGCATAAACTTTGATTACCCTAGAGTCTCGCTTTATCTTTATCGCTTTGGTGAGTATTCCAAAGGGTAATACTTGCTGTGGATTTCTACAATGTATTGTATTGTATTGCTAAATGATAATTTCAAAATGTTGATTTTGGGCTCCGGAAATGAATTGAACAACATTGAAATCAATTTTGAAATTATGAAAACCGTCCAATCAGGGTCTCAATTAAATATTTTTGAAAGAATGATCTTACAAGATGGTTTTGAAATGGAGAATAAAGTATAAACATTGCCCCAAGCAATGGCATTGCAGAATGCAGATGCGTCTCTCAGCAATTCATTGGATTCCTCTCTTGCTGTAAAGATGTTGGAAGTCTGAGATAAGTTGATTTTACATTGTCATTAGTTTAAAGAGCCTGACACAAAATCCATCTAGACCCCCAAAACTCTTTAAAATCTGTTCTTTGTCACTGATATCATTTACATTTGCTTTTACAGCATTTACTCAAATTACAGTTTTATTTTTAGCTTTCTGCATTGAGCTGTTCAATCAATTTTACTGGTTGCGCTTGGATGGCCACGGATGTCGGCTGTCCTGCGGGTACTGGTATTATCTATCTTATTTAGCGATAGTTATCTAGCATGGTAAGGATATTATGCATTATTAAATATTTGCAATGCAATAATTATACCAGATTTATAATTGCAAGCACACGTGTCAAGCACAGCGATGAAAGGCTAGTCAAGATTGTTTTCATACAGTATTTTGCGGTAGACGGTAGAAGCACGATATTTTTATATACAAGATTTTTCAGCACGCTTTTCTAATTACATACCCTGCGTGCAGAGTCTAGTAAAACTACAAGAAGAAGCTCTCTTTTAAGAAGTGAAGTCAAACGAATGCAAAGGGTACTAATTACACGTTCGAAAATGCATACATAAATTTTCTAGAACAGCACATTTAAGAGTCTATGCCTTTTACAATACTTTGTTTTGTTTCCATCTCTTCTGTTTTATTTCTTTAGCCGAGAATAAAACGAATGAGCTCCACATTTTATAAATACACTGACCTCTAAACATTATTGTTACATTTATGAGCTTTTATTGTATAGTATTCACCCGGGAGTATTCAAGCCCATATACTATTTAGCGTGTACAAGGACTGAACTCTTGATTTCGAATGTAATAAACTACGTTTCCTAAAAATATGAATTCAAACGGAGACAAATGACAGTGTGATGACCATATCTATGTCAACAGTCTGCAAACGACTCAGTAATAAGCCCATTTGAGGCATATATATACTTATTCCATTGTTAGCATGATATTCATAGGATAACATGTCAAAATACAAACGGTATTTTTGTAATCAGTGGTAAAATATGATATTTTTGACAAATTTTCACTTAAATACGGTGTTTTAACCATGACATACGGCGCCGTATGCTATGAATTATGGATTTTTGCTACTTCAGACTAAAAAAAGAACATCCTTTGATTTACTCGTGATATGATTTTAATCCACTCATGGATATTGATATCTGCACTCTCTCGCTACGCTCACTCGTGCAGATATCATATCCATTCGTGGATAAAAATCATATCACTCATAAATCATAGGATATCCTCTATATATTATCAATATCTGTAATTTCATTCTTTATCTGCATGATCTTTGACACATGATCTTGGTAATAAATAACGAAAATTCCCCCTTTTGATTTGGATTGGACTTATCGTACAATCCCAATGTACTTTGCATGTTATCCTATAATGTAATCTCACGTACAGGACGTACTGTGATAAATATACTGGTAAATATACTGTATATTCAAATATTTATATTCTTATCCAACACTGAATTTGTGGAATGTTCCGCTTATATAGCTGTTTGAAAATCACCATCATGCTAAGCCACATCCTTGCTGCAAGGGTATTTTACAAGTATATAATTTAAGCATAAATGAAGTCCTTTGAAGAAGGATATGGCTAAACCATGCCATCTCATTTCTTCCCAGTCTTGAGATGCCATGATTATTATAATGGGTTGGATTTGGTGATCCAAGAGAGCCCATATTTGAGGATTTTTGAGATTTTCGCCTCAGCTTATATTAATTGAAGTCGTTGTATATCATCCGTGCCTGTGATGGCAATGTCTAAAAATGCATTTGTATTCTATGTAATGAATGGACATACTATAAGGGCAATAATTACATGATAACCAGCACAGTTAGTGACAGTTGTAACTTATCCCATCAAAATAAAACATACAGATTATGTATCATAATATCACAGGGCATGTTTCTGGTAATACTGGTCCATGATTCTTGATTATACCACCCAAAGAGCCCCCGATAAATCCAAGTAGTGAAAAAAAAGTTTTGCCTTACTACACCACAATATTAAACATCTTACCATATATCTGGATAAATGGAACCAATTATAATCCATTATTCAACACTAGTGAAACGAAGCAACTTGGATTTGTCCTTTTTCACTGTACCGCAATCCTTGTCCCTTTTCACTGTTCCGCGATCTGTTCCATTCGGTTTCCAATTTCTGAGCTACATATGGGCTTGTTTGTATGTTTCCTTGTTACTTTTTCATGTTTCTAGTTTACTGTTGCTAGTTAATGTTATGCTAGTCTGTGTTCTGATGAAAAACGGTTTATTTGGATTTTTTCTTTTTACTTGTATCATCTGAACGGATAATAGCGTGTATCTCATGTCATCCCATCCAGCATACTATTGGCTAGCTGAAAAAATACTCCAGTTCGGTGGGTGAGTTATGTGATATTTATCACTCACAACTGGTGGGATGGCCAGAGAGACAAATTGTTTTCACCTCTGTGTCAGAACGCAATGTTCCTGTTTATATTTAGAAATGGTGATATGCTCCATATTGACTGTAATATGATCAGAGTAGTATGAAACTTATCTTCAAAACAGACATAACGGGCCAAAATACTGGATTTTGAATGATAGTACGTTGTTATCGGGACAATTTATGATGTACATGTATTCTAAGTCTGTGCGTTATCTTAACATACTCTTTATATACTAGTCTTACTCACTTAGTTATATTTTGAGAACATTGTAAACGCTTATTACAAAACAAAAGAAGAAGCATGGTTAACATCATAAGTTACCCGGATGTTTTACTATAGACAATTGTAATAAGGCCAACGTAACATCATTCTGAATGCTCTAGATCTGATACTCGTACTTTTACCGTTCTTGTTGCACAATCTCTAATTGAATAATATGAATCCACTATGTTCACAATGTTTCTTCATTCATAAAGCTCATAAACATACCCGAGAATAATTCACATTTCATTGTTGATAAATTCTCTACTACTCTCAGTTCCTAAGTTATAATTACCAATAGATCTTGCCGATCGCTATGCCCCAGATGTACCTAAACGGTCCTGATAATGGCCCATTTACTGCGGACCGAACATGGCGCAGTATACAAATCGTTTCACGCACGGCCACACTCTAGATTTTCTCTATGGGTTGAATTTATTAATCGCCACAAATCAAACTATGTTGACATATAATATTTCTCCACAATACAAGTTTCTTAACTTAATAGTTTCCTCAAAGGATTCAATAAAAGTGTTTATTGAAAGTAGAGGCGGTCTCGAATAATGTATGGCGATGTGATGACATTGTTACGTAACTTGAAAGGCCCAGGTCAAGATTTGAAGATTTATCTAATATCATCCAACTATTATTTGCCATGACTGAAAATGGTTGACTCCGAAAAAGGTGTCTTCTTTTAATATACTTTTAATTTTCAAGTACTTAATTATCCGGCCATTTACAATAAATCTCTGAGGGAAAGCTCTGAAACTGTGAAACCGACATGTTGTGACACACCTTTATAGGAGAAAAATAATTTCATGTATATTCATATTGCTTAAGTGTAAGTGAAGTAGTGTATGCTTGAGTTCACGCAGAAGCAATTATTGCATAATTCCATGCTTATATAAATTACACGGATTGAGCAGAGAGGCTCGTTGCTCTCGTAATGCATACCGTGACATACTGGGTATGATCCAGGACCCGTTCAATCGCGAGTAAGTTCCCGATGAAATTGCAAATAAATACGAGATTCTTAAAATCACCTGGGAAAATGAATCGAAAGGGTAAAAATAGACATTCCTGTTCTCTTGATACTTCAGCTATACTTCTAAAACAACATATTAATATAGAATGGCATATATATGATTCTTTTCAGTGGCACGTTAGATATACTGTATGCAACATCGTTTTGAACTGTATTCCTGAAGAATCAAATAAGAGTAAGGTGTATTTTGGTCGCGATTGAACGGGTCGTGAATCATGCCGGTGTTTATTTATTGTTCTGTTTATTTTGACTTTATTTCCTGAAGCTTGTGATCCAGAGCATAAACATTCGTATTAAATCAGTTACAAATATTTACAACATACAATCTAGATAATGAATGATTAACATGTTATTATTTACACGAAGAAGTTCTGCTCATACTGCATACATCGAATCTGACTTACATACTGCACATACTGCATGACTTACTGCCTAAGCCTAACATCACCAAACACATTTGTGTTGGCATATTTCTGGAGTTTGACTCATATATCTTTGTCTAGCATAGATCGAGACTTACAAATGGAAAGGTTCATCTCTCAGAGAAAATCTTACTATTTTTACATCTGAACGGATGTGTGTAGCATCTATAAAAACCCTTTCCTACTAATACACAACATGGACCTTTTGAAATGAACTTTTGCCCCATAGAAATAATTCTTAACTAAAGAGGGCAATGCAATCAATCTATGTTTATTTGAAGAGAAAGGGAAAGGCTAGGATTCTACCGCTGCTGCCATCTTTATATCGATCCAAAACCCGTGGTTTATCTCTTTATCAAAACAATACTATTAGTCTAGCTTGTGATACCTGTCCTTTGTTAATTTTTTCTTTATTGGGACATATTATTGACACATTTAAGTGGTGGTCTCTAAGAAGTATTGTCATTCATCATGGTAGTGTAGAGTGTGGTGGTACCACGGGTATTCTGAAAGCCCATGGTGGTACGTATGAAGCTTTTTTGCACATCTCAGCTTCGCTGTGGAAGCTTTTGGCAATGTGGAAGTGTTTGACTGTGCAAAAATCCAGACTTCATTTCCTTGGTAAAACTCCCGAATCCACATCTCGATCTTCTCCCTTTTAGTTTAATAAGGAGAACATTACAAGTAACATTAATTATGTAATATTGACCATTCAATTCCAAAATTAATACTTACACGTTGGGAAGCTGGGCATGTATTCTTGTGCCTCTTGAGAGAATCCATCCTCGGGAAGATATTTTTGCAACCGCTGCACTGGTGGTCTTTTACGTGAACGCGTTTCCTGTGCTGTAGCATACACCTTGAGTTTTTGAATGATTTGCTGCAAATTACGCAAACGTATTGTGCCTTAAAAGTGGATGCCTACAAAATACAAAATGCGCATACAAAATCCAGAGCCCTACAAAAACAATTCATTTTTCATTTTGATATATCAATGGTCCCATGAATTAGTGAGTGATACAAGAAGAGAGATGTCAGCAAAACAAATACAAAGTTTACATTGTAATATTTACTTAAAATACAAATAGTTTACATAAGTTATTAGTTCATATTTACTTTTTGTAATATTTACTTGAACAACAAAAAGGTTTACATAAGTTATTAGACGTTCACCTGATAAGAGATTTCATAAGAATATAATTAACTTAATTACTTGGAATTATGACCAATTAAAAAACCATTTTACAGCAACGGCTTTGGTATGCAAACAAAACAGCATCTTGATTTTCAGCGAAACGGAAAAATGAATATACTCGTTTGAATGAACTCAAGTAACTCATTTGAGTGACTCAATTCACTCATACGAGTGGTTCAGTTTACTCTTTCGGGTATTGTTGTAGGCAAGCCGCGCGCAAGTATACAATTTAAGTCATATCTTCTCCTCTCCAGCTAGAACTTATCACATCTGGCAAATTCGGAAATTGTAGGAATAGCATCCCTGAAAACGTATAGTACTGCTTTGTCGCCAACAGCACGCATTTGGTGAAGACAATCTAGACCGTATTATAAATTTTCTGCATCAACAGTTAAAAAGTTTTCGAGAAACCTCCTAATCTAATTATGTCCGCTTTAGAACGTCACCCATATCGAATACAGCCACAGAGTTTCTTGACTTTCCATCTTTGTTTTGTTCCTGCATGTCTTTTACTTCGTTCGTACTTAGAAAACTGAAATCCTTGTTCACCCAAGGAATATCAATATAACTATAATACTTAATGTTTGTCACACTCTTTCCCTCAGTTTCAAACCTTTTTAAAATATTTTTTGACCAATGGGAACTGTCTCATTTATGGCCAATATCCTTATTATCCAATGACAGCACAGACATGTTATCACTATTTACCAAAAACATAATTTTCTGTTTCGTTTGCATAGAAAAACTGTTGCCGGACAATGGGTTTAAAAATGGTCCTTATACCAAGTGATTAAGTTAATTATATTCTTATGAAATCTCTTATCAGGTAAACTAATAACTTATGTAAACGTTTTGTTGTCTAAGTAAATATTACAAAAAGTAAATATGAACTAATAACTTATGTAAACTATATGTTTTTTATTAAATATTACAATGTAAACTTTATATTTGTTCTGATAACATCACTCACACTGTATCAAGGTTGTGTATCACTATTGCATGGTATCATTATATGTTCATATTTCACTACTCAAGCATGACTTGAACCCAGGTAGTCAATCAGACCGAGAGGGCTCTTTTAAAAAAAATTCGAGTGCATGCAATCAAAAAATTGGCACCGTTAACATAGGATGCACCATCTAACAGTTGGCAAGTATGGATGGTTCTGTTTTACATCCTAATGCAAAACAACAAAGAGTGCTAGCTTCTATCAGACACTACCCTGCGCGCAGAGTCTAGTTATTAACTACCCTCTGTCTAGTATAGACTAATAATCATTCCAAATCTACGCTGGCCCTTTCTTAACCAATCAACGAAGTTGAAGGAACACGTGCTAAATACGTGCTCATTAACTATGCGGTGATGTCAGACGAATTGACCGTATAGAAAGTCGTCCGTATTTCGACGACGAATTCTGATTGGCTCGCTGAGATCAGAGATTTATTGTAATTTGAAAGAGTGAAGACAAAGCCCTCTTTTAAGAAGTGACTGAGTCGAATTAATGCAAATGCTAATCAGATACAGGCTCTCTAATAAGAAGACCATTGCAAGTAATTATTAATTATGTAACAATTGCAAAAATAATGCTTATACTTACACGTTTGGAATATGTGTATGTATCTTTAGATTGATGCCTCTGGAAGGAATGTCCCCTCTTGTAGATTTCTTTGTAGCCGCTGAACCTGTTTTGCTTCTTTACGTGAACGCATCTCATGTGCTGCAGCTTATATTTCAAGGTTTTGAATGATTTGCTGCAAATTACACAAACGTATTTTGCCATCGAAGTGGATGCCTACAAAATACAAAATACGCTATACACAATCCAAACCCGTACTAAAAACAGTTAATTTCGTTGGTAAAACGCCCGAATCAGCGTGCACATCGCCTCCCTATGTTGTTTAATAAGACGAACGTTTCAAGTTGCATTAATTATAATTGAACGTTACAATTGCAAAACGTAATACTTACATATTTGGAAACTGGGCACGTATTCTGAGAATGATGCCTCTTGAGGGAATCCTTCCTCTTGTAAATTTTTTTGCAACCACTGCATTGGTGTTTTTCTTGTACGTGAACGCGTCTTAGGTGCTGCAGCATATACTTGGAGGTTTTGAATGATTTGTCGCAAACTTCACACGTGTATTTTGTTTTAAAAGGGGATGCCTACAAAATTCAAAATACGTGTACAACATCCAGACCCCAAAATTGCAATTAACATTAACCCTAAAACTTTAAAGAAGTACTAATGAAAAAATCTAGAGGAGGGTCAATCTCCCCCCTTCAGACATTACGGTTGATTATAAATTGAACGTTACAAAACAGTAATACTTACATATTTGGAAGCTGGGCATGTATTCTTAGATTGATGACTCATGAGAGACTCCTTCCGTTTAAAAATTGTTTTGCAGCCACTGCACTGGTGTTGGACTTTTACGTGAGCAGTTCGCATGTGCAGCAGCAGCCTATACCTCAAGCTTTGAAATGATTTGCTGCAAATTACGCAAACGTATTTTGCCATCGAAGTTGATTCCTACAAAACAAAAAATAGGCAAAATATATACACAATCCATACTGGCGTTTAACGCAACCCGGTGTGAAAGAATAATAAGGGAAAGAGGTTACCATATAAAACAACGGAGAGTAGGACCATAAATTGATAGGACCACCTACCCATTTATTTGATATTTTTGTCAACCACAAATGGTGCGAGTGGAATTTTTTCTTCATATTAGAGATTGGTAAAATGTAATATTAGAAAGGTTTGTTAAAGCCCCCATATTAAGTTTAAACCGCTTTGGCTAAAACACCCGAATCTGCGTGCACCTCGCCTCCCTATATTGTTTAATATAAGAACATTGCAAGTAAAATTAATTATACATTGAACGTTACAAGTGCAAAACGTAATACTTACATATTTGGAAACTGGGCATCTATTCTGAGAATGATGTCTCTTGAGGGAATCTTTTCTCTTGAAGAATTGTTTGCAGCCGCTGCACTGATGTTGGACTTTTACGTGAACGCGGCTCATGTGCTGACTTCTATTCTTGGAGTTTGTGAATGATTTGCTGCAAACTCCACAAGCGTACTGTGCCATGGAGATGGATTCCATGTCTACTAATGCTCTGATGATGTCGACTTGTATACTCGCTGCATTTCATATAAATACATTGAAGGTGGTGTTACTATACCCTTTGCATTCGTTTGACTTCACTTCTTAAAAGAGAGCTTCGTCTTCAGTAGTTTAACCGGACTCTGCACTCACGTAGTGTTACTAATAAGTGGATCCTTCAACTAACCTCATCTCTACCTTGCGGAAACAAAAGCTTAACCAAATCCACTTGACAAGCAAACATATTTGTATTAAATATTTATATAATCTCATTGAAAGTGTTGGTATCTTTCTCCACAATTTGCATTGTTATAATCCTTGGAATAATCATGGATATTTAAATTCCTAGTATCCGTGTTCCAAATATTTTCTAGTATAATGCTAATTTTTAGCATTTATTCATCATTTTCATGCTCATTTTTAGTATTTATTCAACATTTTCACGAGTGTCCTCCTTATTCATTACTGTTGACAAATGATCACAAATCCTCCACAAGCTAATATTACCAAAGATTATCTGTTGTTTACGAGACTGTTCATGATACTTTTCATTAACTATATGCATATTTAAAAACTGGATGAAGTAATTCTTGAGATATGTTTACTCTAATTTGGGCTAATACTGAACTGTGAAAAAATAACTCGCATAGAAAACAGCATTTGAGGTTCAGGAGATCAATAGGAGGGCATGGCGATTTTCAAAGCATGTGTTTTTAAGTTACTCTTCTATTAAAATATGGCGTTGGTGGTTCAGCGATATCACCCCTGTGCATCGGCCAGTCCTACTACTAGTGACATCTATTAATCATACTACTCTACTTCTGTTATGGAGCCATGTTTCCCAGTTGCAGTTGTCTCATCTGGTTAGCTTAAAAACGTAATTTGAGATACCAGATTTAGAGGAAAAAAAGTTATTAAAATATGCTACTCAAAATTACTTAGTTTAATAAAAGAACAACCCAATAAATTAGATATATCGCATGGTAATAACACAAGCTTGCTTTCAGCTGGTCTTTATCCCTTCAATGAATGAGAGAGTAGTCTAATATAGATATCATGTATAAAATCGTATACAGAGAGGGCTATGTAAGATGGGACACTTTGCATACCTTTAAAACAATAAGTAAACAGAGACGAACCATGTAACATACCAAAACATGAGGAATTTTATGGACCTTTAGAAGACACAGTCACATGGCACTTATTCACTAAGGCTGCCGTCCCAGGCTGTGTTGTCGGAATGCCGCCGGAGAAATTTCTGAAACGTTATCCATAAAATAATGAAATGTTATATTTGATCTTGTAATAGAATCACCAGTGGTTAAGTATTTCCAGATTCAATCAACATTTTTAGTTCAAGACAAATATGAGGTGGATAATTTAATTTCCAAATAAATCGATTGTGCAAATAAAAAATTCTGAAATTCAAATGACGAAGTTCAATCAAAACAAGCCCCGATCCGTACAAAGTGGAAACTGTCTAAGGGTAAAAACATTATCAAGCACCTTTTCTCAGATTACATCCGCAATGAAATCATAATTCATGAAGCCGTATTGACACAGTCTTACTATCAAAATAGTTTTGTCAGAATTACAAATTGAGTATGTAAGAACAGTGTTAGAATCCCTGAATAGTATAGTAGGTAGCTGTTGTTCTGTGGCACTGATCAAACATTCCCCTTGGTCGATAATATCAATAGAACGATCTCAGATCATATACAAGCACAATGCTAAGGGCTCGTGATTTGGATTCTCGTTTTTCACCATAGGAATAAATGAAGTTAAGCCAATTGATATAAAAAATAAATGTGTATGATTCGGATGATTAACATGACTTGAACAACATACTGAAATACCAGTTTATCTGTTCATAATAAACACTTGGGTACATGCTAAATGAGAAAATGAGAAATGCACGTCTAGCACTTCGTTTTTTATATCGTTAAGAGAGACGGGACAATAACATTTACACAAAAAGTATTCAACGGGACTTGTGTAAATATATAGACGTGACCCGACCTTAGTCTCGTCTGATGGTGAATAACAAATGGCAACATATTACAGTGTAATACAGATACAGGTAGGATAACTAAATTCATTAGTTTATAAGCCTGGTAAATCGTTTACTTAAACCAATTAATAACCCCATAATCTCATTAAAGATTACTTAGGCAATATATAAATTGGCTTTGGAACTATATTTACATGTATATGTCAGTATGAGTTATTCTGTGACAGTTGTTTCCTTCACTACATTTGTAAGTAATGCTCGGAATTAGAAAAATAGTCACATTTTCCATTTCAGAATGGAACACTTGAAGATCAAGACTAGTAGACATGGCAACCATATCAACAAGTCGTCGAGGTGAACCTTCCAAGAGGCGTAAACGAAAGGTCAGATTCATCAAGGAATCCAAAAATCCAATCAAGTTTGAGAGAATTTACAACGAGGCGACTTACTACCCTGAACCGACGATACTGAGAGACGCACTGGAAACATTCTACGAAGATGTCGTCCATATAGACCCAGATCTTGTTAAAAAGACACGCAGGATCTGCAAACATTTCATGTTCTTCATGTTCAATAGAATCAAACGCAACAGGCACAATGTCTACTTTGACGAGCCTATATTCACAGGGAGTATATTTAATGAGTTGCAATGTACATCACTCGAGAAGGCAGTTGTCATGTTACCAATAAGGATCGAAAAACTGAAAGTGCAAAGGACTGAACCTGGGTATGTAGTGGCTCCTTTGAGAATCCACCGTTCCCAGTTGGAGGACGAACAAGGATTACCCAATACATGGAAAAGAACGAGATCGGAAGATGGCTTGTATATTTCTCCACTGGCTGTCCTACGGGTGGTTCATGAAATATTCACAAGATTTGTGACAGTGCCCGACAACATGGGCATTAGCAATGTTGAGCTTATGCCTCTTGAAGAGACACCCGGTAGAGTTGTCGTGGTGCTAAATGGTGCAATATATGTGAACATTATACCTGCTATATATCCAAACAAAGACATCGAAAAGGAGTCCAATTCGAAAAGGGACACCACGGAACTATTCTTTGTGACGAGACCGTATGACTTTGATGAAAACGCCCAGTCTGATATGTTATGGCGGATATGTTACTTTCCCAAAGAGAAACACATGCACCAAATGATTGACGTAACCGACAGGGGTATGAGGAGAAAAGCATTGCAGATTATGAAAGCATTCTTGAAACAGGATAACACCCTCGTTATCCTGAACTCCTACCATCTGAGGACAGTCCTGTATCACATTTTTGATGAAGTAGTCGACAGTTCTCCGAGATGGCAAAGAGACCCCTTGGAATCTTGCTTCCAGACTTTTCTGCAAAAACTAGCGTTTTATGTGCAATCGAAAAACTTGCCAAACTTTTTTCAAAACAGTTTCAACTTACTGTCAAATATTCCACCACGAAATCTAGCTGCTTTGCAAGGGCGATTGACATATCTGATGCAGAATCAGGCCGATGTTTTACGTTTATTACGGAAACGTAGAACACAATCATTATGAAAATTTCCATTTTTGGGAGATGCATATGAATTTGTTGCATAGTTTCAACAAAATGCATTTTCAAAAGTACCGTCTTCTAATCACAAAATCCAAAGACCGCTGGAACGCTGCTAAGGCTATTAACGGCACAATAATTGTGATATTTATAGGATATCCTGGCGAGGCGTACAAGTGCGGATATCAATATCAGGAGTAAATTAAAATGATATTCTGAAAATATCAGAGGATGTTCTTATTATCCTACACTTAGTGTACTAAATGTATAAAAATGTATAAATCAACAAGCGGAGTATATGTAATATCCTCCGCACATTGCTTTCCGGAGTATCGTGCCTATATCCTCCGCTTATTCATTTTGCCATTAGATATCAAATTTATTTTTTAATGTTATTATACATTTAGTACATCAAGAGAAGAATAAGGCATCGTATGTTCCCGTATTTCTATTTTTATAGACTTGTTTCCGATTTACAATGCTTACGTCCATTTCACTGTATTTTTGGTACAATTAATAAATATGATCAGAGATAAAACAAACAGATCGTTTATTGATAACTAAGTAGTTGATTATTAACCATCAGGTAGAGTTAGGTGATGAAACATTGTGGACCTTGTCCCTACTCAAGATAAGACCCCACATCCAACAAACTAACTGTATATCAATGAGTCAAAAGATACCGTTATGGTATAAACTTCACAAAATAAAAAGAATCCGTTAGAATTTCGTCTTTAGAACAAAGTAAACGAATCTCAAGTATGAAAGGATTATTACTACTAGCTTGTATTTCGGTGGGCATCGTCAATGGTGAGTTATTGTATTTATGAACAGAAATCTGCGTGAAAATACGGATTCCTGAAAAGTCTGAGTTGTATAAAGATGGCGTCGAATATTATTATTTCCTGTTTTGAAATTGTTTCTAATTTAAAATTAAAAGTTCACCTCAATTGATTTTGAGATGGATGTTGTCGAAGTCATTTAGTAATTATTAAAGAATAGTAATGTATTTTTGTTAAAAATATCAGTGATGAATTTATTACATGTCTGAATGTTTGAATTAAATTAATATGACCTTAGTTATCACTTAGGGGAATATGAAATTCTAGACTTTTCCAATGCTGTCCGTCTATCTCTCTATGACAATTTCATTTTGAAACATAAATATAGTCCCTGAATAATTTTAGTGTACTGCTTAGTACATATACTCGATGTCATATGATTGCAGTATGGCAAAATATCTATACTTGATATATGTATATAATTTCAGTGTATGGCCAAACACGTCAAATATCTATACTTAATATCGTATAATTTCAGTGTATGGCTAAAACTCTATATTTTATATCATATGTGTATCACTCAATGTCATTCAGTGTATGGTCAAGTACATGGTATAATTTCAGAGTTTGGCCAAATATCTATATACTTGGTCATGTATCTATAACTAGATATCAAACAATTTCAGTGTTGGTCCAAAATTCTATATTTTATGATTTTGATTCTAGTGTATGGCCAAGTACCTATATTTGATATCATATAGAGTCAGTGTATGGCCAAATAGCTGAACTTGATATCATATTACATGATTCTAGTCTATGACACCGTATCTATACTCGATATCAAATAATTGAAGTGTATGGCCAAAAATCTATATTTCATATATTTTGATTTCAGTGTATGGCCAAGTACCTATATTTGATATCATATAGAGTCAGTCTATGGCCAGATATCTGAACTTGCTATCATATTACATGATTCTAGTCTATTGCCATGTATCTATACTCGATAGCATATAATTTCAGTGTATGTGGCCAAATAGTTTCACTGGCTATAACATAATTTCAATTTGAAACCAAATATCTATACCTGATATAATTCCAGTGTATGGCCTGCCAAATATCTGAACTTGCTGATGGTATCATATGATTCCCGGCTTATGGCCAAGTATCTATTCTCAGGCGATCAATATTTATAATTCCAGTGTATGGACAAATATCTATACTGGTCTAGTGGACATCATATAATTTCAGTGGATGACCAAATATCTCTAATTGGTATCATATTATTTCAGTGTATGTATTCGATATCAAATACTTTTAATGTATGGCCAGATACTTCTATTAATCTTTGTATCTTCTAATTTCAGTGTATGGCCAAGTACCTATACTTGATATCATTCAAACAGTCCCCGAGACTAATACGGTGACAAATGAGATGCGTGCGCAAATGGACAGTGACGTCACTCTATCGTGTATGGTAGAAAATAAGCCAAGTGACGTATCTGTGAGTCTAAGCAATTATTTTGTAACGTCCCCATCGTCCAAGTAAATTATATGATATTTGAGAAAAATAATGTTTACTTAAACGTATTACAGTAAATCTCTGTTTGTGATTATGTTCCCTGCCCTGTTCCTTGTATCGGACCGATTACCAGAGGAAATTTAAATGGGGCATAACGTTCCATCTGACTAAGATAAATGTTATGAAATATTATGAAACTATAACAACTATAACAACTAGTTGAATATACAAATGTATGACCATGCTAGAAATGAATGGCAATGTTTTTGATTCAGGTGATCTGGCAGAAGATCATTTTCTATCCCAATGGTACGAAGGGTGATCCTTTCCGTATCTCTACAGACACCCATCCCGAGGATAACACCAAATACAGTATTGAAAAACCAACTCCATTGGTAGGACTATTTATCTCACATTAAAAATAGAAGAAAAATGTTACTCTTTAATGGTAAAAAAATGCAGATCTCCTAAAATCTCATTAAAAACGAGACTTTAACGAGATTTCAAAGTTATATGGAAAAAGGACCATTCAAACCATCAATAAATGCCAGAAAAGATCTGAATCAAAACTTTAATATAGTCTCTTATAGTCAGAGTGAAGTGATGTGAGCTGAATGGGTCTCATGGTAGGCTCGGAGAAACCACCCTCTGACAGAGGGAGGCAAGGCTATAGTTTGCTTTGATATTACATTCCAGGTATGGAGATTGCGAATCAAGGCTATTCAGATAGTAGATGAGGGCTACTACAATTGTTATGTCCAAGTCACAGACGCTGCAGGCAACAATGTACAAGAGGGTCGTACTGTTTCCGTCACAGGTATAACATTGCAAGTTAAACAGCATGATTGAGTAAAGAGTTATAAGGTTGACTACTTACGTTTGATATGACGTTTTCAGAACAACCAATTAAGTTGCAATATTTAGCAATAAGGACTGTAGAGAAAATAGTTTTTTCATTTTTTCTGAGCTATCAAGGCAACATTTGGTTTAACATCTTCTTTGACATACCTATTTTCTTAAAATGTATGGATAAATGATCAATTTCAGCATTAGGAAGTGTAAATTGAGTTCAAAGCTTTAAAAAGGGGACTTCCACTTTTATATTTTTAAGATCCACCATGTTTCAAGAGGAATATCAGCTAAAATAATGTTTATCTAGGGGGTTTCTTTGTAGATAATAAAAATAGATGTTAGTCTTGATGAAATATCCAAACTTAAATATATTTTGACACTGGTCCATGATCGTTGAATGACCCCTCTGCACTAATTATTGCACCTTTAATGAATAAAATGCATCGTCTTTTGAGGAAATAAATTATACAATGGTATGATTTGTACAAGTATCTACGAGAGCCAGACATTTTAAAATTTTTGATAGCTCTTAATAAAAATTCTTAATTACGAGCCATTAAAAATTAAATAGAGGTCAAATCCACAATATTTATCAATTACATTTAGTCCAATTGCTCCCAGCTCTCATGGTATTTTATGATTTTTAGCTGCTCCGAAGATTTTAGACGCCGAATCAAGTTCAGATTCCACCGTCCGAGAAGGGGAGAATATAGATCTACATTGCAACGCCTCTGGTAGACCGTTTCCAACGATATTATGGACTAAAGGCGGGAATGCTGTGTTGCCAGGGGGTGGGGTGACTCGGCTGGTAAGAATTGATTTCACTTGTATAGATATATAAGGGTTATTTAATGGAGGATGGGGTATATATAGGGACAAAGGGAAATAAAAGTATATCTACCCGAGGGACCGTAGGCGGGTTGAACTGGGTGGTTGGAAATATGTATGGGAAGCATGGGATTCCTAACCAATTCTGCCTCTCAAAAATTCTGTTTCATACAATGAATGAAATTAACAAAATTTTACATTTTTGAAATACAAAACAGTACTTAGTCTAGTGTTACAATAAATATAGTGTTGCCCCACCTTGCAGAGTTCTTTATTAACAATAAGTAACGCCGAACCAAGCTTCCGAGGCACATACATGTGCACAGCCATGAATGAGATGGGAATCGATAGACGTTCCATATACCTTGATGTCAAATGTAAGTGATGTTTGTCACAGCCTCATTTCTGATTGGTTGACGCAAAGCCATGAATATATCTCTTTATTTTTTGTATGAATAAAAATATCAATATTTTTTGGGCTCATATGATTCATATTACAACAAATGCAATGACACCATTTGCAATATCAGACTTATATTTCAAATCATGAAATATGCAATCAATAACTTAAAAACAAAACGGAGACTTGAACACATTAATACACCATATATGTGATACTGTTCATGTAAAACATCTTATGATTGCGTTCAGTTGCTCCACGTCCAAGATTTGATCCGGTCCGTCAGCTGCAAGCAATAGGATACAGGAAGGAGATTGTGTGTGCGATAGAGGGTAATCCGGAACCGTTACCCAATCAGATTTCATGGGTGAATAAGATGGGAGAGAGGATCACAGACAGTTCAAGGTAAACTATTGTACTATCTACATTCGAATTGAAATTAACATTTTTTGCTTTTTAATGTGGGAGTCACGGCCATGGGGCTGGATGTTTCACGAACTTCTACATGAGCTGAAAGCAAAATGCTTTCTCAATAGCATTATTTTTTGTTGGAAAATGTGTTTATGATATGTAAAATCCTTGGCGCAAACTCCACGTACCACAGGTAGGGTCTCCAAGATGTGAGACCCGGTGGTTGATATTCATTAGATTGAGTTTATATTATTGTAGTTGGTGTTCTCTAACTTGCCTTAACTTTCTGAAGTTTAAGAATTGTTGGTACAGCTACTTTATTGTAAAATCTTATCTCAATCACAAAATCATACCACCACTACCACCAAACAACAACAGTAACGAAATTAAGTTAATTTTTCATGGATTTGCAATTACAGATTTAAGATTCAGTACTCTCTAGGCGCAATGAACCGTGTGGAGAGTGAACTAACTATATTCAACGTTCAAGAAGAAGATTTTCAACAGTATTCCTGTCGTGCTTTCAACAATGAAGGGAGTAGTTTGGCAACGATGGAGCTCGTCAGTAAGTAAATTGACGTTAAACATTCAACCATTGATCTATTTATTCAACCATTGAATCAATCGAATGAAGCAGTCCATCGAATGCTTTAATTGATTTTTATGCACTCGGTAATGCCTGGGTCACATTTGCTCCGATCCATCGGCCGGCGCCCGGCCGATTGAGTGTTTTGCTCAATATTGTATTCAATTTTGAACAAAATACTCAATCGGCCGGGCGCCGTAGTGAAAATCGGAGCAAATGTGACCAAGGCATAAGTAGTTACATCAGACTGCATGTTGAATCCTATAAAAATAGGGCACAAACCTGATTGGTTCCTATCGTTTTAAAGAATGTTTTTGCTCGTGTTTTATTTCAGAAACGGATACACCACAACCAGGGAAGATAGGACAGATCATTGCTGGTGGCTCCGCAACCATGGTCTCTATAGCAACTATGGTGGTGTGTATTGTCGTTCGACTCATTCACTGAAACAAAACGTTTATGCATGGACTTCTATACAAAATTGTATCATTTGTAAATATTGTAAATATCATTGTTAGCACGAGCTTTCCTTGTAACCTTTTATATTTCCAAATAATGAATAAATAATGTTCCTCAAAATTATATAATTGAAGTATATGAGAAACTTAAGCGTGTGCGTGAACCGTTAGAATGAACTAGAGTTTGTTCCATGGGTTGGGAAGGGAAATGTCCTCATATCATTTAGTGGAGTCAGTTTCTGCAATGAAACCCGTTTTACATACAAAGACATATAGATTGTTTATATACAAATACAATGCTTGAATATTATAGCTTTATTTGAAATTAATTTAGAGATGAGTCCATGGTAACCTGTATTAAGTGTAGGCAGGCCAGTTTAATTACAACATACAAAGTAGCATGCGGAAATCATACAATTTGCAAAAAAAGGTTTGGTATTATTGCTTGTTGATTGATTGTTGCTATACCAATGTTTATTTGTGCACACTTTACAGAATGGACTAAATTGCATATAACATGTCATGAAACACACCAAAAAACAATGAGCTAATTAATGAGCTATTAAGTGTATGCATCAATCAAATGGCTCATTTTGAACATATAAAAAGTATTTGTGTTTTGTTTCCCAGGGAATCGTATTCCCATGTAGTACACACATAAATAGTGTACATTATGTATAGTAGTACTTGAATAGCCTGGTTTATATAATATTGAAGGGCATGCTGATTGTACACACGAGTACATGCATGAAGGCCTAATATTGATATTGCTTGCATACCTAAATAAAAGTAAACTCTTCTTATCATCCCCTAATGTAAACACGGTGGTATACGTAGTCCGATTTATCGGATACTTTAACAGAAACTTTAGGTGGACCATTAGATTTCAAGTACTATTAAAAAAGGGGACATCATCCCTGACATACATAGACTCATAGGGTGTGTGGGCAGGAATTTGAGGATTTTATATATTATAATTCAACTGACCTGCCTACCCTAAATGTAGGTTGCCATGGCATGGCAATCTTACAATTGATTATATGATACAGCTGTAATATTTAAGCACTGTAATTAGATAATCTATAAGTTCTGAAAAATTAGAAGGATATATGAAAAAATCACGAAATGAGAGATTTTTTCAGAATATATTCATACACCAATATCATTTTTATGACAATCAAGTATTGTTACATACCAGGAAGGTCAACTTTATTGCTCTAGAGCTGTTCTGCAGAGGGTGTTTAAAGATTGATGAAGTAACATGAGAATCAATGTAAACGTGCAGTTTTTGAGCTCTATTAATATCCGCTGGGTCCACTTTTTAAGACCACTTTTTAAGAAACATTGGAAAAAATTGTGCTCATAAATATATAGAATGCACAGTTGTACAGCTAACTTACTCTACTATCTAGATCGCTGTATCCTATATATGTGACATTATCAAAATTGAGGTAAATATCTGACTGCATTTTTTACAAGTTACATTTTAGAGCCCAAATAGCTAGTTTACATTGTGAATGTGGCACGCATATGTATTCATCGAAAATATTAACAAATGTTTGTTTATTATAAACTTTGAATGCATGCGTGCTTTGAAGAGAATAAAAGAATCCTGAAAAGTAGAAAATATAAACATGCCTGTAGATATGTAACATGAGATAAACATAGAAAGTAAAAGCATTCTTATTAGTATCATTTACAAAAACGAAGATGGTAGATATAGCAGGGGTAGTGGTTCTTGCGGTGTTTTACATCATTATTCTGGGGGTAGGAATAGTGGCAGCAAAATTCTCTAAGACGGAAGGAGCCTCCGAGACAGAGCGGTCGTTAGTTGCTGGTAGACAACTCAACCTAGGAGTTGGCATTCTGTCAATTGCAGGTAAGATTGTATTCTATATTATTACACACATTTAGATCACGTGCTAAAACATTTTACCCAAGACGTCTTTGGGCTCCAGTGTAAATCCAACTATTAAGATCTCGTAATAAGAATATATTCGTCAATCACATTCCCTTAACTTTGAATGATATAAAAGTTATAAATATAAAAATCATGCATAAAATTGAAAATGGAAAGGTTGTATAAATGAAAATCTAATTATCAGAACCGATTACACATGTCGGCGGCTCTAATTTTAGTTGTAGGCCTACTATGAACAGATTGTCTTTGAAATATAAAATCAACAGAACTTATCGAGTCGTCAGTAATGTCCCAATCAGTAATGTCCCAATATAATTGCTCATAACACATCATATATACGTTAGATATATCTTGAGACCAAATCATAAGCACGATATCGACAATATATTGAGGATATCAACAGGACAACCAAAAGAACAACCAACTGTCAAAATTGAACACAATAAGTCGAAAACAGAATACAATGTTTTTTGGGGATTTATCTATATTGTAACTCCGTAGAAGTAATAAATATGGCTTCTCTAAGCCAAAATAATCTGAAGGAAAAAGCCAATCAGACTGGAACAAATTTGAGCGGGCTTTTTAAATTTTATTTGAATTTCTATTGATGTAAGTGGAAATTCATGGCTAGGAACAGTCATCGAATTGATACTGTTAACGAATTAATTCAAGCCTCAGAATTGATAAGTTGATAAACAAACTTGTTTTACATAAAATAACATGAACAAATCAGGGGGTTATTCTAATTGTGTTTTTAGGAGACCTTATCTCTTTAATATATTTGTAGCAAGTTATATAGGTGGTGGATTCTTGAACGGATTTGCCGAATCAGTGGCTCTCGATGGAGTAATCTGGATGTTAATGCCCGTTGGGTTAACGCTGGGAATTTTCGTTTGTAAGTTGAATTATTCCTAAAAATCATATTTTGATAGCCTCATTATAACAGGCCCTTTGTCAGCTTTTGCCAAATGGGTGCACTTTCTTTTTCTCGGGCACTTTTTAAAAAATTCCAGGGGAGTGGTTAACTATTGACAACTTTGGCCCAAAAATGGCCAAAGTCACTTGAAAAGTACTGAGAATGATGACGGCTGCATGATTTTGAAATAATGTTTAGCCAGAGGGAACCCGAATCTCCATGGCTACGGGTCTGTAATAAAGTTACATAGCTTTATAATCAAGATTATGATTTCCCATAGCATCTTTCGCCATCGGAGGAGTGATGCGTAAGAGGAAATATTTGACAATGTTAGATCCATTTAATGAGAAATACGGAAAGGAGGTGACTGCCGTCTTGTTTCTTGTGAGTCTTCTGGCCGATACGCTGTGGTCTGCCTCTATATTAACTGCATTGGGTAAGTATATAGACGTTATTTAATGGGAGCTTTTTATGCAGGGTATATCTGAGTGAAATATAATATATCATCCCGAGGGACCGTATGTCTGATGAGCGGGTGATATCAGCGGGTGATATATATATCACCCGCTCAATTCAGATATATCAATTATATTCCTGCATGTTATTGACCTATAACACTACTAAATATGGAATAAATATGCCTCCTTTCCTTTCGAAACTCAAGTGACCTGACGTAACTCAATTTTTGCATAGCCTATGACTTTGTGTGGGAGGGAGAGGGGCATTCATGATTTTTCAAAAGAAAATTGGACATGACATGCATTTTAAATGTAGGGCGTATGTGATATCGAGACTTTATCCTTAAAAAACCAGGCTTTGGACCGAAATGAGAAAACCAACGCTGTCTCACTTTAAGTTAGTCTAGCTGCAAGCCTCTGTGACCCCCTCTACTTATCAAAACACCTTCTCACACAGAGGAAAGGTCTTGGGGCGAGACTAACTTATACTTTATTTAATTCTCATCTTCCCTGCTCAGGGACAAGCCTTTATGTAATGATTGGACTGGATTTTGAGCTGTCTGTGGTTGTATCTGCCGTGATCGCTGTATTCTACACTATGATAGGGCAGATGATAGCTGTTGTCTTTACAGATGTCGTGGAGTTGGCTTTCATTGTCATTGGTTTGGTATGTATGGAGTTCTTACGACATCCAATAAAAGCAGGTCATCAATATAAAAAGCACTAAGGACGAAGAAAATAAATTAAAACAAACACTGGTCCTCAACTGGTTATTAATAACAAAATCGATTATCTTCAGTCGGAGGCTATTTTCATCTTCACCAAGAAGGAGGTCGATTTGTATCCAAATATTTTACTCGTATGTTAAGGCAGAGACATATTATATATATGTCTCTAGGTCGAACTTCAATGTTTGTTGCTCAGTCTGCTTGCGCATCTCTAATGCCAAAAACGAAAACTGAATAAAGCATTCATATTTGATACTTGTTGAGTTGAAAAATTTTCGCCTGATTTATGAAGCTAGCGTTGGGAAATTTATAAAGTACTGTACTTTCGTCTCCATATGAACATCGCTATCTTGACCCCGCCCCTTAATCTGAATTGAGCCAATACTTTTTCGTTTGATTACATTGAAAAAACATAGCATTTTAAATTCATCGCACAGTTTAGCTAGTATATAACATTGAAACGGCAGCGTATACGTATACATCGACCATATACAAATACATGGAGCTTCCTCACTTAAAAAGCCGTTCGCGCTTCAGTGTAAGATAGTCGGAGCTAAAACATGCATGTCATACATCATCTTCTTCAAAAAGAATTAAGGTTTGATTCATGTACTTTCTGTTCAAGGATCCGTCGTGAAAAACATATGTAATAACGCAGATGCGAGTAGGTAGTTACCAGATTCACCATCAGGTGGCTCGTTCGGGTCAGATAGCATGGCGGGTATAGTAGAAAGTTCCCTTTAACTTAAATTACATCTATTTGCGTGGTTCAATTTTCATATAACCTTATGTATCTAATAGTTATGCAAATTAAAATATGTCCAGTAAAAGAAAATGTTAGCTGTCCAATACAAGAAAAGATAATTCACTTTTTGTGATTTTGTTACATGGGGTCTATGGGGAATCAACCCGAACAAGAAGTCACATTTTCAAAAAAAAATTAAATTTTCAAAGTTGATAGACAATACGAAACCATGTTCCTAGATGTACTTTTACATGCAGATTTCAAATATGACATCACTTTGACTGAATTTTGAATATTTAATGACGTAAAACAAGATTTTTCTACTCGCATCTAGTCTATTATCATTTCGTCCGTACAATTACAACTAAAACTATTTTCATTGATATTTTGCTGCCATTTCTCGTCCGATACCGCATCCATCGGGAAACGGTCTAATCTCTTGTATGAGGTGAAAACAAATGCCTACGTATATCCAAGTGAAAAATTATCTATATCGGAAATACAATGATTTTATTTTCCGAATTCTAGTGATATTCTAATTTAGGTGTTATGTTTTTGGCCATATTTTATATTGGCGTAGTTACCCTGGCCTTACCCCATTAGGTTGGCAACTGTTCTTGCTTTGTTATTCTAGGCAATTGCAATACCATTCGCTGCAACAAATGAAAATGTTGACCTAAATTCACTTCGTGAAACACAAGATAAATGGGCGGGTACCATCGAGCCAATACAGATTGCGTCGTACATAGATTTAGCCGTAGGACTATGGGTAATATATATGGACTACTTATAGAATAAACTTAAAAGTTAAAGGTTATCTTGTAATAAATATCATGTACGCCTAGATGAGGTCCTAGAATTAGGATACGATCGACCAAACTTGGAAAGTCTGTTTATCCCTAATATCTGCAGGAGGAGGGTCAACTTGGCCACCCCTCTGTTTTTTATTTGTACTTTTTAGTTATGAAAATATATTTGTTTCAACTTTTGGATAAGAGTCGCTGTTTTTATCTGTTTTTTATTATTTGTTTACAGATAGTTGGAAGTGTGCCATGGCAGAGTAGCATTCAACGATTCTTATCGGCCAAATCGGTTAAAGATGCGAAGATAATGGGAGTTGTTGGCGGAAGTCTGTATACTATTATTGGTATAGCTCCCATTACTATTGGAGTTATAGGACGTGCGACTGGTAACATACATTTTACAGAGTCTAAGAATCTATAATTAGGTCGTTTACCCCCAGTCTTGAATAAATAAAATAGGATCACAACTCGTTTGTAGTTTTCATTTTCCCCGTCCTTCTGACCTGTCTGTGTTCCTTCCCATATATCTGGTATTTCATACTCTAGGTAAAATCTGAAATAATTGAGATGGTAAAATTTATTCAATGAAGTATATGAAACAGTACTTTTATAAAACAATGAAAAAGTTGAAAAAGTTGATACGTTGGCTTATTAATACTTCGACGGAGTCTATCACCAGTAATGCTAAACAAATCTACATACAGTGTCAGTAAATAAATCTTACTATATACATCTTCTCTATCTAGACTGGAACAATACAAGTTATGGGGAGGATCCTATACAAGGTGACAAGGCAGATATGATACTACCTTTAGTGATATACCATCTCACGCCTAGACCCGTTGCTGTTATAGGTAAAAAATGGCTGATAAGAAAATAATATACGCCTGCTCATGCCTGAGACGCCACCCGCCATATTGAAAAAATCTTTTTCTTTGTTTTCCTCTCGGCTTTTCTTCAGTATGCATTCGATAGTATTGCAGGCAAAAATATTAAAATAGTTTAAACGATATAAACATGTTGTATATAATTCATAAAACATGTTTTCTTATGTAGTGCCTACGTTCTGGCTTGAGAGCCTTCAATTCATTAGAACCCTACATTACCGGGCCTACGTTTGTCGAAATACCGCCGCTAATTTCTTACCTCAATTCTAAACACCTCGATTCTAAACACCACCCAAACGTTCTCGTATAGATGATCTTGGCACTCGTAGATATGGTTTAGGCACTAGATAAATTCTTACCAGTAGTATAGGGTGCAAACGGACGGTCATTCGAAAATACTTCAATGCTTTTTTTATTTTTCCAACCAGTTCCAACTGAAAGTTGCTACTCGTTAAAAATATAAACATGTAGACATTTCTGTGTCCAAATCAACTTGTTTAGACGTCTTGTGCAAAAAGGTTTGTTTAAAGTTGAAGTGGATTATGCGAGGCAAAAACCAATGAGTGCTGAAATCTATTTCAAAACTATGGTGGGGGAGTATGCAGAACAAAGTACTATCTACTTATTTGCAAATCCGGGATTTCTAATTGAATAATGCTGAATGTTTTTATCATTTATGTCAAGCCTTATGCTCCTTGACGGCTGCAGTGATGTCATCTGTAGATTCTATCATATTGGGATCAAGTGGAATGTTTACACAAAACATCTATGTAGTCATCATTCGTAAAAAGGTACGTTCTTTCGTGTAAATATTGTTCACGCTTTTTGAGTAAAACTATTAACAGTACAAACTATGTAACTCCGTACTCGAGAAAAATCATTAGGGAGGTAAAATTACACTTTTTTATAAAAAACTTGTACGTGAACGTGTGTAATTATGGTCCTTTATGATTTAGTTCTCCCATTTGTAGTGTTTACCTGGCCAATTGAGTTTAAAAGTATACGGAAATAATTGTAATTAGGTCCCTTGGAAAGTGAATTGAGAGCGGAACAGGAAATTTAGAGCGGAACAGTAATTCCCGGGGGTCGAGATATTACACGCTAGCGTACAGGATCTCTTAAAAACGTGTAACTTAACCTCGATACTAGCTTTTTAACTGACGTCTCCTTAATGTATGATAAAAGGACACGATGAACCCTACTCTCATGCAAAGTCGGCGTCTTTTAAAACACAAAAAACATGTATATTGCTAAATAAACTTGTATTAGTTCCCCTAAATCTACATCAATACCGTTTCAGGCATCAGCGCGGGAAATAATGTGGGTACAGCGAATAACGATGCTCGTACTGGGCGTTGCGTCAGTAATCATCTCTATATATGGAGAAAAAACTGTCATTGGATTGTATTATGTGGGTACAGAGATTACCATGGTGGTTCTATTTCCTCAATTGATATGTAGCATGTACATAGATGTTTCTAATGGATATGGTGCTTTACTTGGCTCTGGTTTGGGATTAGTCCTTCGTTTCGGAAAGGGAGTTCCTTCGTTAAATCTAATCGCTTTTATTCCTTATCCACCCTATGGCACCAACGATGATATATTTCCTGTTCGAATTCTGAGTATAATCGTTGCCATTTTGACCACAATTATAATATCATACGCTACAAAAATGATGTTCACGAAGGGACTCGTGGGAAGAAAGTTTGACATGTTGAACCAGTTCTTCAAATCTGATCCGGAAATAGAGACGAATAACGAAAATGAGGAGAGCATAGCGTTGTTTTGACAACCATGTGAACATAACAGATTATTGCAAACCTTTAATTACATATACTTTAAGCTAAAGTAGTATGTAGATTGTCTGGTGACTAATGAAATAAAACAATATGCTGCAATAATTAATTGGTAAATAAAATGTGCATGATTCGATCAATTGCCTTATTAAGGATTGAAAATTAAAGCACTGGTAGCACACCATAGCGCTTCCAAATGGCCGCTTAGGTAATCGCAAACAATTTCAGATGTTATATCGAGGATTAGGACTATGTTCTGACCATGTAGACAGGCATACTGTCAAATATCAGTGTCATACATTGTCAAAATATTAGTAATTCCTGATGGTTAACGCATACAAAGGTATGTTGGTACGCAGATTAGATGCAGTTATAAAATATAAGTTTGCCGTAAGTTGCTGATAATAGGGAGTTTAAGCTTGAATGTAAAATCGAAACGCCAACCTCTACGTTTGATCAAACGCCCGTACAAATACATCGCTTTAAATATTTTCCATTCACGTTTAGGTTGTGAAAAACATTGCAAGCTGATACTCCCTTATATCTGCTAAGAGCACCATACGAAATACACACCTCCTAGACAATAAATTCATAAGGGATGTTACAATGAGTGTTTGATCTCGTCCTAATTTTCAATTTTCTAGATCTTTAACTTTACATCTAACTTAAATTGTTGTAATACATTATTTTTAATTTGTTCGTACATTTTTACATTTGCATACATATGTTTTTATATAGAAAAGTGTGTTTAATAGGATTGTTGGCTTACTGGGCCCAATATTATATTTTACTGTCACTTCACTTAAAACAGTAAATACCTCTGGCAACCATTTTAATATTCAGTAACTCAGAAATTTGTGGCAATTCACGAGTTCAGAGGTGTTTCTTTTAAATCAAAATTCACCAAAACATTTTCACAAAGCTGATATTTCAAAGGTCCTATCCAGTGTGAACTTTAACTTAACTGACATACAGGGTGGTCAAAAAAACGGAAACCCTGCATTTTCCACATATCTTTGTCATTTTAAGAAATTACTCCCTGATATTTCACACATTTGTGAATCATTCAATTTCCTACCACCCTACCATATTTTATGACCATCAGACTGATAGTCACAATTTTACAGCACTTTGAACAACATGCTTCAGGTTTGGCCATCATCGCGCTGGAGGCAAACCTGCACAGTTGTCAATGATCCAAATGCATTCCTCCGCAGGTATGGCCTGAATGATACAGATGATCTCACTTTTGAGGCCTGCAAGTGTCCTGGGGTCATTATTATACACTCTATCTCTGCCATATTCCCATAGGTTGGGACATTTTGGACGACATATGCAGGTTGGTCTTCGGCGCAATAATGGCCACCGGGATTGTTCTTTAAAGTGCTGTAACACGGTGACTATCAATCAGATGGTCATAAAATATGGTAGGCTGGTAGGAAATTGAGTGATGTACAAATGTGCAAAGTTAATTCTTAAAATAATAAAGATATTAGGTAAAATGGTGTAAGGGTTTCCAGTTTTTTGACCACCCTGTATTTTATTTAAATGGTATTAACATGTATCCTGTGTGAGTTTTCGTGTGTTCCTTAAATTACCGGATGTAGTAAAACATTTTTTTAAATATTTCTTTCCTGTGTGGGTTTTCATTTGTTTCTTTACACTACAAGATTTATTATAATATTTTTACAATATTAAAATACCCTTTGATGAAAAATCCTTGCTTCTGGGTCGAAATACGTCAAAAAGCGTGAACATTTTCAATCGAATTTTACACATTCTATAAGATCCAAGACATTACTATAAGCATATTTTCAAAGAATTGGATTATCGTTATATAAAAATCAATTATTATTTCAATGTTATTTTCGCAAGAATGTTTTGATATATCATCATCTATCATCATCGATCGTCAACTACCATAATCAACATCGGGCGTCTTGAAAATCAAGAGGAAGGTGGCTAAAAAATTGGCATGAAAATGTGGGCCCAATTTTCTAAAAATAAGCCCAATTAAAATGAAAGATTATTCTCAGTTATGCCATTTTGCTCAAAGAAGCAGATTTTTGGCCGTAATATTTTTAGTCCCCCATGTCCGCCACTGACCTAAGATGAGGCCCATATGATATCTAACCGAAATGATCCATCCATTTAAAAATTGGGGCATCTGGAGCATCTTGTTCAATGTCATTCGAAATTCATGTTCAGTTTCTTCTTACCGGTCTCACGCCCGGCGATCGGAAAAACGGAACAGAGGGGGGGGGGGCAAGTAATGTCTGCTAGAAAATTCAACAAATCTGGAAGATTTCAAGATAAATATTACGTTTGAATTACTGAATGGATAGGCACTCGGTATGGTTAAATATATTAGGTCTTTTAGGAGTTTTGAAACCGATACGCTTCTAATATATGACTGATCTATTCAAAAGACGCAACGCCATCAACGTCCCCAAGTCAATGTTTTGCTATTAATCAAGGAACAGTAATGGTCTACACGACCTGTAATGAAAGTACTTGTAAGTGAAGTAATCATAAAATTAATGCCATTGCTGACTTTATAAGATAAGTTTCCATACATAATATAAAAAATTATCGAAAATAATTAAATAGGATGGAGGGGGATAGATGAGAGATGTTACTTGACTTTATGTCCCTTTCCCCATTTTTCACTCTAATTTCTAATTGATTTCTTCCAGATTTGTTGATTTTTTAGCAGAAATTGGCTGCCCCCAACTCCGTCCCGTTTTCCGATCAATGGGTGTGTTATTCCCCTTTTATCCGAGAACTCAGTGAGACGGATGGAACTATGCAGGAAAAAGAAATCACGGAATATGAACATATTTATACTTATACTTATAGTGATTGAATTATCATTGTTTATATATTATTCAAATACTACAAGTGAACCCTTCAAAATCCATATTGATGATTTTATATTAAGAACATACTTTTATACAAAGTCATTTTGAATATATTCTATTGGACTGTTGTATACTTTGACTGAAATAGTTTTGAAGTTCTAACCAAAAAACGTTCTGACGTTTAAATATGAAGTTTCTTCCTTGGCAAATTACTCAGAGCAGAACACCAAACATTCAGAAACAATGTACAATGTAAAGGATCCGTTACCTAATGTACCTGAAGGTGCCCCCAAAGGTATCATTGAAAATAATATGGAAATAGTTACTTTTATCAATTATGAACACATCAAAAATGAAATTAGGTAATTTGGACTAAAACTAAGGCCATTTAGTGCACTTAGGTTTGACTACGCAAATCACTCTAAATATCATTTTAGGGGTATGTTAGTCTTCATTTATAATCATTTTAAGTATGTTGACAATTCCTTTATTAATATATCAGAACATCGTTAAGGTAGAACACAAAGGGCAACATATTGAAAACACATATCATAAAAAACTAAAAACTTAATGTAAATATATAGGGTATTTAACTGTTCATTTTAAAGCATCAATTGCTCTTATCAATTATGCAATAATGTACGCTCCCTGATAATTTGGCGTACTTTTTTGCCACCTTTTTATTTTTCAACCAATCAGATTTGTTGGTTGGATAAACACATAATGGAGAAAGACTTGGTAAGAAATTATCCCATATTATGAATCTAATTGATATAATAACCCTAGAGATTAATTACATTCATATTCATTAAGTAGATGTTACAAGGTTCATGTACATATACATTATAAGATGTTTTGATAGAAATATAAACTTGAAATTGTAATTTTAGAAACTTGTCAACTTTGTGAAGAAAATCTATATTTTTGTAAACAGACATTTACATTTTGGGTATTAATTTATTCAAGGCAACAATGTTATAGCAGCTACATACAAAATCCAATCAACCACAGCTTTATACAGTTAGCCCATAGGGTAAGCATTTATATTTTAGAGAACATGCATTTCACTGTGAAGATTGCATTTATATTGCATTTCTCATTTGCCCATTTGCTTCTATATTAGAGATAGTTGTATTCACAAGATACATTTGGTAATTTATGTAATAATGGTATATATTTTTAGCTTACTCTACATAATGTAGATGGTCATTGAAATGCACATTGTTTGTTTGAAATGCGCATATGCACAATGTTCAATGCCAAATAGCTAAGCTATTTATGACCACTTTTATGTAATTGTGTGTTGATTCAGTGATGATATGTTACGTATTCTTTTTCTGCATTGGTAATTTTATCCATACCCAAAATGTTGGAATTTATACTTTTACAGGCTGTCTGTCTGTGTCTATGTCTGGCTGTCTGTGTTTGTGATTACAATAAACAATTTTACACCTAAGATGATTTATCTTATGTGACGCATATCATATCCACTCCTAGCCACTTAAAGCCACCGCTACATTAATATATCTTTTGAAAAATGAATCTTAATAAATGTGTTCTCAACAATATTACCATGATCACCTCAGTTGGTATACAGTAGGCAGTTAACCTAGAGGGTATATTAAAATATCATTAAGGTGGGACACAAAGGGCATCATACTGAAAACACATATCATAAAATAACCCCTAAAAATAATATGATAAAATCAGTCTTGTTAAATGTGTTCTGAACAATAGTAATAAGATCACCCTTATTGTGTATACTGTAGCTTTAACCTACTAGGTATTCAACCTAGATACTACACTCCCCTCCATAAGTTTGGCAACCTTAGCTCTCCCATTGAACTACGTGTTATACGTTAAAGCCTCTTTACGTTTGAATTTTTATTTACTTACCTGCGATGAAATAACTTATAATATTGATGGAAACGTAACATGACTTTATTTCTAATACCTCCAAATTTTCCCATTTTTTTCTAAATCACAATAGGTCGAAAATTGATGATAAAGTTGATGAATTTTTGAAAATCGTCATTCCCATGTAAACCAATAGGAAATGGTGGGTTCGGGGCAAATCAGAAATCAGGATATCTATTCTGTAAAAGATTCAGCAAAAAGTATTTTTATATAGAAAATTGAATTGTTTAACTTTTTACGCTACCTGCTTAGTTTACCTGATGAATTCTAAAGTTACAGAGCTTCAAAGTCATTTTTGAAAATCATTTTCGCCTCCTGTGTTATTTCAATGGGAGAGGATTTTGAAAAACAATTTTGACTTCAAAGCCCTATAACTTTGTTGAACCTGAAGAAACGTATCATTTTTTGTTAAATAGAATAAGCAAATTCAATTACCTACCTAACTCGTATTTTTTGCAAGGACTCGGATGGATGGATATTCTGTCATATGACTTGCGGCAAACCTTCTTTTTCCCATTGGTTAACATGGGAATGTAGATTTTAAAAAAATTATCATCAATTTTCGACCTATTGTAATGGAGGACAAAATTTGAAAAAATTTGGAGGTATTGGAAATAAAGTCAAATTACGTTTCCATCAATAGTATAAGTTTTATCATCGCAGGTTAAGTAAATAAAAATTCAAAGGTAAAGAGGCTTTAACACGTAGTTAAATGGGGGAGCTAAGGTTGCCAAACTTATGGAGGGGAATGTATGTCAAAACATCATTAAAGATAAGGTAGAAAACAAAGAGCAACACTTGAAAATACAAAACTTAAATTCAAGCTTATTCTAGTTGCGACTTTCCATTGCATTATATTTTTATTTGGCATTGTCAAAGAAATTAAAACAATGATAGATGACATAATGGTCTTAGTTTATTTCATTTGAACACTTAACAAGCAATATTCATTCAAACAAATGACTAGCCGAAACATATTTTTCGATCACCAGGCTCGTTGCTTACATATCACATGTTCTAATAGTATATCCCATGAACAGATTTCTGAAAAACATTATTTTAAGTTACCTGTGATTAATTGCTTTATTGCAAATGACACATGTTTCCTTTGATCTTGTTATCATTGAAAATTGAATACATGTCTGTTTAGAGGTTTGAACATGGTGCTCAGAATTATCTATGGGAACCCAGGTTGGATGTCTCTGTGGCGTGATACGTTGACACAATCGTTATTGTAAATGACAGAGTTTGTTGGAAGGTTCAGTCCAGAATGTCTTTCCAACTAAGATTTTCTATTTTTCTAGAAGGTTCTATGTTGCACCTACCTCAAGCAATACACACTTTTGCGATTTGTTGAAAATATACTTAATAACGATTCAAATTGTATAAAAATAATTCTGGAATTCCATTTTACCATTTTCAATAATTTTCTAAGTTCTTATAGGTACACTAATAGTTACGGATCCTTTGAGAGCTAAAATAAAATGTCCACGAGAAAATGTTATTCTTGCAGTTTTTCGCAAACAATTCAATTCAAACGCACATCGTAACAAATTCCATAAAACTATTCCAAATATATGAACAGGTGTACATACATTGTCCTATCCCTTTAGGTAATTATCTATTATGTAAACTTACATATCATTCATATAGATAAGCCACTGAAATGAACTGACGTCCTTTCATTTGTAAGAAAGCTGGAAACAACCATGAAGTTCACTATCCTTCTTGGGATTGCTCTTACACTCGTTAAGGTATGGTTAAAATATTTGCATTATTAAGCAAAATCCGCCATCGTCCGACAATGGACAATATTAGAATAGTCTTATCAAGTCACAAAATTGTCTTATTAGAAGTTTTTTATAGCATAAATTGACATTCTACTTGTTATTACACTTTTCAGAGTGCACCTCTAGAAGATGGACTGTTGAATGACGACAATGAGAATGATTCGCATGTCTACAATGCAGTTAAATCAGCCTCTAAGTTGTGGCCCGGAGGTGTCGTGCCTTTCACCATTGATTCCAGCATCTGTGAGTTCTTTAGCATTCATGTAATGTGTATCAAACTAATTCTAAATGCAACCCATGTACACTTCATTCAAATGATACTTCATCCCGAAATGATATCATTTCAATCTCTTTGAAAAGCTCTAAAATACTGAATTCGAAAATATGCTTAATTGATCCAACATTAACTAATCAAAGATAACTGAAATCAACACAACTTATCCAAAAGTGATGTACGTACAAAACATCTAAAGGCTACTCATTAACGAAAGTTTGTCCCTAAATAAAACATTCCAAGATAGTTAGCCTCAAAATAACTAATTCCACATCATCTCGAGACAATAAACATTCACATAAAACATCATCCGATTGCAATAGCCCTTCCAAAGATAACATTTAACATCATCCGATTGCAATAGCCCTTCAAAAGATAACTCAAATCGACTCAAGATAACTCAAAGGAATGACAGGAATAATATTCAATTTTTTATCAGGTAAATAATACATTCGAATTTCAGCCTATCGACAAAAGCAGACTTTAGAAAGTGCACTTTGGGATTTTACGCAGTTAACCTGCATCAAATGGGTCCAAAGGACTTCTCAAACGGATTACGTCCATATACAACCCGGCACCAGGTATTATTGCTCTCGAAATATATGATCTGTCAAGTGACTTTTGTTTTCGTTACATAAGTACATTTTTGTCAGATTTTAGACCATATGTCTCTGTGAAACTTGTCTTGTCTCATCGAATCACTGATTTGTTCAAATGAAATAACATTTTACATATTTTTTGTAACTTATGTCATGTTTATATAAAATTAGAATAGCCTATATATTACAGGCCAACTGACTTGGCAAAACTATCTTGAAAATCAAGTGACGATACCATACATTATTCTCCAACAAAACAAAACTTCAGGTAAATGATTGGTTTTTAGTTGTTCTTCCCCAATTGGAAGGACAGGTGGAAGACAGACTATGTCGATCAACACATCCAAATGGTGGAAGGGGGTGATCGTGCACGAGATGATGCATGCCATCGGCTTCTGGCACGAACAGAGCAGGAACGATAGAGACAGCTATGTGAACATTTTGTACCAGAATATACAACCAGGTGGGTATGTACTTTACAACGGAGAGCAAAGTAACGTCAGAAAATATAACAGACATTCAAAAACAAAGTCAGAAAATATAACAGACATTCAAAAACAAAGTCAGAAAATATAACAGACATTCAAACATTGTAAACAAGGCGTGAAGGTTAGTCATCGAGTCGACTTTGCGATTATATGGAAAAATAGCTGTTATTTTTCCATTGTATCACATTATTATTTTATCATTGTATACAGGAAAGGAGTCTAACTTCCAAAAGATGACAAACCAGGCTAGTGATATCCTAAGCTATGACTATGGATCTATTATGCAGTCATCTGGGACGGAGTTCTCTAGAAATGGTCAGCCTACAATTGTCGCAAAACAGAGCGGGGTGACACTGGGTCAAATCAGGGGTTTCTCCATGCTGGACAGAAAGAAGATAAATGCCTTATACAATAACTGTGAGAATGGAGGTAGGCTACATTTTCGTTCATTATCCGAAAACTTTACCATTTCCGAGTATTAACATGCAATATTTTCGGAGAACACTGGTTTCATTTTCAAACGCAACAATTCTCAAGGTAGAGGCATAGGTTTGATCCCAACAGATTAAAATATTTGAATGTATAATATGTCAAATGATAATATGCATAAATTATGATCTTGAAACATTGACATATCATAGCATGTATTGAAAATAGTAGAACTGGTGTACAATAGCCCGCTAGTATGTAATTATCTTACCATGTCGATACAATGCTATTTCATTTTCCCTTCCAATTAAATAATTCCCAGTTCAATTTTTGCGACACATCCAGAGCTCTGTGGCATTGCAACTTTCAAATTCTGAAGTGCCCAGTATTCCCCGTAGAATTCTAGACCTGTTAATTAAATAAACTGATACGTCATTGATGTCTTTCTTAATTTTTACAATTGTTTGATATTCTTCATCGATCAGTTCTTTCGAATTTATGTAATTTGTGTAAATATCTGTAGTAAATATTATCTTGTAATCGTTATAATTAGCAATAATGTTAACTTACCAAATAATCTAGCGTGGTTTTCAAAGGATATTGTTTTCATTCCAAAAATATTGGAGACAAATCATCCCCATCTAGGTTGGTCCTAAGGCTCTTTAGCATGTATGCAGGAGGTTTAAGGTCATTTCCTTCGAAACAACCTAAAGTCTTGCATGGATAGACTGTAAATACACGTAAATTATAAACAATCAAAACGTTCTTATACTTCAAAACGTTCTTATTCTTATTGGCATTTTTGAACTGCTAAATATCTTTTAAAAAGTCCAACTTCATAATCTTTAATGGAGATATTAAAGTCTTATGGGAATAAAAGGGGGCGTCCAAATTATTTCAAACAGTACTATTTTAATATTTTTTTCATCTTAGACTAATGTAGGATCGATAAATTCTAATCTTTACATTATCAGCAAGTATTTGATAAGATATACATTAGCATTTTCAAGTTAATGTGCATGTCATGTTGAAAGACTCATACTTCTGAAAACAGTTCATTTTGCTTGAAATTTTGACATCCCCATATTTTGATCCCGACTTATCAATTACGTCTTTAGTTATTTAAATGTCTATGGATTTAATGAATACTAAAGTTACGTAACCTTGATGAAAGCTGTCATACCTGTATTTATCTTCAAGATCATCACAAACCAGTAGGCCGGTGCATAAAACTTGCATCCAGCAATTGTAGGGAAAGTCATCCAGTTTGCGTGTCTCATCCGGTCTTTACAGCAAATTCAATCAATATAATATTCAATATAACATTGAATTTTTATTCAACAATGTAGATAGTGTATTTATTGATCCAACAAAAATCTTTAAATTAAGCTTACCACAAAATTTGTTCTGCTACTATCCATGTTGTCCCAACATTTTTAGCCACGTGCTATTTCATTCTAGGTGTTGGACCAACTGTGAGACCTACTGTCAGGCCGACCCCTGGTGGTAATTGCAGGGACAAGTTTGACAATTGCCCTGTGTATAAGTCTATGGGTCTATGCTCAGGTAGTGATAGCGCCTACTTTAGAAGCACTTGTCCCCTATCCTGTAGCGTTTGTGGTGGAGTCACTGCCCGACCAACGGCAGGGCCAGGACCTGTAGGGACCGGCGGCTGTGGCAAGTCTAAACTTGGCCATGATACCAAATATATAGTTGGAGGCAAAGAAGCTCAGGTCGGAAGATGGCCGTGGATGGCTGATATGTATGTTAATGGAAGGCATAGCTGCGGGGGATCTATTCTTAATGCCAACTGGATCCTCACGGCCGCACATTGTGTTGCACGGTAACCAAACCAATGCGAGCTTATATTCGCGAATGCAAATAGCGGCTCCCGGATGAAACTACTATTTTATGATCAACTCATTTAAATGAGTTGCCAATAAAATAGTAAGTTAATCCGATAGCCGATAGGCGTTAGTTGCATTTGCGAATACAATATTATCTTTATCTCACTTGCATACTTTGCTTAGTCATAGCCTTTTCTTTACTCTCACCCGGATTGTTTTATTTCACTGATTCATTGGTGTAATGACAATATTCCAGACAAAATCCGGCTTATCTCAAAATTAGAGTAGGGTGGCACGATCAAAATCGACGCACACAGAATGGATTTGAACACAACGTTAGAAGAATAGTATCTGTAAGTCATATTGTTTTACTAGGGTAAACAGAGGGTGGAAACGCATAGAGTATTTTCGTGGCAAAAACCATCTTATTCAAAAGAATTAGGTATATGTAGTTTATTTTGTTTTCTTACAACATAGCAGTACATCCCCATCTGCCAATACGCCCATCATGGTTCAGATATATCGGGGAAACTTTCAATTGTTAAATATTGACACCCAAAATCCAAGTTTCTCTTCAAAGTGGGGCTATTTTGCTTAAACCCCGCATTCTAGAAAAACTAGATGCATGGCAGACAATTGATGCCCTGATGTAATGGGAACGTGATGAGCTTATTGCTAGGTAAGAAAACTACAAAACGTTCACATACTACCAAATAAAACTACGCCTACCTGCTTTACAAACAAAAATACTCTTTGCGTTTCCGCCCTTGGTAGAAAATAAAATGAAATGATAAATGTTATTAATATAAAGTGAGTAGGGTCTTCATTAATCAAAGAGATAAAATTGATCAATAGTGAAACGTCTAGACACAAAGCAGTCATCTAAACCAAGTATTTACCGTTTCAAATATTTTCAGCATCCGCAATATGGTTCCATCAATGCTGTAGGTATAAAGAATGATAATGACATTGCTCTTTTACAACTTGCTACGCCAATCAACTTCCAAAATGAACACGTGAACACCGTGTGTCTTCCACAACGCAATGAGCAATTCAGTGGGAACTGTGTTGCAACAGGATGGGGTAAGAACACATGACGTCCGACCCAGGGGCGAATCTGGGAAACAACAAGGGGGGGGGGCAAATTTCAGATCAAAGGAAAAAAAATTGGGCCCCTAAAACCCAAAAGTGGGCCCAAATTATGAAATTTTGAGGCCCATTTTCTTTAAAATTTTACCTGAAATTAAAAAATAAGGCCTTAAAAGGCCTGGTAATGGCCAAAAAGGCCCACTTTTTGGGGCCTTTAGGCCTTTTTGGTCCAGCTCCCCCCCAGATCCGTCAGTGCGACCATACCAGAATGCATTATATGTCCCCACTTTTTCGAGGGGGAAATGACCGCTCCCCTTTGTCTTGATCTTTCCAAACTACAAACGACAGTAATAACACAATAATGGGGTGAACATGTATACAGATATGAAAGACGGAATAAAATATTCTTTGTGTACACTTGTATTGGGTATAATTTGTTCCACTAAAATAAAGGTATGACGATGGGAACTGGAGACCAGACTAAGCTAAGGGAGGTGACTGTCCCCGTGCATACAACATCTACATGTAACAGATACTGGCCAGGTAGCATATCTGATAGACAGATCTGTATGGGAACGGTTCCACCTACAACTACAAAAACTGCATGCATGGTAAGCTTTTAAACTGCAAGTCAGATCATGTTAGACAAATTAATATTATATATAACATTGGTGTCTGCTCTAGGATACCCATCCTGGGATTCTATATTGGTATCAGCTCTCGGATACCCGTCTTGGGATTCTATATTGGTATCAGCTCTCGGATACCCTTCCCCGTGATTCTTATACTGTCAGGTACCTTGTATTTCTACGACCACTTGTGATCAAAAAGCGTGAGTCGTTCGTCTTTGTTTCAATAAACTTTTGATAAGATAGTGGATTAATTTTCCTAATAATATCCAGGGTGACTCTGGAGGGCCTTTGGTGTGCAAGAAGAGTGGCCGGTGGGTTCAAGCAGGTGTGACATCATGGGGGTCACGTCAATGTCGAGATAAACCAGCCGTCTACACCAGAACGTCACAATACTTGGACTGGATCAATTCAAATATGAAATGAATTTACTTTGATCCAGAAAAGATTTAATAAAGCAATAAACACGGATTCACTGGCTTCCATTATCTATATGTCATTTAACATATATCTACACACGTGACGTAACCTATAAGTGAAAAAGCAAAGAAGGGCTAAATAATACATTCACATGTAGCTGGACAAGGTGTGTCCGATTCCAGCCAGTCTGAACACGTTTATTTTATATAACCGCCTTGTATTCCAACAATGCATCCAATGTAACTTGTTGTATGGTTGTCAAGAGACTCTGCAGATTGAAATTGATACTTGACCTTTGCAAAATGTTGCATTGAAAATATTTCATTTGGCGATTTCGTATCTTTTATGTGATTTTGTAGGAGATATTTTACGATGTACGCAAACAATTGAAGTCCAAGTCTCAATGTGCATAACTGATTCATTCGACTCACCCGAACTTTATTTAATAATATCCTACAATTTTATTGAACATCATATACTAATGTGCAATGAGGATTGGCTCCCAGGGTTTCAACTCGATATTCAACCTTGACCTTTATCGTTGACAACATTGAAAATGTCATTATAACCGACTATAAATTCATAATCAGCGATCCTGATCACTTCACTTGTGTGTTGTGAAATTATTGTTAGGAAATAAGACCAAAACTTGCAATTCAAATTTTGAAGTGAAAAAATGGCGACATGACAACGTGATAATAAGGTCAACGTCATAACACCATATATGGCAAAAATATCGATGTTGCATTCTGGGAGCCAATTCTCCCAGCTAATGGGCGTGATTTTAATAAATCATGCTTATGAATTAATTAATACCAAAGAATTATGAGATCTGCTCACTTCTTTTGAGTTCTTGAAACCAACAACCCTCAAAAGTTTCTTATGTATTCATCACGTAGTTTTGATAAAAACGAGTAGACAAGACTTTACAGTAAAACAAAGTGTACCCAGGCAACATTTTGAGTTTGTTTATATGAGATGTTGTTAACTTTAACATTGTCGTAAAACTACTCTTTTCTTTGTATCTCTGTAATGCTCACATTGGATTAAAATGCATGGCCCATTCTCAATACATCGACTATCACAGAGATAACATGTTCTTTCTTGCAATGATTGGTTGTTCCATCTACCCCCCTACTCCGTGGAGTTGCTGTTCTAAATTTTGACGACCCTTCCGATTAAAACTGTTGCTTTATTGCAATAGGGAGTCGTGTATTAACTTACACGTTTCTCAGTTAGTTTCACAGGACTGGAAAACAGTTACGAAACCATGTTTTAATTCAGAGTTACCCAAGCGACACCAATTAAATTGATTTAAATGAGCTCTGTTTAGAGGGAAAACGTACTTGAATTGGCTGAGTAAAATAGTATACAATGTAGGTGTATCTGATTCTTCAAAATGGTAGATACAGCAGGAGTGGTGGTATTAGCGGTGTTTTACATATTGATTCTAGTGGTTGGAATATTGGCTGCCAAATGTTTTAAGCCGAAAAATGTCTCCGAGACAGAACGCTCATTGGTGGCCGGAAGGCAGCTGAATCTCGGAGTAGGCATAGTATCTCTGACAGGTTTGCATATGTGTAAATACTTTTAGCATATATATTTTAACGAAATATAAATAGCTGACAGGGCTAATTTGTAAACAAACGTTACAAAAACACATCAAACATCAAGCGCTTTACTGTTTGAGCTTTGCTAAAAGCTAATGTGGATTTGTGATAACATTTTAGACCTGACTATTTTACTTTCACTCATTATTTTGTTGTTGCCATGTTATTCGCCAATTATATGGTAAACGACTTGTTCCTTACCGTATGGATAATTTGTATAATTCGCGATTTCAGAGCCGCTATGTAATTATTTTGGGTGAAAACTTTGAAGAGATGTATATCTATGTTTAGACTTGATCAAGAACCAATAAACACAAGATCACAGTTTTATGAGAGTTATGTATATTCAGAAGCCCTACATATTTAACGACTACTGTGTTGTCTTATTTGTGTGATAGTTTTACACATAGACTATTGTTTCAATTCAACTGAAACTGCTTTTAGCTTTTTGAGAAGATTATGTACTTTCCCGGGTCGGGATGATCAAATAATTCTTTTTTAGTTATAACTAAAGTAACGACCTGTGTTATCAAGGATCAGTGTTTTTTGGCACAGGGGTACAGACGAAGTTGTATGTTAAGTTAAACCCGCTCGTGTACATTTTCGAATAAAACCGTTCGTGTCACGTAAGAACAATAATAGTGTAGGCTATGTCAATTTTTTTCAAGTATACGGGATTGAAATGCAGAAGTTGATAAACTGGGCTTCAAGAACAAACGACAATATTTTCACTTTCAAGTTTATTTTCTGTAATTTATTACTCCGAGATAAAAGGTTTGAATAAGCATAAAATAACGCAACCCCGGCCCTTGAAAGGACTATGTGTACATCACAATGCATCACGTTAAATGAACATTGCACGATGGCAATGAATGAACCCTTAAACGGTTTTGCTATGTAGAATTACATCAACGGTTAAGGGAGTGTGGTAAGATCGACCCCCCCCCCCCAGTGATCCCGGAATCCAATCATACAAAGGTGTATTATGTATCAATTGAATATTCATTTACGGAGAAGTTCTAAAAGCATAGCGGTGTATCTCTTTTATTCAAAACTACTGACAATTTGGGCATGTTAGTAATAAGCTCTACTTTTCCTCCCAGTGGTTTGAGTCACAATTTTTGCTCAAACATGCCTTTTTCAATTTTGAGAAAAGCCAGAAAGTTTCAAGTAAAAAGGCAGATATGCCCCCTCCCCCAACCGTTTAAGGGTAAAAGCTATTTTCTTTGAACATTTGTTTCTAACATGTGGAAATGCAAAATAGAATAGAATATTATATTGTAAACGTGTGTCTTTCATTTCAAAGGAGTAGTATCGATATGGAGAACTGAATTCAACAATGATTTTCTCCTAAACCAATCATTGAAAACATTCTGTAAAAAAACACGGTATTTTATGTAATGTTGACTGATTGACAACAATTTAATGCGAAAATTATTTAGAAATATTTTATATAACTGTTTTTGTTAAACATTTTTTGTTTTTAGTGCAATTGTTTTTGCTCCTTAAACGTTGTATTTATGTCGTTTTGTTCCAATGAGGTTCGGAAAGATGTTACATTTCACTCTGGAAACATGATACCAAGAACAAAACAAGTGTTTGGTGTGTTTTCTAAAACAATATAGATGAAAGTGTATATATATATATATTTCAAATTATATTGTTACCATTCAAAAGATGACCATTCAATTGACGATGTGTAAAATTTTTAGATTTTTTTTATGACTGGTTTAAGAGAAACGTGTGTTCAAAAAGTTCTCCATATCGATACCACTCCTCCACATAGGCACGACTGTACTTACAGCAACATGCGTCGGAGGTGGATTCCTAAGCGGATTTGCAGAATCAGTAGCACTGTATGGAGTAATCTGGATGCTAATGCCAATCGGCATGATGCTTGGGTATTTCATATGTAAGAGTGTTATTATTGATCATGAGCGTTTGAAATGAAACTTTCTCGAATAAAATATTTTAATGATCACGGTATATCTTTACAATTCCGAAATGTACCAACTCGGTTAAATAACTAATTTACAATGTGTTATGTTAAATAGCGGCGTACTTTTATGGAGGAGTGATGCGTAAGAGGAAATATTTGACGATGCTAGATCCATTTTATGACCGTTATGGAGGGATAGCGACTGCCATCTTGTTTCTTGTGACCCTTCTTGCTGATGTTCTTTGGACTGCCTCCATTCTGACTGCATTAGGTAGGATTATTCCACGAGTCCCTAAGCCGTCTGCAAATATCTAAATCCACTCCCCTGTATATGTTTTGCAACCTAAATTTCCCTTTTGAATCACTTTTCCATGCCTGTTTATGTTTCACAATTTAAAAAATCATAAAGGGATGGCGAGTTATATGTAGAATGAATGAAAAATAGCCTATGGTAATCTATTATATATTATTGTTTGGCTGAAACCATACTTTCAATATGTTCGACTCGCTGTATTAATCTATTTTCTTTTACAGGTTCAAGTCTAAGTGTGATCATTGAAGTAGATTTTGTGGTGTCTGTTGTTGTATCAGCTGCAGTTGCAGTATGCTACACTATGTTTGGCCAAATGATTTCTGTGTCTTACACAGACGTCTTACAATTGGCTTTTATAACCATTGGCTTGGTGAGGCATTTAGTATCATTCATTTACATTTACACTGGCGGATCCAGGGGGCATGGGACCCGCCCTCTCCCCTTTTTGGGCCCAGAAAAAATTTAGGGACCCAAAAATTGTTTGACTCAAAAATCGTGTACGGCCAAATTATCAAAAAATGGACCTGAAGCTTTCAAATGGTGTCCCCAATTCTTTGTTTTAGGGGCCCAGTTTTTTTCCTGACTCGAAAGTCCCCGCAACCTTGTTAGCTTCTGGATCCGCTATTGATGTACGCCTACACACACATACATCTGCAATATTGATGATCTAATTGAAAGCTCATGATCTAACACTGTACTATAAAATAGTATTCGCTTACATTTCGCGTTATACAATTTAATCCTCAATAATTAACTTCAGTATTTTGGTAAAAAAGAATGGGCCGATATTAAGTGATCATGATATACTGGTAATGAAGACTCGACAGTTATAGTAATGATTTACTTACAGGGTATTGCAATACCATTTGCTGCGACGAACGATAATGTAGACCTGAGTTCACTTAGTGAAACACCAGCTAGATGGTTGGGCACTATTGAACCAATACAGATAGGATCGTACATCGATTTAGTTATTGCAGTGTGGGTGGGTACAATTTGTTTTATTGTCTAACATTTTCCTTTAATCTAACTGTCTATTATGGCATATTAGTCTTAGGCTTAAAGCTCTTGGTCCCCCTCCTATTTTTCAACAACAGGGTATTGTAATCAGTATGTACCTATTATTGATATAAATTATTTATGCTAGATGTCAACTATGAAACGGCTAATCAGATCCTTTGTTGTTACTTTTAGAGCACATGCGATTTGTGTAAACAGTAGCCAGTGACTTTACCTCGAGCTTTATATCTTCTAAATATAGCTCTTTGGGTTCTTCATAAAACAATATGGATTGGTCTCTTGTAATGTGGAAAAGATAAAATTAACACAGAATTCTCGAGATCGTTGTTCCCCCTTCAAAAGAGGAGACGCGAAGATCTCTCAAGGTCAAAGGTCAAAATATTTCCCATGATGCAGTTCGCGGAGGAACAAATTTATACTTCCTTGTTTTCCCTCCTAGGTTTAACATGGGGATTTTCACACCTGTTTTTCAAACGATATATACGTTCATATTCTCCTACGAGAGTACTGAAAAAATATTAGAAACGATTGGTCTCTTATTAATCTTTATATAACAGCTATTTTTTCATTGTATTGATTCATAGCGTGGTGAAAACGATGATTAAAAAGTGAGAAAGTATTCCAGAAGAGAAGGTCACGTGATCAGTTGACTAGTCGCCATATTGGAAAAAACAATTCCATTCGACCTTCAATACTTTCATGCCAATCTTACCGCACTACAAACTGCAACATCGATGCAACAACTGAATAAAAGTACCCATCTTCAAATTACATTATAGAGTAACGTTGAAAACCCACAAACAACTGAGCAGTAGACCAAAGAAGAAGCATCGTTATTATCTAGGTCAATCTGTTCAGTGGTCCGAAAGCAAATCTATAGTACTCGTTTCCAAATTTTGTTGTTCATTGCACAATCTTTTATTGATTAAACTCGGTATACTGACTTTTAAAGCGATGACAAAGAAGAATACTTCCGATGGTGCCATTGCAATTTGTTTTATTTAGCGTGCGGATGTAAAACAAAATTGCGTAATTAGTGTGATTTAGAACTTTCGGGTCACGCGAATAGCTACGCGAAATGCATAGTGGGAAAATATTGACCAATCAAATTGTGTCCTTTTTGAGTGCTTTTTCAGTACATATTTGGCCAAACTGCCCTAATTCACGTCACCATACTAGTCATTGGGAAAAAGGGCAAACGCCTGACTTTTTACCTCGAGTTATGGATTTATGTGGCCTCACTGACCTATCTGAGGTTCTAAACCTATGTCTAAGCTACATTTTGACACTAAACTCAATAATGGCCAAACATCTACTTTTTTAAATAATTGGTCAATTGTGACACTACCCCCTCTCTGCCGACAGTAATTGAAATTCACAAAAATGAAGGCAAAATTGATTCGAAATTTTGCTTCAGATAACCCAAGTAAACGCATTTCCAGAAGAAATGGCATGTTGTCATTGCAAAAAGATGACAACTGTGCCTACATACTAGCTTACTGACTCGTCATGATCACAATTGTATTGGGACTACATTCACTTTTTTCTATTCAGCGGAAGTGACGTATTAGGTCATTTGGGCCTTTGCAAACGTTCTGATTCAAAGAGCGAACCGCGAAAGGAAGAATTGAATATACTCATGAAACTGTTCTTTATTCCAAATAAAAGAGTAACCTTATACAATCAAACATAGACTTGTATTGCACTCTTCATAACTCTTCAACATATTGAAAAGAAAAAAGAAAAGTCTAATAAGATAGACTTATAGATTATGATGCTCTATCCACCCCCAACACTCTGCTAAAGGAAGAGAAAATCTCCCTTAACTTATAGGAAATGAAAGGCAAACCTTTCAACTCCTATAAGCAAGACATTAAAATATGGCAGCACATTACCTTAACTGAAAATGATAAGTGGAAATGTTATACAGGTGACCTCTCATGCATGAAGTTCAAATTTTCAAATTGCCTCTTCACAGCCATGATTTAGGATTCAGGATTATCTGCACATATATTTACAGTCATGTTTCTGCGTGGAATAATTTATTCCACTGCTATCAAAGTATTCAGGTTTAACAGAAATAAATAGTACTGAAAGTAAAAACTGTAAAGTCTGGTGTATTAATATCTAAATAGAAAACCAGTGCATTAGTATTCTTTACGAGTGCTATTAAAATGTAACGCAACCGTTTTTACCTATAATTAGTGGATCGTTTCCAGAATTCAAAAAAAAACATTTCTGATATTTTGTCTGTCCTTGTAGCCCTCGCAAGCTTGGGTGCATGGTGAAATCTGTATATTTTTCTTACTAGTGTTTGTACTAATTTTCTGACAGATATTTGGAAGTTTGCCATGGCAGGTTAATATACAACGGTTCTTGTCAATGAAATCAGTTAGAGATGCAAAGATAATGGGCGTGATTGGAGGAATTGCAGTCGCTATAATTGGAGTAGCCCCAGTTGCTATTGGGGTTATAGGGATTGCAACTGGTAATGCTTTATAACGTATCTCTTATCCTATGATTCGTTCTAGGATGAGTTGCTATGATTCATCCTAGGATTCGTTGTTGTTCAAATATCACGTGAAGACATTTTTGATCACAAATTGATTGAAATTAATCATTTCCGACCAATTGTCTTGACGTTATAATATTTTCACACTACCATACCACGTGACAACGTTTATAAGTGAAACAAGTCACAGTTAAGTTACAAATTGAGGACATGGGCTTAATTCAATATTTCTGCACGTAAATTACATTTTACATTTATTTCTCGAGTTTTATATATATTTTTTCATATGTTTTAGAAAATGTACATATTTGCGGAAAAACAGTTCAGAAGACAACAGAACTGTAAATTTAATTCCTCACTTAAGTTACATATTAAACGGGTTGGGTTAAAAGTGCAGATCTTAACTGTTTTTCGAAAAACCGTTTATGCTATGGAATTAAATCGACGATTCTATTGTCTTCTGAACTATTTGTTCGCAAATATGTGCATTTTCTTTAACAAATGATACTGATGCACGTTTTTGATAAAAATGTCGTTGGAATTCTGCCTACAACGTGTGAAATAAGGAAAAAAGAAAAATCTTTGATGTTCCAACATTTTGTTACCAAAACGAACCGTTTCAGTATAAAACAAGCGAATCGTTCTGTATACTCAGCTTAGTGAAAAGTAAAATCTACTTTCTCCCTCCCTGTACTATTGAATAATATACATTCCTTGCACCCTGTATTGATTAAATTTTGAAACTTTGCACCCTGTACTATGACATATCAATATTTAAAAAAACTGTTTTGGACAAAACCTGTTGACTAAACAGTCGATATACTCAAAAGCGACCTGGTTGAAAGCCAAAAATCTCGCGCTTGCGCGATCGAGGTAGGGTAGTGTGATTTTATAGAAAATGTATAGAATATACGAAGCAACTAAGCTCTGTTGTAGTGGCAGTCATGTCATCGCAGCAAAAGATTGTAGAACAAGCGTGAATTCTCATTGTTTCAATGGTTTCAGATTTTCCAAAATATCCTCAACAATTTTTTATGAAATATCATTTTTCAATGATTGTTTGGCACATTTGGCACATTTTCGATAGCGTGGGTGCGTACCTGTGTATATGTGTATATTCTTCTGTGTCCAGACTGGAACAGTACAAGTTATGGAGTAGATCCCATAAAAGCAAACATGTCAAGTATGGTGTTGCCGGTAGTACTGTATCACCTCACACCTAGACCAGTTGCAGTCATAGGTGAGTTGACCCTAATTCGGGTTGGAAGACCCCTCCCCTCCCTTCGGATTTCCCCTCCCCCGATACTTTTCTGCCACGAAAAATATCGTTATTCTGTAATCGTAGTAGCTATAGCTACGTATTTCATACTTGAGTGGGTTTGGGGTAGACATCACCCGGGAATACTCGTCTGTATCATATCTGAGGAGCGGGCGGGATCGGATATATTGCATATGTCCCGCTCCAGGCCAAATGCGGGCAGATATAATACATCCATCTCGCTTCCTGGAATTTTTCAAAAGTTAAAATAAATTGAAAATTAATTTGAAAGTTTAGAGTAACTTTAAAAGTTTAAGTGCTACAATTTCATTGTGTTGAACTAAGGGAATAATACGAACATGTTAAACATAAATTGTGCTCTTAGAGTATCGGCCTATTATTTCATATTTGAAAAAGGTGGGAATGTTATATGTACCCCAAACACACTCAAGTATGAGATACACCAGTTATGTACGGTTGGTTTTGGATATAGAGTATATCCCTCGGGAAATATTTTTATCTCCCCTTGGTCCCTTAGGTCCCTCGGGGAGATATAAATATTACCCTCATGATACACCCTATATCCAAAACCTCCCTTTTATTTATCCAGCACTTTGCGCTGTGACGGCTGCAGTGATGTCATCAATAGACTCCGGCATTTTGGGATCAAGTGCAATGTTTACTCAAAACGTCTATAGTGTCATTCGTAAAAAGGTACACTTGGGGATGTAATTACATTCTATCGATTTCATACATAATGCTTACGATGCACCTCTTTCGTATCTACTTGAATTAGCTCTCACTTTTTCGGGCCGAAATACATCTGTAAACATTTCTTTGAAAGCTTTCCAAACGGCTGATCATACATTACAAACGAATTTCCCAAACGTATATATATATCACATATTTTGCTTATTATAGGCATCATCACGAGAACAAATGGTGATACGACAAGTAACCACGGTTATACTTGGTGCTATATCATCTTTAATTTCGATTTATGGAGGGAACACTGTTATCGGACTGTATTATTTGTCAGCAGATATTGCTGTTGTATTACTTATTCCTACGCTGACGTGCAGCATGTACATAGAAGTTGCCAATGGATACGGCGCATTGTTTGGCTCTGGTTTGGGATTAGTGCTCATCTTAGGAAAAGGGATACCATCGTTAAATCTACACGCTTTCATATCCTATCCACCATATCACGATAAAGAAAGCGTATTTCCTATCCGGATCTTGTGTACGATCGTCGCCACCTTAACCATTGTTATTATATCCTACCTTACAAATATTATGTTCTTAAAAGGGTTTATGTCTAGAAAATATGATATTTTGAACCAGTTCTCGACTGCTAGTACGGATGACATGGAGCGAGAGGTGGAATCTAATAGGAACTCAGTGGGTTATGGAGAGGATCACAACACCACGTCATATTCCTATGAAAACCCCCTCGAAGTTAACGACAATACCAAATTGTAGATTGAGTTATGTCGGACAGATTGATCACTATATTTTATGAATATTGAATATTTTGTTCATTAATAGGACCTCAATTTTTCTTTTTCCTAAAACATTTAATATTTTGACACGACAAATTTATTGATCTTGAAAGAAAATTGACGCAATAATGCATAAACTGTATTCAAGAATTGAAATTGGTGCCATCGTAATATCAGGCTGAGATTGTTAATAATAATCATTCATTTGTATGAAATTATTGTTTCATTGTTCATATCGCAACAAGTAGTTATTTAAAGTTTATAACTTATCTTCATTTGATCATGGTTTTGGGATATATGTGGTTTGTTTTTCTTATGACTGGTATACGTACATTTGGCGTTTGCTTTCTCTTGCTAGGTTTCATTACAACTTTTGGTCCTTTCTCTTTGGCACTTGTCCTTAGATATTCTGATAGTAAGAGGGTTATTATTGTCTCAATAGTTAAGTTCTGCCGGCATCGATAATTGAATTGCCGGAAAGGAGTGGTGTCGATATGGTTTGAACACACGTTTCTCTTAAACCAGTCATAACAAAATCTAAAAATTTAACACATCGTCAATTTAATGGTCGTCTTTTAAATGGGAAAAACATAATTTGAAATATACAATATGTGTATATATACTTTCATCTATATTGTTTTAGAAAACACATCAAACACTTGTTTGTTCTTGGTATCATGTTTCCAGAGTGAAATGAAACATCTTTCCGAACCTCATTGGAACAAAACGACATAAACATAACCTGTTTGGGTCTCTCAATATTGTAATAGTACAAAGGAAATTTTGGTTGATTTAAAAAAAGTATCTTGTTAATGAATTAAAGGTTTATCTTGATTTTCATCTATTTTGGGGAGATTTTGTTTCATTTTTTGAATACTTTTTTTAAAATCAACCAAAAACTCCTTTGTACAACGATACTATTGAGAGGTCTAAAAACACGTAAAGACATTTTATTTCATTCTCAAGAATTGTAGAAAGGAGCAAAAACATTTGCACTAAAAAAACAAAAAAATGTTACCAAAAACAGTTATATTAAATATTTCTAAATTTTCGCATTAAATTGTTGTCAGTCAGTCAACATCACATAAAATACCGTGTTTTTTACAGAATGATTGGTTTAAGAGAAAAACATTGTTGAATTCAGTTCTCCATATCTATACCAATCCTTTCCGTTACATTTTTATGGACATCTTGTCGGGGGTGTTTTGTCTAGTGCTTTTAAAAAATAGAAAACATATTTTGAAAAATTCGTAGAAATGCGCCTAAAATAGAGGAACACGAAGACGAATTACATCAAATTGACAACGGGATATTAAAAGGTTGTTGATAAGTTATGAACTGATTCTCAATGAACGGGAAATGAATCATAATCGTGAAAGCACTAAAATCTGGAAATCCATGGAAAATGAGGCAGTAAATCGACAACCCGCATCATCTGGTTGTATGGTACCTAGAGCAACATTTTTATCAACAGTCTCTCGAGAAGCTCTATCCCGAGCTGTAGACAGTCTTCAGACAGTGGACAGTCGTCGGATGTACAGTACTTGCAAGACTGCAATACTGTAGGATTGCATCTGATCCACAAGTCCAAAATTGATATTTTTCAATTCATCTTTGATTTATTTTCTTGATTACAGTGGTTTCAGTAACTTTGTGTACAAGAGGCAGATGAAAAATACAAGAGGCAGCATTCAAAATAACCAATTTTACGCTCCCGACAACGCAAATTCTTGTTATTTTAGAGTCCATGGACTGAAAGAAAGATGTCCAAGGTTTGTCAAAGTCATTTCCACGTGTGATGTGGCAAGACATTGGCTCCACAAAATAACACCTGGAACTGTGGAATGACTAGGGCAACTTATATAGAATGTCATTTACCTTTTATAAGATAACTTACCCTTACACAGGTTGCATTTCACAAGTCCAAATGCACCTGTTGAATTGAGCACTTTTGATATAAATCAAAATCTAGAATTGTCATTATTAAAATGAGAGTGATGTATTAATAGATGATTCACTTGTGATTATGTGTATATCAGATTCATTTTAGTTTTTTACCACCTCCAGAGGGTACAGGGTGTTCCAAAAGTAACAGGACTGGTGCTGGTATTTTTTTAAATATACACCAATTGTCTTCAAAATTGTACATAATGTACCTTCATGTTTTGTAACTAAAATTGCCGAATTACATAATTTTTGTAGAAACTGATTTAGAAATCGGCCGATGACTACTCATCGGCCGGCGCCCGGCGCATATGTAGCCTAGGCATTAGAGAGAGACCGAGGTGGGAGATATCCCCCCCCCCTCTACACCAAACTTGTTCTCACTACGTTTTCGAAAATTGCCTGAAAGGCCTCCTCACACATTATTAAGGAAAACATATCTACACATTTTGCGCATTTAACCATTTGATAACATATTGTGGATCTTATCTTAATTTGTTAATGTGAATTCGCACCTCCATTTGCATGGAAGACTTGTATGTGTTGCTACTTGCATGTAGCTACAAGTATTTAATTTCATTAGATGATAAACTTCTCAATATAAGAAATTACCCTCATAAGACATTGTTGCAAGGTGTGTTGCAATGAATGTGACATCCCACATTCTCAGGCCCGCGTTATGTATTCTCGAAGAAAGCCATCATGATAAACCATGACATCTCATTTCTTCTCAGCCCTGAGATATTCAGGTGAAACAGAAAGATGCTTAATATTTTCTTGATTTATGAATTTCATGAACAAATATTCATGAACAAAATAATCCTAAATGTTGCGCGCTTCATTTTGTGAACAGACACAATGATATAGCAGAGTTGCTGTTCTTGTGTTTTACGCCATAAGTTTATTGTAACCTGTTGTAAAGATATGATTAAATAAGAAAAAAAATTCTAGTGGCTGGATTATTGGCAGCACAGTGCTCAAAGACTGAAGTGGCATCTCAGACGGAACGTTCATTTGTGGCTGGGAGACAACTGAAACTAGGGGCATGGCGGGTTTGTAAATCCAATAATTAATCATTGTATAACATCTCAATTAATTGTACAGGGTGATCAATAAATAAGGTAAAATTATCTGGCATTTTGTAAATATTGGTTCAAACATCCTGAAATTTGGTCAGAATATACCTTGTACATTTCTAAATTAAAACATATAAATATATAACTTCTGCCATCTGATTGGTTATTATTATTGTGACTATGGCAACTGGAGTCGGGGATACCCGGTGTAAAGGAAATTATGGTCCCCTGGGGATTATAGTCCCTTTTCCGTACGGCCCTTACTGGCCCTGACTGTGTATAAATAATAAGGAAAATAATAGTAATTGGGTCACCATATAAATCAATAGAGAGTAGGACCAAAATTTGATAGGACCACCTACCCTTTTACACCGGTGTAAAAGGGTAGGAGGTCCTATCAAATTATGGTCCTACTCTCCATTGATTTATATGGTGACCTAAATACAACTCTTTCCCTCATTATCTTATACACAATCAGGGCTAGTAAGGGCCGTTAAGAAAGGGGACCATAATCCCTGGGGGACCATCATTTCTTTCACACCGGGGCAATTTCATTGCATCCAATTTGAACAAGAAATGATAAAAAGCACATCTTTTTCAAACTAAAAAGAAATATATGTGGGTGCCAGCATTAATTGTTTTAATACTTTGTTTATATTTTCTTGCAAATTTGATGTTTGATGTCATGGAAAAGTTTAATAAATAATGAAAACTGATGTGATCATAGAAAGTCTATGACACAGGTCAATGATGAAAAACAATACCCAAAGAAGAGATTTGATGAGAGAAACGAGGACGAAGCTAAGACTAAGAGGCCTGCAAACATTCCACATTGAACTGGGATAATGCTCGGTCTCACAATGCTATTCTCATGGTACAAACCATTGAAGCACTGGTTTTCTCACTGTTAGGTCATGTACCATACTCTCCTGACTTGTCCCTTTATGATTTTACTGTCATGGTGAGCTGAAGAGGGAGTTGAGAGAGTTTCTCATGGGGTGACTTGAAGCCAACTGTCTTGAAAATTTGCAGGCTATGGGAAAATGGGTTTAAAATGTGTTCAAAGACTGGAGTAGAAGACATGAACTATATGTTAAAAACAAAGGACATTAAGTAGCGGTTATGAAGTATGAAATAAGAATATGATATGCCATTTTAATTGTGATTTGAAATGTATTATCAAAAGTGTTTTGACTGAAAATTTAGTTTTTTGCCCCATTGTCCCGGGTCTTCATGCTTTCCGTTGCTATGGCAACTATAACTTCAACCAATCATATCACTTTGATATGTAACTTATTGTATCAATTCAATAATGTTTGAACATTATTCTGTGCAAATTTTATGAGGATTGGGCAAAATCTAAAGGAATGCCCGATACTTTTACCTTATTTATTGATCACCCTGTATATTAACTATATCTAAAGTATTATTCTGGATTGATTATTACGTTATTTTGTTAAAAGTGTGTGCGATGCTGTCACTTTTCTTATGTACGTAAGATCAAATTGTTCGGCTGAATCCCCGATTTACATATTGAAACAGCTAGTTACATTACAAATATCTACAAATTGATCAAAACTTGATGCCTAAACAACAACATATTTTATAGTCTTGTCTCATCGTAATTGCAATAATACACAGTGCGATGTTTTCTGTCATTAGTCACGCCCGACTACACAGCGTCGTAATACGTCCCTAGTCGGTTAAACCATGATATCATTCCTAGAGATCATTTCCTCTAGTATTTTCTGTTCGATCCTCTCCCTATTTGCAGTTGTGTCGTCAGAAATTTCAATATTGCAAAACAATATTGTAGCTGGACATCACTAAAGGCAGCTGGAGTGTAGGATGCCTATATTGTAAATACCAACGTTAAAGCTACGTTCACACCAACGGCGCTTTGATGGCGATTTAAAGCGGCTTGTTAAGCGGCACCAAAGCATAACAAAGCTTGATTAAAGCGTCGGGGTCGTAATAGGTCGTAGAAAAGCTCGGAGTAAAACAGGATATTCGGCAAGAGCGCCAAACATTTTTAAAGCTACTTTCACACCAACGGCGAATGCCACGCTTTAAATCGGCGAGCAAAGCGCTGTCATTTATGTATACTTTTCCAAAAATATCACGATCTCATAAGTAAT